AAAGAAAAGTTAATAAAAGCCTAAAGATAAACCTTATACTATTATTAAATACTAAAAAGGCTATTATTAAGAAAGTTAAGTTAGACTTAGCTACTATTATATTAAGTATTTTTAATTAGGGTAAATACTTAAACTTTTATCTTCTTACTAGTAAAGCCTTAACTAATCTTTATAATAAACTTAAGGAAATTTAGGACTGTAATTATAATTATATAGAGAAAGATAATAATTAAGTTACTTTACTCTTTATATCCTTTATCTATAAAATTAATCTAAATTATTTATTACTTACTAAACTATAAAAAGATTTACTTAAAGGTAAGACTTTATATATAATTACTACTAGCTAAAATATAACTAATATATTTAAGCTAATACTATAAATATAGAAGATACTAGCTAGCCCTATTAACAGAGAATATACTTTAAAAACTATAATATAAACGAAATGTTAGATAGTCTTAGCATTGCTAATAATAATAATAATAGTAATTTAGGAATAGAAGATAATAAAGTTTAGGACCCTGACTATTAAGATAAGATAAGGGGAGGATTTAAAGTGCCTATATAAGCTACAGAGTAGCCTAATATTATTAGTATAGTATAAATAAAATGCTTTGTTCTGGTGTACTTTGGACGTAATCTTAAAGGGCGGCCTGCAACCCTAACTATCAGAGAGACACCTGCTCGCGATTTCAAGACCTTGGAATCAACACGCATATAATCCATCTTCCTTATCACGGCTAAAAGGCAGGTGAATCATCGAGTAGACGATCCCGTCTTGAGCAAGTATTGACTGGACGCAGTGACAAATCAGCTCATCAGTAGGCGTAGTCAGCAGTGACGCATCATCTTATCCCCAATTGGACATGGTCGTCCTTAGGGAAGGTGAGACGTCGTCGATGAACTGCCGGTATTTCCTGATCTTTGGCTCTGATTCACAGGATCTGCAGGAACGATTGTCCATGAGAGGTAAGCCCATTGCGTCCTGAGGAAGGAGTGTGCCAGACCCAGACGCAGCTATAAAAAGAACTCCCCGTCCAGCTTCTCTCCATTTTTCATTCTTCACTCTTCATCATTTTTCCTCACTCTTCATCATTATACCTCACCATCCATCACTCATTCTTCACACCGAACCATCTCTCCCGCAGCTGCAGTCTTCAAGACAAAAAGCAATTCTTTACACAGGAGATATTCGGATTGAACAGTGGTTCGTCATGCAATCCCCAATGCATCTCCACCCCCAAAATCTAAGCTTACCAAGCAGACATCGGGCATCAACACCCTTTCCAAAATCCAACACTGCCTTTCAACCCTGCACAAAGGGGGGGATACACGAGACTGGCTTCCACCAATCTACCACCAAATTCAGTCTCGTGTTTACCCCCCCGTCACCCTTCGCCGTTCCCACGTTTTCCGCAAACAAAGTTGCTTCATATGCCGGCCGGACGACCCCGGGACTAAGGTTCGTCAATGCCCCCCAAGCAAACCTTTTGAATCTAATCTGACCGAACAGAAAGCCGGAACGAACCATGGTTCGCCAACTCAAATTCCCGGATTCCACCACACCTCTACACAGGGTGGATATCCGGGGCGAACCATGGTTTGTGAATACCATTTCCCGAAATCCGAATCTGATCGAGTACACGTCGGCATCAATACCCTCGAGAATAAGCCCTCTGCAACGAGGCATCCATACACAGGAGATATCCGGAGCGAGCCATGGTTCGTAAACGCTACTCCCCGGAATCCAAATCCCCACACAGGATATCCGGGGCGAACCATGGTTCGGAATCCGAATATGATCGAGTACACGTCTGGAATCGAGACCCTCGACAAAAAGCCCTCTGCAACGAGGCATACGACGCATCGATACACAGGAGATATTCGAGGCAAGCCATGGTTCGTAAACGCTATTCCCCGGAGTCCACACCTCTACACAGGATATCCGGGGCGAACCATGGTTCGCCAACCCGAATCTGATCGAGCACACATCTGGATTATGTCTGGGAACTCAGACACACAAAGTAAGTTACTCCTCGGCAATCGGAACATAGTCTAACAGAATCACAGTCGATTGGCAATGTCAATCTTCAAAGGCATCGTGTCTGAGTTCCCAGAGATAAGAAGTAAGTTTAACCCGACAATTATTGAAAGCGGTCTAACCAAGTTCCAGTTGACTTCTTCGCGGATCCAAAACATTGTCAACATTCAATGGAATATGTCTGGGAACTCAGATACACAACGTAAGTTAATCTCCCAAAAGTGGTGAATATGATCTAACGAAATCACAGTCGTCATCCGTTGCAAATGTCAACATTTAACGGAGTCGTATCTGAGTTCCCAGACAAGAAACGCAGGCGAAACAGATATCTGGGTATGCCGGGGCAAGGCAAGGAAAGAGGGCACCACCACTTTGATCAGACGTGTTGAACGTACGTTGATAGTGTTTGAATTGATGGCTACTCAAACAAATGTCTCATCCTCTTGATGCTCATACATCTGCCGGCTCACATCTTCACGTTATAGAAACAGGTGTTCAAGGTTTCCAACTCTGTAGGTAAAGCTGAGCAAGGTAAAAGTCTTGGACTTCTCGTCTAAGTTATGGAAAGATTTAGGTAAACTTAGGATCTCATCAATACTACAGACCAGATCAGAGGAGACGTCAACGGCCCATTCGACAATACCGGCCAGTGACAACACACACCCAGCCGGCATGTTGGGGTCGATTTGCATCACTATTACCGAGTCTGGCGGCAAGATGCAGTCTTCTAGCCATCCGCCTGCCACAGACTTCTTCCAGATAGTAGACGCAACCCCTTGCTCTGAGAGAATGTTCTTCTGTATGATGTCCAAAAACTGATCATACGAATAGGATGTTGTTGTATCATCCATACCAAGCTCCAAGCCTTGCTCGATCTCCATATCCGGGGCAACAAAAAAGAGTTGTGTATCTGTCTTGCTAAAGAATTGACGAAACATTTCCATGACGTCTATTTCCAGCCGATATGGCGGTATCTCGACGTGGCAAAATCGAGCTGCCGGTTCACCCTTCCCGACATTTGGTGCGTCGAGGTAATCTTGGAGGTACGCCTCGAGGTCTTCTTGTAAAGACATGATGAATCTATCGATGGTCAGATATCGGCAGAGGATTGTAGTTGGACCCGTGGTACATACTGTGTATTGATTGATACACTTAAAACGCAACCAAGGTGCTGTGATGTTGAGAAAGGCTTCCGCATGAGAATGCCAGTCACAGGCCCTGAGCTCTACTTGAATTTCCCGCCGATGTTTCACCGAGCAAGCATTGAATCAGCACTGGCAAACATTCTCCATCACCCACAAACCAGCCCACCGTTACGCAAGTGACTGATCTTGCCAGCATTACTCTCGTAAGTCTTTTCTTGAGAGCGGCTACTTATTGCTAATATTATTAGATTCCTCAATATGGACACAAGCGACACCCCGAGCTCGAGCGACATACGACAATGCTACGATTATGAGTTCGACGATAGGCGCATTGCTGCCAGCATCCTCGACACCCGCCCTCCACTTTGGCATGGCTCAAAGAATACCTCCGGTATGGACTGCTTGATAGTTGTCCTGAGACGCATCTACAGCTTTGCCATGTTGGCCCATGGTGTTTCCGAAGACCTTGGCTGGGTCCAAGAGTCCGAGCGCATGAATCCAATTTTGGGTCATGCCTGGCATGTTTTCGGCCAAGGATCAGTCGAAGAAAGCAATGCCACAATGGCAAGATCCGAAGTTGAAAAGACCCTGAAAGATATCAAGCTCGATCCAAATGCATCTTTCTATGACCTTTGCTGTTCGAGTCTCATGAACAAGACCTTTTGGTCAAAGGATGTCTTTCGCCTGAGTGAGCCGCCTTTCAATACAGACACTGGCGAGGCAATCAATATGTCGATGGACGATATAGCTACGTCAAGCATCGTGCAATGCCGTGATGGCCGTCTTGTTTTTTATCTTGCCCTATGCAAATGGTCCGACATACCAGCATGCTTTGTTCCCAGTCAGCCATGGGTGGTCAGGGTGCTGTTCACATGCACCCAAGGCCAGGGAGACAAGAACTCGTTCTCGCTGAGACGAACTTTGAATTTGCCAGTCTGGGAAGAGATAGAAGAAGGCCCAACTCTTGCTTTCAAGAAGGGGCATCCAATGGAATACAACCTCCTGGCTGTAGTACGTTTGAGAGACGAGGAGCTTGGGGGCAACGACTATGTTCGAACATATTCCCCATATGGACCGAACATCGTTCCGGAGTATGAACCTGCAAGCTTCATGTCCACGGAATGGTCGGTGGAATCGGAGGGGAAGTATATGCTCTTCTACGGGATTTCTCCTCATGATTTGGGATTGACCAACACTAGCAATTTCCCCGAGGTCGCCGGGCCTGATATCGTTGATGAAGAGCTGGTAAAGGACTTTAAAGAATTGATGGCGAGTCTGCGAAAGTCTGAGCCTTCCACCCAGGTTCAGGAAGAGCCTTCATCTTCTACTACAGTCGGAGCCCCTAGCCGCGGCCAAAAGGCAACATGAGAAGAATAGCATGGTGGGAAGGATATGGCGATGATCATTGGGCTGGTTCTGGTAATACAAAGGGGAGGTTTAGCTGAATACCACATCATTGACGCCCATTTAATGACTCTAAATATGTGTAATGTTTGATTTGTCGTATACTTTTTCACCAACACTGGGCCCATGCAAAAGTAAATATAATTTAAACAAACAATGCTGGACAACTCGGTCTTGCTTTATTTAATAGATAAGAAAAATGAACACCGAGTTCCCCTCCCCCCATGAGCTCACTCGAATTCATTGCCCCGTGGACCACCCTCGACATTATTCACTGACCCACTGGGAAAATAATGGCACAAGTTGAGCCTGAGGCCAAGAGTTCACTTTACCCTTTTGTGTGGATTCCTCTCCATTCTCACTGTTCCCATTCTTGATTTTCCTTCACATAAAAACTTCTTGGCTTTATCTTCCTCTCAACCAAATCAAATTCCCTTCTCTACCATGGACACCAACCAATCCAGCTCGGCCCCGCGTCCCCCAGTCATCATTCACTGTCCAGGTGGTGAGACCCTGTATGCAATGAGCAAAGCGGAATGTGGTCAAGCCGCCTTTGAAGATGCGTTCCGTCACACAAACCTTGAGCGTGAATATGGCATAACCAGAGCTGAGCGTGCTTCTGGTGGTCCCAACACCTCACCTGGCACTGGTAAGTCTCGCCAAATCCGAAATTCACTTGCCGCTAACCATCTACCAGGCATCAACGCGCTCAAATCTCTCGCGGGCCAACTCCTGCATGTCCTCAATGACATGGAGAAGCTTCAGAAACAGAAAGAGGAGATCATGAAACAGATCGAGTCCCGCGGTGGGATCATTGAGGAGCCAAAGAAGTAGAATCAATACGACAGTCGGGAGATGAACGGGGGTCGGAATTGACATCAGGAATGGAGGTACATGGACATGACTACGAATACAATCAGCACCTCTTTCTTTGCCTTTTCTTCGACTAATACTATCTTCATTGGTGATTTACTGTGACATCAAATCATGAAACATGTGGCCATGTCTGTAACATTACTTACGACTCTCAAGTGATCGTGTCAAGATCGTCCGGACTACGGCAGAGTTCCAAAAGCTCGGGAGACATGATGGCCTCATGTGGGTATCTTGGATCTTTTTACTGATTGAGAGGCAACGATGGCAAGTAGAATGACAAGTTTCCTCACAACGAGCTTATTCAGACTTTCCTAGCCATTTTTGATCTTATACATAACTGAACTTTATCTTCCCAGCACCCACGAACTCACATCTAGTCTCAACCGTACAGCTAAGTTGATCCATTGTGACTCCCTTCACCGAGCACCCTCTTGGCAAGATCTACAATCCAGGTTGCGCCGTCCTTGGCCACATGATTGACGTATACTGCGTCCAGCGTCGAGGTTGTCACATCCTTCGGCAGCATCTCTCGGTCATGGCCCGAACTGTCAAACTCAGTCTGCAGCCCCTGGACATACCGTCCACGTTGACGCCAGGCGATCTCCTTGGCGACCTCTTGCGACCATGGGAATCCAGTAGGTAGAGCTTCGCCCTTGGAACTTTCGTCATTTAGCCAAGTGTATAGTAGAGGGTACTGCGACAGCCGACAGCCCCACCGAAACGCGGTCGGGGATCCAAATTTTGAACAACAAAGCTCCGTCATTACGGAGTTACAGCTCAAGCAAATTCTCACACTTAATGATCATTTCATTGAAGACACACGTGTACTTTTGGCGACACGAATCGCCCTCCAACCGCAACGCATTGAACATCAACCAAGATCTTTACTCCAACCAAGATCTTTACTCCAACCGCGATCTTAGTGAAGGCCTTCCCTAACCGTCAGCCTGGTCCTCCAGTACTCTCCGAATGACTAGGTTGCATCTCTTGAGCTTCGAGCGTCTCTCCTGCTGACTGAGCGCGCTCGAGTTCATCGCTTCAAAACCAGGTCAGTAATCAACCGAGTTTCGAGCCAAAAACTGACATTTGTCTCAGGAACAACACTTGGAGCTCTTCGCGCATCGCCATCAGACTACGAGTTCAGAGATCAACCCTCCTCGCTTTGGACACCGACCCTCATGTACTCGACCTACCAACTCATCCAAGCTGTCCTATCCTGTCGAAAGCGCTCGCCGCAAGCCTCCCGCTATCTCCTCGATGGTCCCAGCCCAGATCCATTCCAGTGCTTGTGGTGGCTTGTGCTTTATAGCGTCTCATCAGCTGACTCGAGCTCGGCGCTGAGGTTGCTCGGCTTACCTACTCTGGCACGCGCCACGCCCCTTAGATTCCCGAAAGCCGTCGTATTTGATTCTGCCGTCGTTACTCCGTCGGTGGCGCGATCCACCTCCTGATCCGCGACTAACTTCTATGTGGATCATGGACAGGGTCTGACCATGGAATTGCCTATTCAAGACCGTGTCCATTGTGTAATTGGTCACATCTTTGAGTTGGAACCTTGTCTCAGCCACGCCCACAACGTCTCACCGCTCTCGAGCATAGCCTCATTGTTTTGACGACCACAAGAAGGGCATATTGCAGTGAAACAACACTATCTCAGCATCACCGCTTCGAAACCATTACCCGCCTGAAACATTCCTTCGCCCTGATCGGACGCCACAGGCCTCACCTTCAACAAAAGTTGTGACCGTTTGTCGCAGCTCTCAGATACAGTGCCTCTCACTGTTTTCGCGAGAGGCGCTCTTGTAGACGGCTTGCAGTCATCAAGGCCTTGTACAAAAAGACAGTTACGGCGGTAAGTGAAGCCGGGGATCATTGATCGAATTTCGGCGCAGTAACGCTTACCACGAATATGTTCTAGCAAATGCAGCCCGCGGACCGAAACGCGGCCGCAAAAGCCGCCCAAAGCCGACTCGATGATTCCATAACCAGAGCTTCCCAAAGCAAATCAGCAACTGATGCCCCGAGTATTCCATCAAAGCCTATCACATTCGGGAATCTTCACGTCATGCACAATTCCAATACTCCCATGGCATGGCCACACAAGACCCGATTTATCCTGCTTCTGAAGCATAGGAAGATTGGAGTATTCTACGGGTCAGAGAAACGGCATCTTGAAACAGTAGAATTGTTGCGCAAAGACGCTTTTCGACAGACTCACAATTCGTCACGTTTCCTATGGGCGATCAAACGAAGCTTGAGTATAATTTCCCCTTTTTATGGCTGGAGATGGCTCAGCATTACTTACACAGATTGTCGTTCCAGTTGCGATGGAAAAGTTTTGAATTTGACGATATACACTTCACGTGAACCAGCATTCGCAATTCCAGTTATTCTATCCCACGGACATTTATCGTAGCGTGATCAGTTGACACGAGAATGTCGGAGAAGGGAATGTTTGTGATGATCTTTGCAGACAAAGTCATTATGTTTCACCAATTATTTACGACGTCGGATATAGGGCTTTGGGAAATTTCAATGTATGTGAATGATGGCGCAAGGTGGTGTGTCTTGATCAACTGATACGACCCGACTGCCCACTCCGTTCATCGACCTCTGATAGTGGTCACAGTTCACCTAGGTCATGTAATTTTGAAGCTCATCCACTCCATCCTCGTCCATAAGAGCGCTTACGACTTGTATGGCCTGATAGTCCGTACAGTCGGTATTGCTGGCGCCATAACCCCCAGACATGCTGTGTTCGAGACCTAAGGCTTAGCCTTATAGGTGGCGGTCTCCCCCATAATGTCGTTTTGAATGATAGATGCGATGTCGGCAAGCTTCTTGGCGTTGTCTTTCGCCTTGGTCTCGAGGGCCGTGTAGCGGACTTTTGTCTCTCGCAGTTCTGCTTTAAGCTCTGCGATGCGGTTACGGAGGGCGAGCTCTACGACGTCGTGGGAAGTCATCGTGACTGACTTCTAAATTTAGAAACGAATCACATACTGACTAAACTTACGTTTTGGTGTGGTCGGGGAAAAAGGCTGGATGGTTTGAGTTGAGATGGGTTGAAGGTGGAGAGAGAGTACCAGGTAGAAGGTCAGGTAGAAGGTAGTCATGGCAAATAGTGGGGTTATACGTTGAATGGCAGCGTGAAGAGTAGAGAAATACGTTAGCCCACTCCTGATGCTGCTGGTAGCGACTCGTTCAACAACGTCGTACTTATCATCGCTCATCACCACCCAATATGTACGCACTCAGAGAACACGCGCTTTTATGACAGAATGGCTGACATAGATGATAGCACAAGACCTTCCGACATGAGCGACCGACGACCAAAGCGAGCTGCCACGAGTGCTCCACAAGATGAACCTCCCAGTAAACGCCCTGACGTCGATGAGGAGGACGATAGTCCAAGTGAAGAGGCCCTTGAACATGCCAAGCACTTGTTTGATAGGCGCCGTCCAGTGACTAAGTCGACTGCAGCTGAAATTGTCAGAAGGATCACCCAGCCTACTCCTGAAGGTTGGTCTGACGACGATGAAGCTGTTATCTCTGGTTACTGGGACGCGTCGCCTGCCAAAACCCATTCTGCAAAGATTAATCAGGGTCAGCATGCCGCATTGCTGACCTTGTTTAAGACGAGCATTCGGGTTGTTGGCCTGGCTCCCATTACTATGATATCGCCTATCCACAGCTTGCGGTACCAACCAGTGTCGAGGGACAATTCGGGTATTGAGTCAATCTACTCCGATACTTTCTGTATCCTTCTCCCGGCACTGATTGTTCACCCTGGCTTTGGTAGGAATAAGCATCATATCATTTGGGCAATGCAATATGCTGTCGCCTGCCGTCTTGATGACCGTCGTGCATGGCCGCATGAGCAATACAGCGGATATTGCCCAGCTCTAGAGCTCGTCAGTCAAAGAATTGGCAATTCCTTGGCTCCTGAGCCCATTCACGCGATGCACAAGTCTGCAAGAGAAGAGGTTGTCGCCCAAGGGCGTGACCCGACTCAATGGTCAGACTTTCTATACCATGTTGGCGAAACCGTTGCAAGCCACGGATCTCCTCGTCCACCGGTTGTAGAAGAGTTTCGCGAGAATCTGGGATTTGATGTGCTTCCTGTCACTCTCTGGGATCTCCAGGCTTTGGAAAAAGCGGTTGATACCATGGAGTGGCCAGAGGAGGACATGCGATATCCTGTTTCCGAAGCATGGAAAGCGTGGAAGATTGTGAAGCAGGGTCGAGATGCGCCTGCAATAAGACAGCTCCCAGAGTTGTTTGAATTATTACACAAAGACATCTACCGACAGACTTACAGTCCCAGTTCACCTGTGCCTTCGTCCGACCAAGATGAGAGTGTAGATGTCAATCCACAGCCGCCATCCCCTGAGGATGAAAATCCTACAGATGAGATCGGCACAGGTAACGATCATGCCGAAAATGTATTCGACTCGTCAGAGCACTCCTGTTTGGAAGAAGGAGCTGGGTCCGGAGAGGACATGATGGCTACCGACGATGTCGCACCGGAAGCGGGCTTTCCAGCGGCTCTGCCACCAGCGCTGCAGTCAAGCCTCGAGACTCAAATGAATAAGAGACTGAATGACTTCATGAAGCAGCAGCGTGAGATTACGGCGGAACAGGAGAGAAAGATCACTGACTTACAGAGTAAGGTTGATGATCTGGGAGTGCAACTTGCCGATAAGCAAAGGCAGATCGATTTACTGAGTACTGCACGCAGAGAAACCGACAGCAAAGTTGGCAAACTTTTGGACGATCAATTCTCCGCCCATGTCAATTTTCACTTCAAGAGCCGTCGGGACAGTCTGCTCCAACAAAGGGTCGCTGTACTAGAACATCGCCTCGGAATTCCGCAATCCCACGAGCTTTCGAATCGCCAAAACATGGGGTTGGTGGTTTCCACCGTGCCTGAACAGCCCACTGCTATCCCCAGCACAACACAACATACCTCTCTGGAGCAGCATCCAGAGTTTGCGATATCTGCTACAACAGTGAAAGATGCTGAAGGGGCAAATAATGAACTTGTTCCCAGGGGTGCCTGGTGGCAATCTGCCGATTAGCAAGGCAGCTGCCTCGAAACTGGTGACACAGTCAAACCGCGAGCGTTATGATCATAGGCTCGTCACAATCTGTACAAACTGTCGATTGATGAAATCTGGATAAACTTTGCTTCACAATAAACGTACTGGTATGACTTGCTTTACTGCTTTATGAATAGAACTTCTTCAGATCAAACTCAATTGAGGATATACTATCACACAACTATCAATCAATGATCACTTTGTTCTATTTCCATCAGTTGAGGTTGTTAATCATAGCTAGGGCTCAGGGCTTGAGGGTCAATTGTCATGATCACGAGTAACTCATATGAGATTGTATTGAATCAAGACATCGCCTCACAAGTCGGGATTTTGTCATTGACTCAGGAAGTTGTCATAATTTTGGATGAACTTGGATTGGTCATAATAATTTTGGGAACACTAAATGAAACGCTCTTGAGATCCATATGTATAAACTTGTCGCCAACGTGTACATGTTCCTGGTGATGATTCATTTGTTGAAAATACCCTAAACCGTCGGAATGACAATGCGGACCACAAAACAAGTCCACACGAATACATAAGATAGACTGAATAAGAGTGCAAGTCAACACCCAAACACCTATAAACTAACACCAACCGAATGTCGTGATGACTGAGCTACAGTGCCGACGTACAGTATACGCACGGTATTGCACTGTCATCCCCGCTCACCTCATCCTCAATCCCTCACAACTCAACCACATGCTCCGTCACCCTCTTCGCCAGTGCTTCAAGCCGCGCTTTCGTCTCTCCCTTACCCGATCATTCACAATGTCTCAGAAAACACAAGAACCCGTCATCACCAAAACCTCTGACCTCCCGGTCGACGAGGCAAAGTGGATAACCCTCAAAAAGATTGAGTACGTCGATCAAGTCGGCAAGGCACGAACATGGGAGGTCGCAACACGAAAAACAAGAGGGAAGTCAGGCGTCGATGCTGTCGCAATGGGAAATATTCTCCTCCACCCATCAAAGCCTGCGTCCACTCTGCTCGTCATTCAGTACCGACCCCCTCTTGACGCCTACACCATCGAATGGCCCGCTGGACTCATCGACGCTGAAGAGACTGCTGAAGAAGCGGCTGTTCGAGAATTCAAGGAGGAGACTGGGTACGACTGCAAGGTTTTGAGTGTCAGTCCTGCGCAAGCCGCTGATCCCGGAATGACAAACGCCAACATGCAACTGGCAATGGTGGAGGTTCAATTGGGCGAGAATGATGAAGAGCCGGAGCAAAGACTTGATGATGGAGAGCACATCCAACGGGAGATCATTCCTTTGTCCCAGTTGTATGAGCGTTTGGTTGAGTACTCCAAGAGAGAGCGTACAGTTGTTGCGGCCAAACTGTTTCACTTTGCTGCAGGCATGCATTTTGCCCAAACTCAGAAGTACTTTTAGACAAGATAATAGACGACAACTGATACTATCGGGTTGCATCATTATCCGACAGTCTCCCAATGAAGCACTCATGACCGTTATCTCTCAGCCTCCCTCATAATCCTCTGTTCCTTGGCTCGGGAACTACCCGGCTGAGTCATCGTTAAATGGCACCGACCCCTCCATCCACCTCCATCCGTCACCAACATCATGGAAAACCTGGGATTTCCTTGCACGACGGGCGGCTATGCCCCCCTTGGATACCCCGGCCAAGACCCAAATCCAGAAACCAGGCCCAGAGTCGCCAAAGCCTGTGAGACGTGTCGGAGAAGGAAGCGAAAGGTCAGTCATTCTGTCTGTGACTACAGCGCTAACAATCGCAGTGCGACGGAAACTACCCGTGCTCGTCATGTTTCAAGAATAACATTGAATGTATCTACGTGCTCGAAAGACCCAAGAGGTATGGCATTCAACCGTCTTGTTCGCTCGCTAACTTGACAAGGAAGCAGAGAGACTCCGAGCTTGTATCCAACCTTGAAGATGAACTCCTTGCCCTCAAAGACTACGTACGCAAGCTCGAGGCTGCATGCGGACATGCTAGTCTTCCAAACTTCGCACCAAGCACCCTCGATGATGACGTTGGTACTTTGACGGTCCCCGAGATGACATCCAAAGCTCTGCCATCAATGACGTGAGCTCAATGATGTGGCGGATGAACCTTCACGGCAGTGGAGAGACATCCTTTGTTGGCCCATCTGGTAGCTTCTGCTTCCCGGTCAGTGGCCATGGCATTGAGACTCAGTCCACCGGCCCTGAGGCAGAAGAGAGTATCCAAGTATTACTCGACCTGTTCCGACAGCACATCAATTCGGTCCACCATTTCGTTCCCCCGCCCGTGATTGAGACGCTCAAAGCGCCAGAGAGTCTCGATAGTGAGCTATTGCAAGCGTCAGTCCTGGCAGCAGCGAGTCTTTTCGCCGATTCACAGAGACAGGTGTATGCGGACCGAGCTGAGGCGATCGTGATGAAGTGCTGCCGTACAATCCCCAGCGTCGTGACGATACAAGCTCTAGCCATATTGACGTGGCGCGAGCTAGCATTGGAGAACGAGAACAATGCATGGCTGTACAATTGTATGTATCCGTCATCTGAAGCTCACACAAGCTGACATCACAGCTATGGCGGCGAGTCTTGTAGTTCACCTCGGGCTGCACGTGAGCTCCTTGGAGAATGTCATGCAGATACCAATTGGGCCGCCTTCAGACATCGACAAGAGCGTACGTGTGCAGACGTTCTGGTCGGTCTTTTTGATGGACAGGTAGGTCTCGGAACCGAGCAAAGAATGGGATGCTAATACGTCTAGAAATTCCACCTCGATGCTTGGGCGAAATTGCATGATTCCCTGGCGGAGAGTTCGAGCGACACCATACCTCAAAGCATGCAGCAACCCCACAACAGAGGACGCGATCTTTGACGCGCACTGCCAGATGTGGTTCATTCACGACCGATACATGGACAAAATGTGAGGGCCCTGCAGAGACAGAGTTCAAAGCTAACTGCACAGATATTCCTTCGAGTTCGGCGAGCTTGAACATTTCGAACGACATCAGCTTCTCTCAGAAGCCCGAGATCACCACATGAACTTCTTCCGCCAGATAGGCCGCGACCTTGAACTCCGAAAGAACAACATGAGCCCCCAAGTCATCCTCCTTCACATGGTCTACAACATGTCGCTACTTCTGATACATCGGCCATATCTCCGAGAACCGAAAGACAGTGCCGTGCATCAATTATCCGTCAGAACAAACATGACCTCCGCACACGCCCTGGTCAGACTGATCCGACAATACGACAAAGAAGCCAATCTGGAGAACGCCCCGTTCTTTGCAGTACACTGTGTCCTTACAGCCGCTGTGAGCCTGCTGCTGAATGTGACATACGCCAACTCGACGATTCGCGGCCAATCTGTACACCGGTTCCGCGTCTGTGTTGACGCATTGGACAAGATGAAGAGGTGGACGAGGGCAAGGCGAGGTCTACTGCTTCTCAGAGAGCTGGCCAACAGGTGGAAGGTCGTGTCTGCGTTGCCCATGAGACACAGCGTTCCCCTCGTTGCACCAACACAGGAGACTCCCCAGACCGACGATAATGACCTCGATTGGGGGATGCTGTTTGCCAATCTCGAAGAGCCTCTCAGTTTGGATACTATTGACCTCTCGACGCCTACGGGGGAATGGGTGTTTCACGAAGGCGACGAAAGCAATCTTTTTGTGTTCCCTCCGGGGGGCTCCTAGCGGAGGGCTCTTCCTCGCTGCGCTCGTGTGGAATGGTCAATGGGTGATTACTTCAAAAAGCGAGCGCAGCGAGGAAGAGCCCTCCGCTAGGAGCCCCCGGAGGGGACAACAAAGCTACCCAAGTCTGGTCTATAGTACTAATCTGATATCCCAAATCACCCAGGTTTTTCATCACAAGAGGTCTCAAGTTCTGCCCCTCTCACCATCGGCCCATCCAGCTTCGAATCCTCTTGCCAAACACATACAGCGGAACAGTGGTCAGACAGATACCCAATGTCAAGCCTCCCCAGGTACTGAAAAAGACCATCGGCCCTTTCGTGGCATAGTAGTCGTTGAGCATAAAGGTGAGGCCAAACGCAAAGGAACTCTTGATAAGCTGCGAAAGTTAGTGCTGACCTTGGAGTAGACGAAGACATACCATTGCCAGACCGAAAGCGCTTCCTGCACGATCCATACACACATCATTGGTATACGTGACGATGCCTGTGCAGCCTGCACCGACGCCAAAGTTGATGAGAGCCAGGAAGACACAACAAACCATTGTGGATTTGGAGTGTTCGATTGCATCGCCAAGGCCAAAGGCTCCGACAGCCATGGTGATTGCAGAAGGCACAATGACGACGAGTCGGAATTCAGGCTCGTACAGACCTCCGTTGAAGGCGGACATGTAGTGCGCGGCAAGATCAGACATCCAACCAGAGATCAGTGTGCCGAGCGCAGACCCAACAAGAGGCGCGATGCCAATGACGAGTCCGACCTGAGTCGCGTCGAGGCTGTATGGTGGAGCGCCAAAGATCTGGTCAGCTACAGTACCGAGAACAATGACCCAGGTAAAGGTGATTGACCACATGATGCACCCCCATATGACAACAGGATGCCGAAGCATGAGAATTGGGCTGACGAGACCGGGCAGTAGTTCTTTTGCGCTGGCGAATTGGAGATGTTGGACTCCACAGATCTTCTTCTATTGAGCGACCGCTGCTGTTGAGATATCTGGGGCAGCCTCTTCAGTCTTTTCATCGGTCTTTTCATTTCCAACACTCGATGTTATTTCGTCTCTGCCCCATTTGGTCTCGGGGAGAAAAAAGACGACCATGATCAATCCAACAGCGAAAGCGACAGCAAGGAACCAGAAAGCCCATCGCCAGCCCATGTACTGGGACTGCCGCTGGCTACAATGGACTGCCATGGTCTATTTATGTCAGTGGTTTGTATCATTGACAGCGACTACAGACGGGAAACTCCCGACACTCGGAAGCATTATCAAGTATCTATCGTATCTGGCACGTTTAGATCCCTCCGGGGGCTCCTAGCGGAGGGCTCTGTCTCGCTCCGCTCGTCTCTATCATGAACAGCCCCACTTGTTAGCGGCGGATGCGAAACTGCCGCCGCTGATAGCACTGGATCGCGGGGATGACTTTGCGGGGGAGCCGATAAGTGAGATTAGCGGCGGATGTCAAGATTCCGCCGCTGATACGAAGTTGATTGGTGGGGGTTCACGATTGATGTGTTGGACTTATACGGATACCTGTCTTATATGGCTTGCCAAAGGCCAGCTTCAATTCACACGACGCATCAATTCAAGGCCGGCAACTTCAGTTCATGGACTCAATCGACAGGATCAACTCTTCTACACAGGACTCTCCAATGGCAAAGCTTGGAATCGCCTCCGAGGTCACTCAAGTCAGAGTCGCAGTCACCCAAGCTGAACCCAAATGGCTTGACTTGCAGGGTTCAATCGACAAGACCTGTGCGTTGATCAGCGAGGCAGCCAGAGGGGGTGCTCAACTGCTGGCGTTCCCTGAGTGCTGGGTTACAGGATATCCTGCTTGGATCTGGTGAGTATTCACATCCATGGACGCTCACAAGACTAACGTGAAAGGGCACGACCAGGAGATACACACCTCACGAGCCGGTACATCAAGAACTGTATGCGTACCGATGGTCCAGAGATGGCAAAAATCCAGCAATGCGCGGCCGACAACGATATAACCGTCGTCCTTGGGTTTTCGGAAAACTTTCACAATACTCTGTACATCTCACAGGCGATCATCGACTCTGACGGCAAGCTACTAGCCCTTCGACGCAAGATCAAAGCTACCCATATGGAGAGAACAATCTTCGGTGATGCTTCTGGGGATGCTCTCACAAGTGTTGTCGATACAAAGGTCGGCCGTGTCGGAGCACTCTCTTGCTGGGAACACATACAGCCGCTGCTCAAGTATTACCTCTACAGCCACCGTGAGCAGATCCACGTCGCTGCGTGGCCGCCATTGCATCCCTACAAGGACGAGAAAGAATTGTGGTCCATGTCGAGAGAAGGTAAGTCGCCTCCGCATTTACTCACCCTTACTGACGAACAGGCGCCCGCGCATTATCCCAAACATATGCAATCGAGTCACAAGCCTTTGTCCTTCATGCGACAGCCGTCATAAGCGAACATGGAATCAGTCTCATGAACACAGAAGGGGGGGATGTCATGAATACCCCCGGAGGAGGTAGCTCTGCGATCTTTGGTCCTGATGGGAGGATCTTGACAGAGGATTTGCCCCAATCTGAGGAGGGAATCTTGTATGCCACGCTTGATTTGGATGAGATTATACGGTGCAAGAGCTTTGTGGATGTCTGTGGGCACTACAGTCGGCCGGATATGTTGTGGCTTGGGGTTGATCGGGAGGTCAAGAGGCATGTACAGTAGGACAGTCATTACAGAGTGCAGTTCAAGGAACGATGTGCAACAGCATTTATTTTTCGTATCAATGAAGGCGTAGCATCCATACATGCAGGCTTCTCTCTAAATTCCACCGCATGAACAACATAAAGGAGCTCGACCATGCCATGCCTCAAGGCACCAACGAACTATGGCCAGGATATTCGCATCGTGAGGATTCGGGCTAGCCTACAACCAGGGGTCCCATGGCACGTCCTCACTGATGTCGACTTCCATATCGGGGCGATCGAACTCGTCAAAAACTTGCTTGCATCTGAGGACTGCTGCTTGGCCCTGCTCAGGTGTTGTCGAGCCCGGCCTCACTGAGACGCATATAGTGATGGGACACAGCCACCGATCTTCCAGAGCTTCTTCGGACTCCGCGTATCCGATGCGATGCACATCGATGGTGACCCATTCGATGTCGCCAAGTGCTTCGACGAGTCGTCGTCGGAAAGGAGTTTCTGGATTGTTGTAAGGGCGTTTGATTGCATGAATCCAGCAGGGGATACATCGAGAATGGTAGCTGTCGGGAGGATATGGCTGTGAACGGGCAACACGAACGGATTTGGTGGTGTTTGTTTCGGACATGCTGCGGTTTGGTGGTGAGACTTGATTGAGACTTGGTGGTGAGGTTTGGTGGTAAGATTTGGAAAGTGTAGATGGGAGGCAAGTGTCTTATTTATAGTAGAGAATGTGAGTCATCGGTCAACAAGCTTTTAAGACTGAGAGTTATGTGAGTTGCATGAAAGTATACCGTCAGTTAAGTTTGACCTGGAGAGTTTGTCACAAAAGCAGCAAAGAAAGTGGTTCTGTACTCAAAGTTATTTATCAAGAAGCAAAGTTTGTTCATCGCAGATAGCCCTACATGTGAATTGTGATAAACCTAAAGATTGCGATGACCTAGAGACAAGCCCTGTCCTGACTTCACGCACGAGCGAAGCGAGAGAGAGCCCTCCGCTAGGAGCCCCCGGAGGGATATTCATCATGTTGACTGCTATACCCTCTTCTGATCATATCGGACGACTGCCTGACACAAGACCTCTGCTCCAATTGCGCACTCTTCAGGAGACGAGTACTCTTCCGGGTTATGACTGACGCCCCCTTTGCATGGGATGAAGATCATGGTCGTGGGGCAATGCTTGTTTGTGTAGACACTGTCGTGACCAGCGCCGCTAGAGATGTCAACAGCAGCATCTTTTCCAAGGATGGACTCGGCGGATTCTCTGACTGCTTGGATGCAATCTGGATGGAATTTCGTCGCAGTTGAGATTGTGTCGGTTCGCCATTTGAGGGACAGCGGTAGAGCAGGAGTTGAGCCAGCCAGTACTCCGTCCACATCTGTTCCCTGGGCCAGCAGATCAAAGTCGCGGCGCAGCTCCGCTTCAAGCTTCTCGACTGTCTCATCGGTTGGAGAGCGAATGTCGAGAGTGAAGCTGACGTGGCCGGGAATGGTGTTTGTGCTGCCTGGAGTGAGGTTCAGAATGCCAGTCGACGCAAGAGCGTTGTGCTTTGTCGCCAGTCGGTGAGAGTGAGTGATCAATCGTGCAGCAAGTAGGAGAGCATCGGCCCGGTCAGAGAAAGGCGTCGAGCCAGTGTGGGCATCTATTCCGTTAGCCATAATCTGGTCGCGCTCACGAGTCCCATACCTCGTCCAGTGATGTCGATGGTGAACCACTTGTAGGCCTGAACACCTTGCACGACCCCAATCTTCTTTCCAGCCCTCTCGAGAATCGGTCCCTGTTCAATGTGAAGCTCGAAATGCGCCCCGATTGGCATGGCCTTGTAGCTTGCAGGCGTGTCGCCGAGGTACCCAATTCTCTGCAGTTCGGATTTGACTGTTGCGTTGCCGGATACCTCCTTCAAGTTGTGGGCTCTCTCTTCCGAGATTGCGTCAGCCCAAACACCAGAAGCCATCATGCTGATTGGGAATCGCGCGCCCTCCTCACTAAGTGGTCAGAACTGTCGTCTCTGGGGAGGGGACTTACTTTGTCCAATTGACCACACCGACAGGGTATTCTGTCTCGACATCGTGGTCTCGGAGAAGCTTGAGCATCTCGATCCCTGCTTGGATGCCGAGGATACCGTCGTATCGACCGCCGGTGGGCTGGGTATCCAAATGACTTCCAGCCACAGTTGGGGGACCATCTTTGCGGCCAGGTCGAATTGCAAAGATGTTTCCAATTGAATCAACGGTCACTTTGCATCCGAGAGACTTTGTAGTTTCAGCAAACCAGTCGCGCACTGTTTTATCTGAATCCGAAAGTGCCAGCCGTGACATTCCTGTGTCGGTCGGGTTTCTATTCTGTTAGCTTGATCTGACGAGGGCCGCGAGACTTACTCTCCCCATCTGATTCCGGTTCCCCATTTGCAAGTGTCGTGAAGAGTGTCCATCAATCGGGGCTGATCAACCTTGAGCTTCTTTAGATCTGCAGCCGTCATATCGCGAGTCGAGATGTAACGACGGAATGAGACATGACGGAGCGGCACGCGTCGAAGCATCGTGCGAGCAGACATTTTAGGATGATTTCAAAGCTTGACACAATAATCCTTGATGAAATGTTTTATCCTCTGATGTTCTCAGAAGGTGGTGAGTGATGTAACGCCTTCTTACAACCAGCCCCGCTTCCAGAATAGGCAATCTCAGGATAACAAAAGTCAATTGGACATGAACAAAGTAAACATCAAATAACTTGGTAAACGCTCTGCATGTCTCCCTTCCAGCTCGCGCGACGTGGCTGTCTGATAGAGTCAGCTATGTCCCTCCGGGGGCTCCTAGCGGAGGGCTCGTCCTCGCTGCGCTCGTACCGTATTTGATGTTGGGCATAAATAGAGATAACATCAGATAACTTGGTGAACCCTCTGCATAGTCTCCCTTCCAGCTCGCGCAACTTGCTCGACCCGAAGTCGAAAGTCTGGATCCTGCTCGCTTTCCCGAGCGACGTTCTCGCTCCGCACAAGATCAAACCGTTGCTCAATAACGCGCAAATACTCCACGGTCGCTTCCTGTATCTTTACCTCAGTAGCCTCTGAAATGGCTCGGAAACTATCTTTGAGGGTTTGCATGAGTTTGGTGAACAAATCTTCGTCGCTCAAAGCCCCTCTAATGATTGCCTTTCGACGAGCATCACTTCCCCGGCCTGAATGAAGGGTTAGCTGCGTCAGTAGATGAGGTGTGGACGTACCGGATTCGGCGTTGCATTTGTTGTAGAATGGTTCCATGGATTTCCCCCAGAGTGAACTTCTAAGGACGGAAAGTGACTCGATGCGGAGGATCCTGTGATGTTAGCGACGAAGCAGATGCTACTCACCGTGACGTCGATGAGCACGAGTAACTCACCGGAGGTTGTTCTCAAAGTCATCATTGACGTTTTCGATGGCAGCCAGGAACATACTCTGCCGATTTTCAAGAGCTCGAGTCAAAGAATCGATGGAATTATGCTCCTCTACCCACGTCAGCAAGCCCAGTCCGTGGTGTACGACTTACCAAGTCTCTCAATAGCCATGTCTGCGAATTCGTCCGCATTCTCAAGCATACTCGACTGTCGTTCCTGTATAGCGCCACACATCCCCTCCCAGGGCCCTTCAAGATCAGTAACCATATCATCCATAGCCTCCTCATTCCAGTTCCGTGATCCGACTGCAGGGGTGCAGTAGTCCCCAAAGTTTCGGCAGAATGCAGAATAGGAACCTGTTCGTTAGTTCCGAACCTCTGTGGCATTGTCAACTTACTGTGATGCCACTGAATGTGTTAGCTTGGTCAGACAATATCGCGAAGACGTACCCCTGCCCAATCTAGGCTTGCATTCTTAGCTGACCGGCTCCATGAAGAAACGTGACGATCTAAAGGTCAGTATAATTCTCACCGAAATGAGGCACTCACTGTTCCAAATGTATTCTGTAAAGTCTTCATTGTATCCTCTTGCTAGACGACTAAAAGCGCGCGATGCAAAGTCCTACAAAAGTCAGTCAGAACGCCACTTCAACAATCCCATACCTTCCTCAGACGACGCTCAACACTGTCGAGAGTTTGGCAGAGTGCCTCGCGACGTTCCTCGCTGGCAGTACGAGCACCAGATTGCACCCAGAGCTCAATGTCAGCAAGCAACGCAGGGATCTGGTCTTTCATGTATTGTGTGGCGATGCGTCGTTGACTGTTTGCGACAATCGAGATGCAGTGTTTTCGGACCTGCAAGATGCCACTGAGGTCGAGATGTCGTTTGGCCTCTGACTTTTTGGCAGTTCTGTTTTGCCAGTAGATTGTGTTGCTAACGCAAAAGACTCGTGTCACACGGTCGGCGTAGGTGGTGTTGAGTGAGTTGGTGATGATCCGATTGCGGTTTGTGATCAGGTATTGTTTGAGTCTGCAGATGTTAGTCTATGCTAATCTGTCTGATGTTTGGAACTTACTCAAACTCGTAGTTTTGTTTGCGGGTGCTGAAATTGTTAGCAGTTACCAAAGACTGTCGAAAACATACCTTGCTTGTCGTTGATCTTCCCGGCATTCCGCAAGTTCCTGTCTTTCTTGTTCGGATAGATCACTCGCTTCATAGTCATCAATATCTACCTGTAGTTCGTCGATTTCCTTGGTAGCCGCTTCCATATACTCCAGCAGCTGCTCAATACGCCTTGCCCTTGTGCCTGGCCAATCTCGGATTGACTCCTCAGGGTCGATATCCTACAAAGTCAGCGAGTTCACAAATTCCTACTGCCACTTACATCAGAACGAGTACAAACAATGCCGACATTCGACAGATGAGCACGGTCCGCCAGGTCAAAAACTTGATGAACACCCTCGTCAGTAGCCGCACGCCCAATGTTGCAGATTGCAAAGATCTCGTTGCACTCCAGGAGATAACGTTCGGTGATGATCCTTCGAGCAGAGTTGAGATCGCGAAGGCCGGGTAGATCCACGAGGATCAAGCCTCGGCTGAGGATATGCGCATTCAAAAAGACCCTTTCTTGTTAGTTGGTTCAGTCCTGGGAACGTACTTACTTGATGCTTCGGATGTAGGGCCACGTCGCTGGAGAATCTCTTGTTGCCGGCTCGGAAGAGAGCTCCATCAATTTGTTGGAACAAGCTTGCGGCGAGAGGCCTGTATGAAGAGTCATCGAGGGTGAAGGCCTTGCATCAGCTGCCCAACGAGTAAGTCGATCGAGGACATCCTCATAAGTTTCACGAATCAAGAATGCCTCATCAGTTAGTCGACTCCGAAACATGGCTTGGAACGTATCCTTGGCCACTTTGGCATTTGCCTCCATGTCTTGACGTTCAGCGGCATCAGTAATCTCATCCTGATGAAGTTCAAATGTGCGATAAACCTGAAGGAGTCTACGGAGTTGATCTTGAAGTTCCTCCATCGAGAACAGATTGACTCGAATGTCAAGCGTGTCACGGTTGTGATAATGGTACTCTGTCACAACACATGTGCAGGCTTCTCCATTGTTGCTCTGAGATGTCAGCATGGTCCGAAACTTGGGCGTTTACTTACAGTCCTTGCAAGGCCTTTTCTGTCGAGGAGTGAATTGAGCAGACTACTTTTGCCTGCAACTGTCAGCGGCGCAACCACATTTACTGGTGACTTACCAACACCAGAGTCGCCTACGAATCCAACGGTACGAGTTGCTGGGTACTCAAAGGCAGCGAGCTTGCCAGCCTCTTCGTGGAGTTTGCGCATGGTTGACTCGGACCCTTCATGGACATTTGAGCTTCCCAGCACAGACTGAATGTTGGACATTAGCTGCTTGGCATCTCGGAAAGCTCCTTGGAACTCGGGGGAGTGGAATGCATCATCAGGGAGTTCTTCGTCGGCAACGTCATGCTGCTGAGCAGCCCCGGTGCTTGAACGCCTTCGTCGGGGGGTGCCATTTCTGGAGCGTCTTGGTTCTGGGGAGAGAGATGCGTGTCCTGGCCTTGTTAGCGGAATCTCGATGAGCAATTGAGAGTACCATTTGTGTCGGAGAGACGAATGTTGTGGATGGCAGATGTGAGTCCATGAGTCCCTTCCCTAGTCCCGCCAGGAGGGGTAAGAGAGACGGAAGGAGTGCGGTGCCTGTGAGAAGCGGGACTGGAGTTAGTTTCCGTGATACCCTCAGTTGAGGGAAGTGGCGTGTCAGCATCGATTGAGGGCATTTTGAGATTCAGTTTGTAATTGATAAAATGAGGCAATTGTTGTGCATTTGATTCGGGGGTTCATTACCGTCTGCGGTTTTATGTGTGTCTGAGAATCCATGAAGCTGTTGGTTCACCCTGGTCAATTCAAGCCGGCGGTTAGATGCGACCACCTCGGCCTCCACCAATCAGGGCGTTCACTTTGTTCTATTTCTATCAGCTGAGATTGCTGCAGATAATTGATCAGGACAAGGCGCTTGAGGTCATGCCCACAAGTCACCCGTAGAATATAGACCAATGCCAGGGTGGAACAGTCCCATGATGAGTTTAGGGATATCATCATAAATTTAGGTAAAGTTTAATAAACTTATATCATATACTACTCTGCATATCAGTAACTGGGCACTAATCGAACGTCGTGCCAGTAATGTCGGGAAGAGGTGTCGTCTACGACCACAGTCAATACACTGCATCCTGCTGAGATCCTTATGATCGAACCCGAGCGGAGCGAGAAAAGGCCCTCCGCCAGGAGCCCCCGGAGGGATATCGTCATGTTGCGATAGACAAGGCAGCGTGGAAACAGTAACTCGAGACTCATCAAACTCAATAGACACATCGGAAGGTCAGGAGCTTTGCCCTGAGGTCAGGGTATCTTCAATTTTGAGATGCGTATGCTAGGTAGTCGACAGGGACAAAAGTGACTGGCAATCGTATTGCATTTGAGGCGTGCTCACCTTCGACCTCTTCCTGCTGCAGGGGGCATCCCAGGCATGCCGCCGCCGCCCATGCCCATCTGCCTCATCATAGCCTGCATATCCATACCACCGGGCATGCCTCCTCCTCCTCCGCCGCCGAGCATCTTCATCAAGCTGCCCATATCGGGCATTCCGCCTGCACCGCCGGCGCCTCCCATGCTCTGTAACCTCTTTTGCATGGCTGCTAATTGCTGTGCCTTGTTTCCTCCGCCCATAGCCTGTTGCGCTCGTTGCATGTTCTTCATGTTTCCGCCCATCTTCTTTGCCATGCCTGCCATCATTCGTTGTTGGGTGAGGAGGTCCTCGACTTCGCGTACTGATGTGCCGGAACCGCGTGCGATTCGAGTCATTCGGGTGGGTTGCTCGATGAGGATCTTGCCGTCCGAGTCGAGTTCCTTGTCGGTCATGGAGTCGCAGATGTAGATCATCCGCTTGAGTTTGGCGCCGCCTTCTTCGTCGTCCATGCCCTGCATCATGTTGCTCATGCCGGGGATCATGCCGGCCATTTTGGAGAGGGGGCCCATCTTCATGATGTTGGAGAGTTGGTCGCGCAGGTCGCGGACGGTGAAGATGCCCTCCTGGATGTGCTTGATGGTGTCTTTTTGGTTGAGGTTGAGGCTCTGCACGTGCTCCATGAGTCCAGCCATGTCGCCCATGCCGAGGAGTTTTTGGACGAATTGTTGGGGGGCGAACTTTTCAAAGTCGAGCATGTGTTCGCCGGTACCGATAAAGACGATGGGGGTGTGCGTTGCAGCGACTGCAGAGATGGCACCACCGCCGTGTGCGTGGCCGTCGGTTTTTGTGATGATGATGGCTCCGAAATCAGCGGCCTCTTTGAACGCCTTGGCTTGCGACTCTGCTTGTTGACCGATCGAGGCGTCGAGGACCATGATAGTCTCGTCGGGTTTGATGGCTTCTTGGATGTCCACCATCTCCTGGAACAGGGCAGACTCTTGTCGGTGGCGACCTGATGTATCGACGATGATGACCTCGAACCTCTCCTTCTTGAATTGGTCAACACCAGCCCTCGCAACCTCGGCGGGATCCGTTTCTGTGAGGGAACCATAGTAGGGGATCTTGGCTTTTGTGGCGTTCTGCTTCAGCTGGTCGAAGGCACCAGCTCTGAAGGTATCGGCACAGACCAGACAGGCCTTGAAACCTCTTGACTGGTAGTGCCGCGCGAGCTTTGTACACGTTGTCGTCTTTCCCGCACCCTGGAGACCAACAAACATGATGACATTGCTCTTTCCCTTCTTCGGTCGGAATGGTTCGGCGTGGGGATCGACGAGTTTGACGAGTTCGTCGAAGACGGCTTTTTGGATGAGGCGTTTCTTGTTTACGGCGGGGGGGAGTTCTTTGAAGTTGACGGTGGCCTTGATGGATTTCCGTAGTTGGCCGACGAGTCGTACATTGACGTCTGCCTCGAGCAGAGCGGCGCAAATCTCCTTGAGCATGCCATCGAAGGCCTAGACTGTTAGCGGGGAAGGCAGCGAGAGCTGGAGACGCACCTTTTCGTCGAGATTTTGCTCTCGGGTCAGGTTGGTGACCGCCGCGTTGATGCGACGGCCGAGATCTTGAAGAACCATGGTGATTTGATGCGACTTTGATGTCGCGGGGTATCTTGATGATGGAGAGTGTGGCCACAAGATGTGGAGGTGGGGTTGTCGTTTTTCCGGCCCGGGATGCACCCGGCTGCAGCTAACTTTGAGCTAGAGGCTGTCTTATCACGCGAATAATTACCATTCGGGGCAGTTCTAGCCTGTGAACAGATACGGATGGCTATATAAGGTGACCTATGGTGTTGTAGGAATTGTAATCATCGTCAAAGTGAATCAATCATCGTCAGAGTGAATCAAAATGGGCCGTCATAATCTTCAGTACCCCAAAGACTCAACAAATACCATCAAACGGTACAAGGTCCACGGGGTTTACGACCTCGAGACTGTTCATAGTATCGTCAATACATGTCCGATTCTTCATGTATCATTCAACACACCCTCTCAGCCGTTCCCGGTCGTTCTGCCAATGATAGGACAGCTGGGGTCGTTTGACCGGCCGAGTTCCAGCCTGCGAGACCCTCTTGAACTGTATCTCCATGGATATGTGTCGTCGAGGATCATGAACTTGGCTCAGACATCTACCGTCGATGGAGAAGAGATTCAGGGAATGCCCGTTTGTGTTGCTGCATCGCACGTTGACGGACTCGTCTTGACTCTGGCGACGTATTCGCACAACTACAACTATCGGTCCGCTGTGATCTACGGATACGCGACTACTGTCAAATCCGATGAAGAAAAGCTGTATGCGATGGAACTCATCAGCAACAGTGTTGTGGCTGATCGATGGAACCATACACGACAGCCTCCGTTGGCGTCGGAGATGCAGAGCACGAATATCCTCAAGATCAAGATCACTTCGGCAAGTGCCAAGATCAGTGCGGGATCAACGACGGATGACAAGAGTGATTTGGAGAACGAGAGTCTGGTGAATTCGACGTGGACGGGTGTGCTACCTGTGTATCAGACCATCGGAGAGCCGATTCCGGGCCCGTATAACAAGGTGGACGTGCCTGAACATGTTGCCAGCTTCGCAAAGGATACGAATGATGAGAAGAAGCAGAGATCTTTGGATGCGGCAAAGGGTGAAAGGAGGGCGACTTGACTGTGATTCATTGAGTTGGCTATGTCCCTCCGGGGGCTCCTAGCGGAGGGCTCGTCCTCGCTGCGCTCGTATAGTGATTGATGTTTTGACAATTCATGATTCTCAACCAGCCTATGCCCAGTCCATGAACTCAGAATACGATATCCATTCTTTGCAAACTGTGCACGACGCTGGCGAAATTATCGCCGGGCCATCTCGTATTCATCGTACTCATCTTGACAGTAATGAACCGGAGCAATACGTTGCACTCAGTGCACATCCTAGCGGTTTCGCGGTGCATGAAGATATCGTCGTCTTTACTTTCAACTACAGAACAAATGGTGGGTCGACTCTGGCTTGTGAGCCTTGCTGATGAGACAGTCTTTGGGTTCCCGAACGCCCCGGGCAACCCTGATTCAGAGATTAACCTCGGCATATATGATCAACAGCTCGCTCTTGAATGGGTCCAGCGGAATGCTCGTGCCTTTGGTGGTGATCCGACGTCACCATCTGGGGTGAATCTGCAGGCGCCATGTCTGTTGACCTCCATGTCAACAGATACACATCTCCATTCCGTGCCGCAATGATCTTTTCTGGTCAGATGTCTGCTGGATACCTCGGACACTGCCAGTCATCACGAAACTTCATACTGGGATAATCTGACAACTGTTGTTGGCTGTCGACGCCAGACCAGCTGCGGTGTATGAGAGGTGTATCAGCAGATACTCTCGCCAACGCCATGAGCACAGCAGGAAGCGCTTTATGCCGATAACCGACAATGTCATAATACTGAGTGACAGATCTCAGAGATGGCGGGACGGAGATGTTGCACGAGTAGCTGTGCTCATGGGGACTGTCGCTGAAGACGGTAGAGCACTCATCAACAGAAACATCTCGCTCGAGACATTCTTCGGGGCCTATATCTCTACCGCTCATCAACGAAACCCAACAGAGGCAAATTATTGATGCTTACCCCAGTCTCAAGACCGAGTTTGACACTGCTGCGGCAATATATACAGACTTTGTCTGGCAATGTGTAAGTTCACATGCTCCCGGCTTCAACGCTAACACATCCAGCCTCAAGCTATTCTCGCCAACCTTTCAGCTTCCGTCAATCCAATACGGCGATTCTGCTTCAATGCCTCGGCCACAAGTCTCTTAGATGACAAGTACTGCTGGCTTGGCAAGTTTCACGGGTCAGACGTCCTCCTACTGTTTACCCACCTTTGACGCAATGTCACAACTCTACACATTGCGGAGTATCTTCGAGGAGTTGTGGGGAGACTTGTCAGAAACCCACAAGCTGGACCAGGTTGGCTGTTGGATCGAGATATGTTGCGAACCTGGAGATGTTGGACGGACCCAAACATCAGGGCCTTCAATCATCGACCAAACAGCGCTGGATCAGAGATGCAGCCTGTACGAGCCGATTTAGCCTGTCATCGAGGAGTATGTATTAGTTTAATCGGATTTATCACGTAGGCCCCCGAATACTACTCAATCTCGTCGCAACTTCAGTCGCCAATCTCGTCTACGTCATTTGACCCACGGTTCTAACACGGCCACTTATCTCAACTTTTACCCAGATTGCATCTCGATCGGACTATATTTCGAGAAGCTTACCCGATTGAGTGTAAATGGAGACCAAAGATTCTGTAAATGCGATATCTCACCGGAGCTTTTATCGCGGAGCGTCATAGACACTGGACTCAAGACGTCATACAGAAGATTGAGAACAGACAACAGAGGAGGCGGAGGAGACGAGAAGAGAAGATATAAATACTGCGAATAGGTAGAGAACCTTGATAGATCAATCACATTAATTAATTCGCCAATCATCATTCACCATGGGCTACCCCGATACTTTTGAAGGCTTCTGCGTCGACAGCCCCAAATCATGGAACAAGTTCCAAAAACAAACCCTCAAACCCAAGACATGGGGCGATCGCGATATCGACGTCGAGATTGAAGCCTGCGGTGTCTGTGGCTCAGACGTGCACACCGTCACCGGCGGCTGGGGCGACTTTGAAGGGCCTCTCTGCGTCGGCCATGAAGTCGTCGGCAAAGCTGTCCGTGTAGGCGACAACGTCAAAGACATTAAAGTTGGAGACCGTGTTGGCGTCGGTGCTCAAGTCGCCTCGTGTCTGGAGTGCAAGCTCTGCAAGAACAAGAACGAAAACTACTGTCCCGACATGGTGGACACGTATAACTGCACTTATCCGGATGGAAGTGTTGCGCATGGTGGTTTTGCATCGCATATCCGTGCTCACGAGTACTTCACCTTCAAGATTCCTGATTCCCTCAAGTCTGAGCAGGTTGCGCCTCTTCTCTGCGCGGGTATCACGACCTACTCTCCCCTCGTGAGGGCAAACGTCGGTCCTGGAAAGACTGTTGCGATCGTCGGTATTGGCGGTCTCGGACACATGGGTATCCAATGGGCAAAAGCACTCGGCGCTGAAGTCTACGCCATGACACACTCCCCCTCAAAGGTGGAGGATGCAAAGAAGCTGGGCGCAAAGGAAGTCATCGTCACAACGGATGAGAACTGGGCCGACAAGTACAAGTTCACCTTTGACTTTATCCTCAACTGCGCCGACATGACGCACACGTTTGACATGAACGCTTACATGTCTACGCTCAACATCGGAGGAGAGTTTCACAATGTCGGTATCCCCGATGAGCCGCTTCCTCAGGTGACTGCTGGTACATTCGCTGGCAATGCTGGTAAGATCACGGGCAGCCACCTGGGCAACCACCAGGAGATGGATGCTATGCTCAAGCTGGCGGCCGAGAAGAACATTGTTGCATGGGTTGAGACAATCGATATCTCGGAAAAGGGATGTGCTGAGGCTGTTGAGCGTGTGAAGGAGAACAAGGTGCATTATAGGTTTACCTTGACTGGGTTTGAGAAGGTTTTCAAGAAGGATTAGTAGTAATGTAATAACAATCACGTACTACCCTATTCTGAGTATTATCATGTACACCTGTGATCCATTCAAAGAGGTCTAGAGGCAGTGAGAAGTGATATATTTGTGAAATGAGTAGATAGTGCACTTGGAGCAATACACTCAAGATTTAAATGAAGAGTGACTAAACCCAGCAACAGTCCTCTGAACTTGGGCTAGACTTAGCCAAGTATTTCGTCGCTTCGGATCGCTTCTAAGATTTCTTGGCCCTAGAGCATCAATAACACGTAAATCTCATTAATCGCACTCAACATCACCGTTTCACGCGAGCGCAGCGAGGAAGAGCCCTCCGCTAGGAGCCCCCGGAGGGAACAGCAAAGTACAATTTGTCAACTTTAGACATTATCTCATTGTATTAACGTGGTATCATGATCTATTTAAGCGCCAATGGCCTTGAGGATGGCCTTTCCAACAGCGTGGGCGGACGCAGGGTTCTGTCCAGTGATAACCTGTCCATCGACAGCCAGCTTCTCTGCCCAGTCGTCAGCCTTGACGTACTTGCCGCCAACACGCTTGATCTCGTCCTCGAGGAGAACGGGCATGGCGCTGGTCAGCTTGACGGCCTCCTCCTCGGAATTGCTGAAGCCGGTGGCCTCGCGACCCTCGAGGAGAGGCTTGCCGTCGACCGTGACGTTGACAAAGACGATGGGGCCGTGGCAGACTGCGGCGACGGGCTTGCCGGCCTTGTAGAACTCCTCGATGAGCTTGATAGAGGTCTCGTCGTTGACGAGGTCGAACATGGGGCCGTGGCCGCCGGGGTAGAAGATGGCGTCGAACTCGGAGGCCTTGCCGAGGAACTGCTTGAGGGGGGTGGTCTGCTCCCAGAGCTGCTTCTTCTCCTTGAGGAACTTTACGGACTCCTCGTCGCCCTTGAACATCTCGACGGAGGCTTGGTCGAGGGGTGCTTCGCCGCCGGCGGGAGAGGCGACGGTGATCTCGACGCCGCTGTTGACGAGGTCATAGTAGGGGTGGGCGAGCTCGGGCTGGCGGTGGTTAGTTTGGGGTTTCGTGAGTGAGTGGGTGGCTTACCAGGTACCAGCCGGTAGGATGTCCATTGTTCATCTTGGACTGGCTGGTGAGAACGACGAGCACCTTGGGAGCCATTGTGTATGAATTGGGTATCTGCGGAATGTGTGGTGATGGGTATTGAGTGAAAGGGTGAGTTTACGGTTGATATGAGATGAGTTATGAGATGAAATGCTATGATGAGACAAACTCTAATGGATGACGCACTCACCTTTATACCACATGCAGACGTCGTGCTTCTCCACGCTTGGACCCTTGCAGTCGGGCCAATTCTCTACCGTTTCGAGCACCTTGACAAACTCTTCCGTTCGGCTCTTGCTGCGACTGACGTCAGACTAACGGGCCTAGCCGTCCATTCTCGGCACTTAACCCCGTGTAGCGCCGGCTTTTGTGTGGGGCAGGCCGGGGTCACGTACCCGGAGCGGCCGATTCGAGATTTGTATGTACCGCTGATGGACGCTCATGGAAGAGAGGGAGGTCCACTTGATGTGTAAGCTGGCATTCTTGAATCATGCGATTGTCACTTTGATGCAGAATCAGATACAATGAGAGGTGAGATCCCTCCGGGGGCTCCTAGCGGAGGGCTCTGTCTCGCTGCGCTCGTGTGCAGTCTTGTTGGATTGGACACTGACATGAAGCTCAATAGCATGGGTCAATTTGGATCTAACAAAAACACCAAATGAGTGACTTCCTCCACGATTACCTACATCCAGAAGCCGAGTGGATTGGTTCCTCTGACCTTATTATCCTTCCCATCACCCTTGCCGCCCTTGCCAGCCAACGGGGGAGTCTTGCATCTTCCTCTGTAGTCAGGCTTGACAACGAGACACTTGTCGCAGCCGCAAAGAAGCTCGAGATGGTTTCCGATTTTCTGGCTTGGCTGGTCGCATAGGCAGATGAACAGCGCATTGTCTATGCTGCTGGTTGGTGATTCGCCGTCGCATTTCACATTGGGCGTGCCGCAGTATGCCTGCGAGATTTGATCCTCATTCCACGGGTTGTCTGTGGTTGTTAGTGTTGAACATCGGGGGGGCTGTAGACGTACCCATGCCCTTGAGGACTGAAGAGCAGTAAGTGTAGCCGCATTCGCAGATTGGTCCCTCGGGAGGAGGAGGCTCGGCGGTTGAACTCGGAGGTGGAGGGGGACTTGGGTCCGGAGGAGGTGCTGGGGCCGGAGTAGCTGGGGGAGGGACAGGAGCTGGTCCGGATGGAGGAGGTGCAGGCTGAGACGGAGGTGGCGGAGGAGGGGGTTGAGACGGCTCGGTGGGAGGGTCAGCCGGGGGATCAGCCGGAGGAGGGACGGGAGGAGGAGCTGGAGGTGCCGGAGCTGGGGGGTCAGGGGGAGGAGCAGGCGGCTCAGAGGTTGAGGGGGGACTTGGAGCTGGGTCAGGAGGAGCTGGTGCTGGATCAGGGGGAGCTGGGGCTGGATCGGGAGGAGCCTGAGGCTTTGCAAGGGCTAGAACAGCCAGAGTAAGGATAGTAAGTTGAAACTTCATATTAACGAGTGTTGGTGGTGATGATGTGAACTGCTTCCTGTCTATTCTTATTTATATCGCTGCTGTTTGTTATACAATGGCTTGTCCTACTCATCTATCCTTCATCTTTCTTCGTCTGTCTTCGTCTATCTCCTCCCGAGCGCAGCGAGATAGAGCCCTCCGCTAGGAGCCCCCGGAGGGATCTCACATGCCTCACATGCTTCAAGGTCAAACGTTGATGCCAAATACCCGTTGCTCCGTCTGCCGAAGTGTTGCTCAAGCCGGCACTCGCTTGTTACTCTTGCGTCGCCCAGCTCAACTCCATACGTGCTAGGAAGTTATTTAATGTTACTTTTACGCTTATCCGAGGGTAACCATAGCCAACAAATCGGGTACCATGCGCAATAACTCGTCATATCGGGGGTCGAGATCACGATCACATACATCCACATTTACATCATGAAGTTTCCACTGCGACAGTGTTGGACCCCGCACTGTACTGCCCCACCATCGTGGAGGAAAAGAGCGTGCGCCTCCATGGTACGGGTCGTCATCCTACACTCGTCAATCAACAATCATGGCCGAATCGCAGAGAAAAGGCGTCGTAAACGTCGGCACGCGAAAGTCGCCTCTTGCACTGGCGCAGACGCAGATCGTCGTCGATGCGCTCAAGAAGAACTTTCCCGACCATGAATTCAACATCCACAGCATGACAACGACGGGCGACCGTGATCAGAACACTGCGCTCTACAACTTTGGAGGGAAAGGTCTCTGGACTTCGCAGCTGGAGGAGAGGCTCGTGAACAAGGAGCTCGACATTGTTGTTCATTCGCTCAAAGACATGCCGACGGTTCTGCCCGAGGGTTGCGTTCTCGGATGTGTCACGTCCCGCGAGGACCCGAGAGATACACTCGTGATCAAGAAGGAATTGCAGGACAAGCACGGCTGGAAGACGCTGGCCGATCTGCCGGCCGGGAGCATCATCGGCACCAGCAGCGTTCGGCGAATTGCGCAGTTGATTCGACGTTACCCGACGCTCAAGTTCAAGGACCACCGAGGAAACATCCAGACTCGTCTACGCAAGCTCGAGGAGGACCCCGACCTGACCGGTATCATTCTGGCCGCGGCAGGTCTCCAGCGGATGGACCTCGGAGACCACATTACACAGTTTCTAGAGTCTGACAATGGCGGTATTCTGCATGCTGTCGGCCAGGGAGCGCTGGGAGTTGAGTGCCGAGCGGATGACGAGGAGGTGATTCGGTTGCTCAAGACGATCGAGAACGAACAAACAGCTCTTGCGTGCGAGGCCGAGCGGGCACTCATGAGGGCACTCGAAGGCGGCTGCAGTGTTCCTATCGGCGTCGAGACCAAATGGGTTGACGACAAGTTACATATGAAGGCTACAGTTGTCAACCTTCGGGGTGACCACGGCGTCGACTCTGACATAACAGAGCCTGTCAAGACACACGAGGAGGCAGACAAGTTTGGGAGGAAGCTTGCGAATGCTCTGGTTGAACGGGGAGGCGGTAGTATTCTTGATGAGATCACTAGGCTCCGACAAGTCCCGGAGACGGTCAAGTAGCGTAGGGACTGCACGGCAGATCAATGCCCTTGTATTCTATTCAGCTCCAGCAAAAGCCTTGTAGGCCTCGGCATCCAATAGTTTCTCAAACTGCTTCGCACCCTCCTCATCCACCTCGACCTTTGCGATCCAGCCGCCACCAGCGCTGTCGTCCTCGGGCACCTTGTTGATGGTCGAGGGCTTCTCCTCGAGGGTGTCGTTGACTTGTAGGACTCGTAGACGCACAGGAGCGTTGATGTCGCTGGCTGACTTGACAGACTCGACGGCTCCGACAGCGTCGCCTTGCTCGACCCATGTTCCGGCCTCGGGCAGTTCCACGTAGACTACATCTCCGAGCTGCTCGGCGGCGTACTCAGAAATTCCAACGAAACCGTGCTTCTTGTCCGCAGACAGATCAATCCATTCGTGGTCTTTGGTGTATTTTCGAGCAAGGCCTGTTTGGTTAGTGTCGTCATTGTAGCGATCCAGCGCACATACTCAGTTTGGTAGACGAGAAGGCTCGGATCGGCGTGCGGATGGCTGCGCGGGGCACAATACCCCTGGCCAGAGGGGCTGCAGCGCGTAGGGACCGGGAAATTGAGGCCATGGTGATGATGCTGATGGTGATATCAAAGTTCAAGCTTTGTCGGCATCATGCGGAGATGGGCCGAGTGGATCGGAGGGAAGCCGACTTAGTCAGCATCATGAAGTTCACAGCAGTCTACAGCACTCCATCAATTCTACAGCAATTTCCGTGTGCCTTGGAATGTGATTTCAATTAAGGCACAAGGCTTGCGCAGTTAAACAAGACATGAGGAAACATTGGTCCAATCGGAGATATCGACGTGGGGGTTTGGAACACTGTTTACTTGGTGTTTAGTGCCAGCGACTCGCCTGTTGGGTATCCCTCCGGGGGCTCCTAGCGGAGTGCTCTTCCTCGCTGCGCTCGTACTACGATATCATACAATTACATGGTTGCTATTATTGCAATATTGACGATTTGTTCAGCTGGGACGGATCAAACGCAGTTATTGCGCAATCTCAGCTGGCCATACACCGAATCAACCAATTACTTGCCCAAACGCGTTGACGCGCTGCGCTACGCTAAAACACCACCATCATCATCACAACATTTCACGCATAAGCAGGGACTAGCAAAGTCTATCTCAAATTAACACAATTGAACTATTTTCAGAACATTTCATCTCAAATACTACGTCCCCTGTTGTGCTGTTAAAATCCGTCCCTCCACTTTAGCCTTGTACCACCAAACCCGGTGCCTTGAAATTCCGTCCCGCTTCTGGCCTAAACAAGAGGCTCCCATCATCATCCTCTCCAAACGTCAGCGCAAACTCTCTGCTCCAACAAAACGCATCGTCCGGTTTCAGTTTGGAACAAAAACGAGTGTCAACGCGATTAGTATTCTGTCGCCGAGGTCTCATTGCTAAACGGCTTGTCTCACGGTTTCACTCTGGTGGCTTTCGACTCCGCCACCTTTCAGCTGCCTTGTCTTGACCTCCCCGCTGCGCATCACGATATCATCACTTGTCAACTAGCTTGATGCTTTGACAGGCTGATCTTTTCTTCTGTCACTCTCTCCGACCACGTTCTCTACCGATTTCTTTCGTTTGCTCGACTCGACTGCTTCACCGTCACCTTGACTCGTCAACCTCGATACCCGTCACACCTTCACGCTGGACGACTACACGAATCCCTCGGCTCCGGCCGAACCTACGACCATGGAACACTTGATGAGTTCACCTCCCCATGAAATCCCACTGCCACCCCCAGGCCAAGACGAGACCCTCGGAGGCATCGAAGAATCTCCCCACCCGAATGGGTTCCATCATCAGCAAAGCACATCCCTCGACCAAGGGCTAGCTCAAAGTCCACGACAAGAAGACCCGTCTACCAGATATACTCCCCCCGTTCAAACCGCACCGCCAATTTCCCGCCCAGCCAGTGGCTTGTCCAACCCCGCACACCAAGCCTACAACGACTATCGACAGGGTTCTGGTGAGCCATCATCCAACGGTCGAAACCACGTTGTCATCAAGGTCGGAATGGTTGGCGATGCGCAGATCGGCAAGACGTCGTTGATGGTCAAGTACGTCGAAGGGAGCTGGGATGAGGATTATATCCAGACGCTGGGTGTCAATTTCATGGAAAAGACAATCTCCATCCGTAACACGGAAATCACCTTTTCGATCTGGGATCTCGGTGGTCAGCGAGAGTTTGTCAACATGCTGCCTCTCGTGTGCAACGATGCAGTTGCTATCCTCTTCATGTTTGATCTCACCCGCAAGAGTACATTGAATAGCATCAAGGAGTGGTATCGACAGGGACGCGGGTTCAACAAGACGGCCATCCCGATTCTCGTCGGTACAAAGTACGACCACTTCGTCAACTTTCCTCCCCAAGATCAAGAAGAAATCTCAAATCAGGTACGAGCGCAGCGAGGAAGAGCCCTCCGCTAGGAGCCCCCGGAGGGAAACCCGACCTTACTGACGGCAACAGGCGAGACGGTTTGCGAAAGCCATGAGAGCTGCATTAATATTCTCGAGTACAAGTCACAGCATCAACGTGCAAAAGGTATGGCCTCGCAGTCGTTGGAGGGTACAGTGTGCTAACTTGGTAGATCTTCAAAATTGTGCTATCCAAAGCGTTTGACCTGAAATGCACGATCCCCGAGATCGAAAACGTGGGCGAGCCGCTCCTTTTGTATCAGTCGGTGTAGTGGACGGAATAACGAGTAAATGTTGAAACTGACAACATGACGACAAGCGACGGGAGAGTCGCAAACAAACCATTTCCTTTGTCATTGCATACAACAACAACTGGATCGTCACTTTTCTTCAAACTTGAGATTACTAGGGCAAATTACGGAAGGGGTCAGGAATCACCCCTGGATAGATAAACATGGGGATTGGCGCAGGACCGCATTAATGTGGCCAGCTTTACCGGTCGGTGGTCACGGCGGGCTATTGAAGTATTTGAGAGATACAATCGAATGTTAATCGTATTAGTGTATGCTAGATGAGATGAATGATGCGAGGGAGTGACGATGTAGTCGTGTTGATTATTGTTTAGTTGTGGATCGGAGTAGCGAATCTAATCCTGCGACTAATTCTCTTCGGAGGTCGTCTATTGATTGTCTGGGGGGTATTGGGATGTTGTGGAGGTGCATGTGAGTCTGCTCGGGGTCCTTGAGCGAAGGATGGTAGTACAGGCGTTTGCCGGCGGGTGCTTTGTGTTTTGTGTAGATCTCGATGCCGTCTCGATAGATGGAGATGATTTCGACGAGCATGCCTCGCTCGAGATTTGGCTTGGTCTCTATGAGTTCGATTGCTTCCTCGTCAGGGACACGTCTGCGGCGGGTGAAGTAGCACATGATGATGCCGAGGGTGGGGTTGAAGGAGATGATGATACTGAGGAGAGGTATGAGTATTGCGTACATCTCTGGTGATGGTTCCATGATGTGCCTCGGGCGCATCTTATATGTGATTCAGTGCGATCCATTTATTAGAGTAGGATACATGAACCTTTTCTTGAAGTTAGGAGGAGATGGCTTATATTGAAAGTCTCTGTGGGTGAGTACAACTTTATTCATTTGTACTTGACCAAGGAAGGATTGTTCTGTGATTTGATGGCGTGTTTGATCAACGCTGGTCGTCGAGAAATTGGGAACAGTTACATAGGGAACATTCTTCTTGATCATTTTGAGGTCCTCGCGGGCTGTGGGCTCGGGTACAGTCCAACGCCGTTCGCTCACAGTTGGTGTACTTTTCATGATACCGTGGCTCTTGAAACATGACTTTAGATATACCTTTGTGTGGCTCTGAACTTTGAGTTTCTGTGAAAGGCTTTAACAAGGATTCATCACGAAAGTTCAGAGTCTGGTTCACGATTGGACAAAGGTTTGGCGAATGAGTCTATTCTTCTTTTATCTACTCCCCTAAAGCTAGCATCCTGCATTTACTCACCATCAGCGAGGACTAGCCTCCACAGACGACAGTTCATGAGCCTCCTCGATGTCCCGGAGCCTTCTCTGGCGACAACAGATCATAATGGACCAGACGAGCATGATGCATAGAATAGTACCAGAGCAGATGCCAAGAATGAGCCAGGTGGTCATGTAATCGGGCAGTGCTTCGACATCCTTGCGGCGGACGAGAGAGAGGGAAGCTGAGAGGTTAGAGTTGGCCATTGTGATGTGTTGATGTGATGAGGGTGATGGGAGTGATGAGGGTAAAGTGATGGGAGAGGGTAGTAGTTATATACTGCTGTGAATATGCTGTTCTATGGTCATCATCCAGTGTTCATGCAGAGTGTTCTGAACCGTTGGTGAACAATCTGCGTGTCTCTTGTTCACTGGCTCTGACTCTGCACGCCCTGCTCAACATCCTTCCCCTTAAGCCTTGCCCGTCGAAGTCGAATGGTCCTGGCGATAAAGTACCAGGTGGGCGGTACGATAAAGAGAAGAATGATGCCGCCGACAATACCCATGGTGAGGATGCTGTCGCTCTTGGATTGGGGGGCATCGTCTCGGCGAACGGGCCAGGAGAGGAAGCCTCTGAAGGAAGCTGGGAGGTAAGAGTTGGTCATGGTTGATGTGTGGATGTGAGGATGTGATGTGGTGGTCTTGTGATGTTGAGATGAAGACGATGCAGGAGGCTTTATGCTGCATCTTGTGTGTGAATGATTCACTTGTTTGTGCTCATCGTGTTTGAACAGTGAATGTTCGTTTACAACATCTTTGACATTGTGAACAAACCCTGCGATGCAGAGGGCAAAGCGGTGATTGCAAAGAACAGTGACTGTTCAACTGGTAGGGAATAAAAGTAGTTGTGGCTATTAATACTCTGTTCCATTCATCAAATAAACACACAAACAACCTTCAACATGTTCACCTTGGCTTGCTTTGTTCTTCTCGGGCTCATTGTTCTAGCCTGGATAGTATCAGTCTGCTTAGCAATGCGACAACAAGCGCGACAGAACCACCGAAACTCTCCAATGCTGGATCCGGAAAGACAGCTGAGAAACTCCAACACGTATGCATATTACCTCAGGTAGACTCACACTCGAATTCAGTGGCGGCGGCGGCGGCGGCGGTTATATCTTTTGGACATTCCCCATCGGATGCTTCGGGTACCTGTGGATCCCCTCCATCAGCATCTCCAGCCTCGACTGGCTATTTCCTTGCAGCCATTTCCAAATCAAGAGAGCTTTTCTCACGAATCTGCATCTTTCCGTTCCCCACAGACAGACCAACCTAACGGGCCGCATCTACTGTTCCTGAAGATCTGGTGGAGGTGCAGGGTTTAGTGCCTTTACGTACGGATAACCTCAACTGTGAGTATGATGTGAAACGATGGCCACCGTCGAGACTTTATTCTAGACTCTAGTTTAGTCTTGGTCTACCCCCAATAAAATAAGACCCTTGTCCTGTAATCCATCACTCCTAAGAAATGCCAACTCAAATGACACCACAACGCCGTTCATGAAAAGGAAATCAGCGCGCTAGCGATAACAAAATTTGGAACAAAGTCCTGAAACAAATCCTGTCCATGCAGGCAGAGTCGAATATTCACTTGTCGTCCTTGTCTCCCCATATGGGAGCGTTGAGAGGCTTGCTGACACCAAAGCCAACACCGACGGCAATGCCGACGACGAGGAAAATGATCAACCCCTTGACGATCCATCGATTGCGTTGGCTAAGCTTGGCCATGCAGGTGCAGCGGTTCTTTGCCTTTGCGGCCTTGGCCTGTTGTTTCCAGTGATCTTTTCCGGGCCAAACTTGGCAGTCGGTCTTTCTGGCGAGAGGGGTGCTCGATGTCTTGTGCATGCATGAATCTGATGTTCGTGTTGTGACCATGGCTTCGATGTCGGTGTCGAAAGGGTTGAGTTTGTCTGTTTGGGGGGTGGATGTTGTGCTGATGCGAGGGGTTTCGGTTACGGACGCATTTGTGGCAGCTTTCTCGGGGATTGTGAGGTTTGTCTCGCCGCTTGGGCGGGAGAGTTTTTCGTAGTTTGAAGGCATGATGAGGCGACGAGATGTCCAAGGTTGATTGATTCAAGTTTGAAGGATTGGATGAATTGAAAGCTGTCGCGGTTAGTGACGCGTGGCTATGGCTGGTGTGACAGTGACACCAACGGCTGGTACATACTTGAGTGAAACCAAGGTTGGGATCTCTGCGCAGTTGGATGTAGATGAATGCGAATGAATGTAGATGCAAGAGATGATCCTCAATCGGCAAGGAGTGAAGGCAAGTCTTTAGAACATGGATTGATCGTCGTTCAAGTCCGTTCGGTGATGGGACGCTTGGATTGGTTATGATGGGGCAAGTAATAAAGCCAAGAAAATAGAAGAGAATCAAAGAGGATCTCCCAAAGAGACGAGATTGCGATGGTTAAGAAGAAGACGGTCGAAGCAAGGGAGAGTGAAGCGATGGGGCCCGAGAGAAGGAACCTTGTATATGAGTTCTTTCTCAACACACGCAACGCAATGCAACGCCACTGATGGAACAAACTCTCTCGCTCGACTGACCTGACTTCCACAAAAGACGTAGAAGAGGAGAACAGGAGCACAGCAGACAGCAGACAGAGACATGACAGAGAGGGAACCCCTAACTAATCCAAAATGAACCAAGCCCCCTGCACATTTCAACGCTTGGGCCCGAACCGGGTGCGCTAACTGCTGGCTTGCCGCCTTTGGGCTTGGTGGGAGCTCCCAGCTAAACGAGCTAGGTCCAGCGGGGGTCCCCGGCTGGGCTAGCTAGGCCATTGCTACGCTCTAGATTGCTCCAGGACCATCACCATTCAATCGAAACATGGCATCACCAATCAAGGTTTGGTCCGTCTGCATAACACGCGGCTGTCCACAAACACAACACATGCACAAAAAATATCACAAAATGCACTGCCTACCTTGGACAGAGACTGTAACCGAAATCCCTCAGATAGCAAACCAACACCCCCTCAGACTTCAGATCAGATCCCATGTGGCACGGCTGCATGTCTCTAGATCGATTCCCACGAATAACACCTCCATCCCTTCGAAAATGGCTCAAGTTTATCTAGTGATTTACCCGCATCCTAATGCTAATTCTCGCCGGCGCCACCAACATGGGTTAATCGCCGGCTCTTGGCACTGACTCGCCAATTGCACTTCATTCAAGCTGTCTAGGGACTCTAGGCTGTGCCATAAGAGTATCTCTCCGCAAAGCCAAGAAAGATTATTCTTCTTGGCAGCCGAGATGCCGTGATCTTGTGTTCAACTATCGTCCATATCACGCCCCCAACTGATGATTTGGTCAGTGGGCTGTCAATCATCTGGTATGACTTCACACATGACAGATCCCGTTGATCAGGAGTCAGCCAGGAACAGGCACAAGGTTTGGCTTCAAACAGCGGGAGCAAAGCCACAGAATTCCTGTCCTGAATAAAGAAGCTTTCCACAATGTTGATGTGTTTGTCGCCACGATCGAATCTGATTTCATGGTTGTGCTATTCGTTGTGTTTCAATCACGGCACAGCATCCACTTGTGTTTTGGAGTTCCGTGTATTCTTATCGCACTCGGAATCGTGTCCGTGTCTAGCAAGAAATCCGCGTATAAAGATTCGGCAACTGGATCGCACTTCATCCCAATCTCCGCGTATAATAGATCCGATATCACAAACTCAGTCATTCAGATTTACGTACCAGATGCGAAATATCCCAATGCAAGTGAGGAGTTCTTCAGTTAAAGTCCAGAACCTGGTCTCTGCATTTACTGGGGTCCCTGCATTAGCTTCCATTGCCAAGGAATGGATAAGAAGAATTCTAGACTTGAGTTCGTGGTGCTCAGTGGCGCTGTCATTGTGTTGCTGCCACTGATAGCCGTTTTTCTTTACCAAAAACGGACTTGAAGTTGGAATTCTCATTGTTCCTATTGCCACTTTCGAAGGTTTGATGTGATACAGTCGGTTCAGCCGATGACGATAGTGACACTTGGTGGCAGGACGGCAGTTGATTGAACCACAGTATTCGGATTTACCCTTGATACGAATAAGTGGTGACAATCAAGTCTCTCCTGAGTGGGGGACTCAGTGATCCCTGTCGGGGTGTTTTATTGCCCACAAATATTGGTCTAATTTGAGATCAGTGCCACAGCGAGACCATCATGCAAGTTGATGTCAATCGAGTGCATTTTCTCAAGGTAGTCGTAAGTGCCGGGATACTGATCTTCAATTTATTCGTCGATTGATGCCAGTCACTTCGGTGTCGATGTTTAGAATGCAATCATCCCTTTGTGGTTGGTCCTCCATTAAGCCCTATAATATCAGCGCATGAACTCGCCTGAATGATCAGCGCGAATGTGCACAGAGATTCGCCAAAGGTTTGTTTGAAGCATCAAATTGGAGGCAATGCATGCCAATCGTGGTGTCTTGACGTGCACCGTATCGGAAAGTGCTGCCGTTGAAATCTGTGTTGTCTAAGGTCGTGTCGTTCTTGTATCAACGTCGTACCTACATATCCAATCAGTACCTTCGGCGAAGGTGAAGTCGCCTGCAGTTGGGCAACATGTGCAAATGAGATTGAAGAGCCCGGAAGTTCTCACTGCAATGGCCAGCGCTGGATGGCGAATGACTGCTCAAAGAGATGGTTCGATGCATCGAATGTGAGCTTTCGGGTGTCCTTTGACATTGCATGAGGCAGCCCGCGCGGCAAATATTTGGGGTATCAGTCAGCGTCCTGAATGCTGGTGAATCCAATACCTGGAGACTTGGCTCGGCTTGTGTCATGTCAGTCGTACCGAGAACTACCACGCGCACCTATCGGTTTCTGATGCCTCTGGCAACGCCCGGAGACAGGTAACAAGATCCAACAGCGCATACGGAACGACTGAGTTCGTGGCTTAGGACGCAAATCTCAGCTCCAACTTAGCTTGCTGACATCGTATGTTGGCACTCAATCGGCGTTCTTCAGTTATGGCGGTTTGGTGACTTGCAGTGGCAGCCAGAACGGTGTAGAGTGTGGACGACATCGTCGTTTGACCTGAACGGCGCAGACTCGATGAGATCTCAGCCCCATGAATGCTGGAAGAGCTGACAGAACCCAATGCGTAGATAAGAAGACTGAGTTTGGTATCAAGATGCGAAGCTATTCACTTTGGCCCATGCTTGACGCCAGCGTAATTATAGGCAGCCAGTGTCCCAAACATCTGCATTGGTTGGTGATTTACAGACAGTCGAAGCGCTCCAGTGATGGAAGGTCATGCCTTCGCCTGATCAGGCCAGTCGGCGGAGTCTCTGGGTCGTCAAATCGATGGGCATTGGAGTCTTGCTGAGTGTGCAATGCAGCCTACTTATCTGGTGTCTTAGCCGTTGTGCTTGGATTGCAAGACAACCTTGGTGCATTCGTGGAATCATCGTGCCGAAGGGAAATCGTACGGGCTGTCCGAATTAGAGACGATCTGCCATCTTCGTCCGGCACTATATTATTAACGTTGCGCTCGAGTTCATGCAGACTGCTCGACCTGGAAGCCTCTAGATTGAGTGGCGTGTATCTTCAAATGCGACCCGATTCGACTGTCGAGACTGGTTAACGGACCAGAGTAGCCAAGGACTCACGAGATCAAGAGATCAGGGGTGATATTGAGGTTGGTATCTCAAGCCAAGGCAGAGTGTTCAGCTTGATCGGCCGCCAGTTTTGTTTCGGTGCGAGTTATCAGCCTTCCCCATGCATTCGAGTCTCAAGAAACGAAGGGAAACGGTTGGAAGCTATGAGTTTCGTGTAAATTGACAACATCCTTGGTTGTAATAGACGCCGCTTCTTCACTTGAGTCGTCCCGAAAAAGTCTAGTCATCAAGTGCGCAGACCGCAAGGATGGATCTAACATCTTGAGCTGAACTGGAGTGGTCAGCTTGAGCAAGCTTACCAGATGTATAAGCAGCGGCGCAAGTCAGCCTCTGAAACTTACAGAGATTGTAGGGGTGCAGATAAACGAGGGCCGCATGGACAATGGGTTCGAGCAGCTATCGCTAAGAGACCATAATTACACGGCCCTATCACGGAACCTGGGAAAGGTTCAACGACGGGCGTAGGAAAGGTCGGCGGCTGCTGCTTCATGGGCAGGTAGACTCGTAGTCAATTCCAATCATCATGCCAATCGACTGACCGTCAGTCTATCCTGCAGAATGAATAGGGTTACGTTTATCTGACTCAACGGTTGAAGTTCAATGTCAAGGTCGAGATTGCGGAGGCGGTGGTTGAAGGGAACCTCTTCCTATCAGGCGTCAAAGTCTAGACATCTCAGCACCCTCCAGGTTTTGGGTGTGGACGGCAGATGACGTATCGGAAGCGGTAGATGGCAGAACAGGGCAAATAATTCAGTCGAGAAACGCTGAATGGCCCTATACACTTGGTGCCGTCGTTGCAGCTCATGTAACTCGGAGATGTTGGCATCGTCAGCATTGCAAACTTAAAGCAGCAAACACATGCCTTTTCCCAACTTCTTTTCAGTTTCCATGACACGTTCTAAGCGGGTGGGAGATAATTAGGTCATTTGCCTTGCTCTGCGAACGTCCGACATGAAATCGGAACCCAAGGTGGCTAGAGGTCGAGGAGTCGTTACTCGACGATCGTTCTCATCCATGCATATCATCAGCATTATACAGGATTTCCAACTTTTTGTGGACTGCACTCACTGGCTGTTCCATAAACATTTGGGAAGCCAATGTCGATTGCCGTGGGTGACTTTGACTTCGTGTGGTGCTTCGAGCAGGTGTTGGGGCTGATGCAGAGTTTCGCAATAGCTTGCGTTGAACGTTCGTGGAAGATTCATGGTTCCAGCGGCCAAGATCTGTTTTTTACCGGCTTCAATTGTCTGATATGGTCATTAGATTGTGCACTGACATTCATATGAGGTCGGTATCCATCATTCAGCATTATTCAGTTCCTTCCGAGGTCAGCTGCAGGGTAGAATTATCGACAGATTCTGGTGGTTCGGGATCGTTTCATGTTGGTCGTCGCCATGCCTAGACATATCATAAGTATTCTTCAACAGCAGTTACAGGGTACACAGAAGAGTTGAGTAGTTTGGGCCGCGCTGATGGTAAGCTTCGAAAAAATTGTGATTACCTGCTGCTTTCAACCTACCCTTAGTGCCTCATGGACACTGGGGAGCTTGTGATACAACGGCCACAAGTCGATGGTCAAGTCGGTACTTGGAAGCAAGTGTAGCAATTTGGGTGCTCATTTCTATCAGCCGACATCGTACCAAGGCAATGTGAGAGCCTCAGGAACACTTACAGAGTATCATAGTGCAGTCGTCACCGGCACTGCCATGTGCCATGGTCCAGGACTAATGACGAATGTCACGCCCTTTTGACTGACTCTCGGTGCCTGTTCGTGGCTACTCGGCGGAGCGAAGACTCGGAGACCTTCTGATGCAGCGATTAGATGTCAGTCGTCAAGTCAAAATTCGTGACCAAGTGAAAGACTGTGTAAACCGCATGTTTATCTGTTCCAGTATTATTCAAGCCACTTGCACAGTATGGTCAGTGTAGTCGATATTCCCAACTCGAAGTCGAAGCCGATCGCCGAGGTCCTCTTCAACATACCATCATCGCCCTTCAAGGTTTCCAAGGGCAAAGGCTAGAGAAGTGTGTCCGGCGCCGGTTGGTCGTTGGTCGTAAGGTCAATATGCGTAGTCCGAAGCTGTGGAGGCCGCCTGTCCATCGATCAAAATGGGGGTTAAGGTATCATCGACTCTCTTTGGCGACTGAGACCGAGGGATTATAGGGTTGAACATGTTGCACAAGTCGGCGAGGAGCATCTTTGATTCACTAGGCTGTTAGTACTGAATTACGCTGACCCTGACCCGCCTCTGGTCAAACTTGACGGCCCGGACATCGAGAGCTTCTTGAAGGGGCATGAGAGTTCAATCATCGTTCCGAGCTATACAAGCTTTTGGGCACCGAGTTGATATCGATCCCTTGCGTGATGTCACCCTCAGCACCGTGGGTTTGATGGTCCCACAGAATTGGTTTGTGTCTTGCATGGCTGTTGAATGTCAGTCAACATGAAGAAGAGAAGCCCAAGTTCGGTGGTATCGTATTTGTGTCGCCACTGGGCTCTGGCTATCGTTAGCCCCTTCGTCAATTGAGGTCGAGGAAGCCATAATGAGGGTTTGAGCAGCCCGCAAGGCACATGGCAGTTGTCTGGGCTGACTGGTGGTGGTAAGTGTTGTCATCCTATCAACGTAGGTATGTCCAGAGACCAATCGATCGCTTAGAGTATATGGGTGTCGTCTTTCTCGTATGTTCCATTGAGCACATACGATCATGACGGCCTTTCGTGCGAAATTTGAGTCGGTAGGAAATTTGTCGTCGATCAAGCAACTGTATCTCATTGTCAACCCCCCCGAAGAACATGGCCCTAGGTAGGGCCATGTGGCGGGGTTACTTATAGTAGATCTTCTCAGAAGCATCATTGAGGGTCGCCTGTTAATCGGCAAGTAGCTGAATTCACTTGGGCTGAAAGACGAGCCAAAGTTGAACATGGTTGGATTGGGTATGTCTACATCTAATCAGCGCATTCCCCAGCGACATCGAAAATTGTGGCAGCACCTGCAGCAGCCTGACATGTGTAGCCGACATGCTTGGAAGGGGATGTGGGTTGTTTCTCAGACTGTAAAAGTTTAGCTGTAGCCAGGTGCTTGCTGCAGCGTTGTGGGCCTACTCCCTTTCAAACGCTGGTCATGAGCAGTCCTTATCTCTGTGGTCATAAGGCCAGTCACAGTTGTTCGAGTTTCAAAGAGGTGTTGCTGCATCTCATCAGCATCCGTCCAGGCGATACATCGGGCAGTACCTCTGGGTCGAGTTGCTAATTGTCAACAAATTGGGTTAGATGATCACACAGAGCGTTTCCAAATACCGCACGGTCTGTATCGTCAGTTAGCCAGGCGTTCTGGTTTGATAGGCGTGGAACCTGCCGACAAAGTTGAATGGCGGAGGTAGGGCTGGGAGAAAAGCGACTCTGTAGCGGAGTCAGGATAGCATCAGCAACGGCTCGGGGGGCGAGGATATTGGGTGGCTGAGCCAAGGTAGCCTTTGTCCTGTGAAGCGGTTTGCTGTATTTGCAAGAGGGGCAATATTCGAATAGCGAGCCGTATGGGTTTATTCTCCTCGACATGGACAGCAGCGTCATCGCAGACACTCTTGACTTCGAAAACGGGCAAGGCATGAAAGCATTCTCCGTTGCCCTCAGGGTGCTAAGTTCTGTGTGCTGTTGAGTTGTCAGCCACAGGCCTCAACTGCAGATAACACCGGCGTGCAATAAGGAGTGAAACGGTACTGATACCTTCTCTGGGGTTGCAAAAGTAGCCTTGGACTGTTAGTATGTGAATATATGGTGGCCGGGCAGACTTACATAGCTTAGCCATGGCCGAGATACCACCTGTTTGAAGAAATTTGAGATGTTTCGAAGGGAACTTGATGCTCTGATCAGCCAAGACCCTAGCTATGCCAGGTCAAAGAAGCGCTCTCAGTCCGCTTGCCTCAGCCGCTGATGCACGAGCAGTCATCCTGGGAGAGGGGCCAGTCGTGTCGGCCATGGAGCAATCGAAAGGGCAGGTCTGAGTCCCATCAGTAAACTCCTCGCAACTAAAATTGACGGCAGTACCTCGATTTCCGTGACCTCCGCGTTCACATTGTGAGCTGGTGAAATACAGCGCTCTCAGTCTCGCCGTCATCTGCTCGAACGTCTATCGTCATCCTGGTACTCAAGTCAGCTCATGATCTTGTCTTGAAAGGGCTGTCCTGCCGGCAAACCTCCGATCGTGCTCGTAAGCGTAACTCAACCACAACGCTTGGGTAGTGGTAGTAGGTTTGCTCTTGCCTGATGGCGTATCAGGATTGCCAGCTTGGTTGTCATCCATGGCAATATGATCCTAGTGCAGCTCAAGTCAGTGTGCCGTGAAGTGAGCTCGGAAACTTTGCCGCAGTCTGTGGCTACCAAATCGACATTCTGCTTGGGAAATGATGGATCAATTGAAGACCGGTGATGATTGGTGGCAGACAGATGATGGGAGTTATTGTCGGGAGGTGGAACATGAATGATGATGAGAGATGGTGTCAATATTGAGGGTATGCCTTGTGAATGAGAGCCCAATATTCTCGCTTGTGAAGAGTCAGTCGAGGAATGGTGATAGGATGATGACGGGGGCTGATGATGTGTTGATGAATTGATGGATGGAGATGAATGAAGCTGGATAATAGGTGGCGGGTGATGAAAATCGAGGATTGAGTGGTTCACAATGAGCTCCTGCCATTTCATTTGCTCCCATGACTTTGCTGTCCCCAGGAAGGCATCACCACGTTTCCAGGAAGTGACGCGACAGTGTTCACCTGCCGTTTGCATGCGCTTCACTCAACAATTCTCTTCTCATCACGCCCCTCAAACTCTTCATCATCTTCACACTTTTATCACTGCATTATCATCATTCTTTTCCTTGCCCTTCGCCGCCTGTCGTTTCACTATACACCATGGAGAAGCCATTCGCTGGACAATGGCTGTACGATGATAAGGATCTCGCCCCATGCAACATCCTATGGGAAACATTTCTCTGCCCTTGCATTGTTTACGGTCGGTCCAAAAAGAGCTACGAGGATGCTCTCGACAAGGCGTTTGAATGTGATTCACCCCCGAATGGTCGTGTCAGATTCAATATCAGCAAGAAAGGAATCGTCGACACACAAGAGGAATACTAGTCGAAACCTCTGAATAACCCGGCCGTTTCTCTCCCCTGCGTGCAATTCGCTGCCTGCTTGCCTTGTAAGTGTCCCCTTGCAAGTCAAACACTCTAACATTTCTAGTATATGGTGGCTTGATCTCCAATCTGCGTACCAAGGTTCGCGATCTCTACAACATCGCAGGAACTCAAAGCGAAGACAATTTACGGGGCTGCTGCTATCCATATGATACCCTCATTCAAATCGAGCACGAGCTCATCAATCATGGACATCATCGGAGACGCTCTTGCTGTGGGTATGAGACCGAACCCTCAATGACCACATCCGTGAGCACTTCTAGATCGCACAGCAAGGTCACCACTTGTGATACGGAGCCTGATGCAAGCCTTCCATGTATTCCCGAAGGTTCATCCGAGTGCACGTCTCCAACCTCATCTGCAAGCAGCCGAAGCAAGTCCCGGGAGAGGTCAATCGCTCGAGATCCAGTGGCGCCCACCGATGCAACGCTTGACCACAGTCACGACCTCTCCAAAGATCCAAAAGGACCATATCGAACCAACGCAACTCACCGGTTGAAGGATGACACTTCTGCTCCTGTGTATCCTCCTTCAATTCATCAACTTCGAACCGATACAAAGGCGCCTGCCAGTCCACCTGCAGTTCATCGACACGATTTGTTTCAGGACGCAAGCGAGACGAATGAGACCCAAGCCAATCACGACATTGGATTCGATCAAGTTGCAACCTACCGAGCTAGTCCTGATCATCTGCTTCGGCAAGACGAAAAAACGCCGGGAGCATTTCCTTCAGCTCATCATTTGCACCACGATACAGTGGTCCGGACCAAACCACCACGACAACACATGTTAGAAGATGATGAGCAAGGCCCGAGTAGGTCGGGAAATCCTGGGCCACACCATCTTCATGAGGACAAGTGAGGAGGACGAGGAAAGCGGCGACGTCAAGAGGCCAGACAATGGAATATTATTATGATTCAACCTCAGACACGACTGTAGTATTATCACTTCATAGGGGCTTACAATAGATATATCTCAACTGTAACCATATGCGACCATGGCGGTAGTATTGTGACTTGAGCATTGGTGCGTCCTACGGTCACATATGGTCTCTGAGTTGGCAGGCTATGCATGCGACCAGGTCAAATGAGTGGCAAACGCCGAGCAAATGTTACTGTCCCGCCTCCCAGCCTCCGACTTGCAGCTCGATGCATTGGCGTTGCACACAAGTATCATCGAGAGGGGTTCGACACGGACACGACGCGAGAGATCGCGGGTGGTCTGGCCTTTAATAGTGACAAGCCAGGATAAAGTTACACTTAACAGGGACCCGTTTCAGTGGAGGCAGTAGCTGGTTGGCGATCGGTGAGATCAGCTGAAAGACGACGACCAATTGAAATTCCGTGTCTGCCAATGTTGTGATGAGACCATGGTCGCATATTGGCGGCCATGCACATAGCTGGCTGGGTACAACGAGTTCGGGCAGACGACTTGGGCATTGAGTTCAGGCTTGTACAGGCTCACAGATCAAGGAACACGAACTCGCGTTACATTAAATGTCTTCATCCTGCATCTGAAATCTCCCTTGCATTGGCGCTCAGCGCGACGATTGGACATGGCATGGAGCGAACTGGGTTGACGCTTGTGGAGTTTTGGACGTCCCACAAGGCCAAGGCATGTTGCATTGAGCGAATCATTTTGGAAAAGTGCTTAGCGGTGACCAACTTGCATTGATTGAGGGGAAAACACCTCAGGCAGAGATGGCCTTATCTTGACTGTCTAATGCTAGAATGATCAAAGCTCTCTGACATCGATGATCAATTCCTTGCACTGCTAATTAACACGGTCGCGAATCTGCATTCTTGTTTCATACCTGTCGGCCCACTGCCATCTGTAGGCATTCTAGTGACCTGCTTCTAGTGGCCGCCCGTCACGTCCGCGCTCACGTCCAAGGCACGACGCCCTGAGGGAACCCACTTTCGCGCTGAAGCTCCCTTATTACCGATCTTCTCCACGCGCCCTCCGCAGCAGAACCCACCTTTGGCACCTCTTTTCTACCCGCTCTCTCCCACTTTCACTCATCATCGTCTTCACTCATTTACACGTTCGACTCACGCGATAACAATAAACAACAACTTCACTCGCTGCTGGGTCCATCATGGCTACTGTCACTCGTCAACCATTTGCTCCCCTTGATGGGACTCGTCTCCAAACCTTGACAAGTCTCAAGAACAGGCAAAATGGTATGTGGAGATGCGGAGTGTTTGGGCTTCACTGACATGGTTAGCTTTGCCAACTGGTGGTAAACGAAAGGCTGAATTGATTGATACCGATGATTCTGAAAATGTCGATCCTGTTTCTTTTGCCAAGCGATCAAAAGGTTCCAAGGACAAGGACATCCTAAAGGACAGCATCCTCAAACCGTCTGCTTTTATCCTCAAGCCTACTGTGCCCACTGCACCTGTATCTGCATCTCCCATTCCTAATCGCCTCACGAGCCCCAAGACCCGACGCACTCTTCAGCCTAAATCACCCGCCAAACTCAGCTCTGGCATTTCAAAGTCTTCTCCCATTTATGCTCCCGCTGGCCGATCTCCCACCCGAAGCAAGCGATCTGGTATCGCATCTAGCCGGCGACGCACTGCTGGTCCCTACACCCGGGTTGATCCTCCTTCATTCAGTCTTGGATCAGCCGCCCCTTTTTCTCTCGATGCTGCTCTCAAGGGTACTATTCCTGGCTATGGCGCCAAGAAGGAACCCATCACTGCTCTGCATGAGCCAGACATGAAGGCTAGCTGGTTCTTTGACATTCACGAGGACACACCCGAACAAGAGATGACCAACCTTCTTCAACACAGCACATGTGTACTTGATATTTCATCCGACGAGGAGAGTCAAAGAAAACTCAACAGAGACCGTGCAGAGGGTCGCGATAAGGAAAATGTTCCTCCACCTGATGACATTTCTCAAACCCGCCGCGCACCAAGAGCTGACGACATGATTGTTGAGAAAGAACGTGTCGCATTGGGAGAAATGAACACCGCCGACTTTTACGCTGAAGGATGTGATGAGACATCAGTCATTTTTGTACCTGAAGATGAGCCAGAGGTGAATGCGCCTGCGCTTGCGACTGTGGTCGAAAAGCCTATCGATCCTTCAACAGAAGACATCGACACCTTGATGGCCAAGCCCACAGAAGGTTCAAGCAAGGCTGCAGTTTTGGAACCAATCGAAGGAACAGGAGAGAGTTTTGAGTTATGGGAAAGCGGTAGCGCAGATGATGAAGCTGTATAGGCATGAGGCATGAACAAGTCATGAACTGTTATGGTAATGGATACGGATGGAATGAATGATGGAATGGATGGCTATGGATGGTGGAGTTTGGCCGGCGTTACTTTTCTTCTTAGGCTACCAAGAGCTGGGGCTATAGTTTTGTGATTGCATTATTGTCTGGGTATTAATTGATTACTGACTGTCTGAATGAATGTCTTGGTTCTGAGTGTAAATTATGATCTGATTTCTGCCGCACTGTGTCCCACGTGAACCACTAACCAAAACAGTGTGAATATTTCGTCAGCAATCCACTTCCCCTCATCAACCATCATGGCTTCAATCAACGATTTGGCGACAGCCGCGATTGCGAGCTCTGATACAGCGGATGATTCAAGTCGGGGCGCATTCATTATCCTAGAGGGCTTGGACAGAAGTGGAAAGACTACACAGGTGAAACTGTTGGAGCAGAGATTTGTCGAGGAGGGCAAAAAGGTCAAGGTTATGAGATTTCCTGGTAAGTCACAGAACAAGTGGTGAATTATGCTCATGTTTTGTAGACAGGACTACACCCATTGGGCAGATGATTGACGCGTATCTCAAGAGTGATGTCGAGATGGATGATCATGTCATTCATTTGTTGTTCAGCGCAAACAGATGGGAAGCTGTGTGAGTAAGTTGGTCTGTTATACTTCAATTCTGACTGTTTAGCAAACAAATCCAATCTCTACTCGCCTCTGGCACTACAATTGTATGCGACCGGTATTATCACTCAGGCATAGTCTACTCAGCCGCCAAGCAAAACCCCTCTCTGACACTCCCGTGGGCACGAGCACCAGAACGCGGTCTTCCCCGGCCAGATCTTGTCTTGTTCCTCGATCTGACCGAAGAGCAAGCTCAAGCTCGAGGTGGTTGGGGTGGAGAGGTCTATGAACGATCTGATATGCAGAAACGTGTACGGGAATTATTCTGGGGTCTCAGTATGGGCGGAAAAGATGTTGCGGCGCAGGAACTTGGACTAGATGGGGGTGAGGACTGGACACAGGAGGAGGAGGATCTTGTAGTAGTTGATGCAGGCGGGAGTGTGGAGGAGGTTGCTGAGGAGGTTTGGAAGAAGGTTAGGGGAAGAGTTGAACAGGTTGAGAGGGGAGAGGTTGGAAGGACAGTGAGAGTTGTTAGGTGAGGCGCCAGAGTGTCTGATGCAATCACAGCAAAAATGAATCCCCGAGACCTGGATCGAACAAGTGACCTTTCGGTGACGGTACAGTTACAGCCGAACGCTCTTCCAGCTGAGCTACTCGGGGATGGCTCTGACGATCAGAGGAGTAGCCATGGCGATCGGCGAGGAGAGTTGGGTACAAGTGGACTGGATGCTGGGCTGGTTGTGAGAGAGATATGCGGGCGTGGGTGCATGAGACTGGATGCAGTGTTTGGTATCCTCAAATGCAGGCTTGGTGTTGAGGCGTCGCATTGTGACACGGATGACGCGGGGTTTGTTTCATCCCATCTTGTATGATTCAAGCTTTGCGACAATATTTCTTTACTTCGGTTTTCCTTCTCGGAATCAATCTTTATTCTGGTCAAATAGGGTAAACTGACTATTAATTAAGGTATGCTACGACAATGTGCTGCGTATAGGTACAATTTACACTTCCACTCCCAACCAAGTCCAACGGCTATTCCTCCGGTTTCGGAGATCTCCCCGAATAGCTCAGCTGGAAGAGCGTTCGGCTGTAATTGTTAAGCATCTCACCGAAAGGTCACTTGTTCGATCCAGGTTTCGGGGAACTCATTTTTTGCCTCTTTCACATTTGCTGCAAGTTTATTTTATGCTGTCCAGTTGCTTGCAGGTAATTCACAAGTGCGAGCGCAGCGAGGAAGAGCCCTCCGCTAGGAGCCCCCGGAGGGATCTCACATGTTTCAGTCAATTAAATATGTTCACATCTACCTCTGGAGCTGGTAAAGTCTACGAGACCTGGCGTGAACGAGGAGCGGCATTGGTTGTCAAAACCTGTAGTTTTACAGCAGTTAAGGTCAATTTTCTCCTGTTGGTGGGAGTTGAGTGTGTTTTAATTGGCGACACCAAAAAGTTGAGATGTCATGATATAGGTAGGTACTCAACAACACCAGATGCCAACCAGCAAAAGAAATCCCCGAAACCTGGATCGAGCAAGTGACCTTTCGGTGTCATATATCAGTTACAGCCGAACGCTCTTCCAGCTGAGCTACTCGGGGATTGGTGATCCGTCGCTTGCTATCCCTCCATACACGCCGAGTCTGGAGTTGTAGTTTAGAGGCTAGCATTCACATTCACAAGCACTTCTTTCACCACACAACCCTTGTACAAGCAAACAAACTTTTTAATTAAAGACTACAGTCTTGTGGCCGTTGAGGAACAACCTCCGCTCAGCATACCACCGCACAGCAGCAGCAAGAACTTGGCTCTCAACGTTAGATCCCTCCTCAGACAACTCCTTAGGGTTCATGCTGTGATCAACACGAGCAACCCGCTGCTCGATAATAGGACCCTCGTCCAGATCAGCAGTGACAAAGTGAGCAGTGGCTCCGATAATCTTGACACCGCGCTCGTACGCCTGGTGGTAAGGCTTGGCACCCTTGAAGGAGGGCAGGAAACTGTGGTGGATGTTGATGATGCGGCCGGACATGGCTTCGCACAGCGTCGGGGACAGAACCTGCATGTAGCGGGCGAGGACGATGAGCTCAATGCCGTGCTTCTTGCAGAGGTCGAGGATCTGGCCCTCTTGTTGCGCCTTGGTGTCTTTTGTGACGGGCAGGTGGTGGAACTCGATGCCGTAGCTCTCGGCGAGGGCGGCGTAGTCGGGGTGGTTGGACACGATGACGGGGACGTCCATGCGCAGCTGGCCGGTCTTCATGCGGAAGAGCAGGTCGTTGAGACAGTGGCCGATCTTGGAGACCATGATGAGAACGCGGGTCTTGCGGGCGACGGGGCGGATGTCGTAGTCCATCTTGTACTCGGCAGCGAGCTTGTCGAAAGCCTCGACGAGGTGCTCGGTGGACTCGGTCTCGGTAGGGCCAAAGTGCACACGCATGAAGAAGCGCTCGGAGACGGGATCGGAGAACTGCTGGAGGTCGAGAATGTTGTGCTTGTTGGCGGCAAAGATGCCAGTCACGGCATAGACGATGCCGGACTTGTCAGGGCATGACAGGGTGAGGATGTGATCATTAGCCATGTTGAAGGCTATGGAGGGCGTTGAGTTGACGGGGAGGAGTGTGGTGTAAGTGAGAAGAATTGCGGCGTCTTAGCCTCCGTATGTCGACCGAGTATGACTCCGAGAACCCCACTGCGGGCTAACCCTCCACTATCGGAGAAGTGTCGGGATGTGGCCATGGGTCATTGAGTTGGTATTAAGTAAATTGAGGGAAATATGCTGTATTGGTTATTGAGTAGGGTAGTACGGACTACAGTAATGCGGCGTGGATCTGTATATCCAAAAGAGATCTTGTGATCGTCATGATGCAATGGTACGGCCGGTTAATATCCGTCTCCGCTGTGGCTGCAGGGTAACGAGAGTCCACTGCTGGATCAAGAACAGGCGTCAGATGTAGTCTAGATAATCAGGATAGCCTACGGAGTATCAAGGTATGTACTCCGTAATATAAGATAGAAACATAAAGCTAATGCATGTAACGGCCGTCACGTGGCGTTGATCGGAAGTCCATCCGTTCCCCACCAACACTCAACTAACATCATCCGCAATGCATCATGTCTCGGAGCCGAGACGGCTGCTTCAACTGTCGAAGACGAAAGCGAAGATGTGACGAGGAGAAACCAACTTGTCAAAGGTGCCAAAGAGCAGGAGACGACTGTGTCTTTCCGAGTCCAGCTTCAGCATCGAATCCGCTAAAGTTTATCGTGGCCGCTTCTGACCACTATCTGGTCCCGAGTGATAACCAGAGCCATAGTTTTCTGAATCTCTCACCTCAAGAACTCGTTGCTGTTTGTAACTCGAGTAACGGAAGGATTGCTTGGATGCAGGAATCTGTCCCTCGCAGTTTATCACCGTTTGCCTTTGAGTCGGGACGGTCAGTTGAGAAAGCTCTCGTGCAGTATTGTATGTATCCTCACCATGATTTATCCCGCTAACAGGTTAGATGTTGAGGTAATTTCTAGGAGCAGAGTCTACGTGGACACAAGCCGGAATGGGTTCCGTACATCAGTCATTCCCCGAATGTTCCAAGGTCCTTTGTTCTCAGCAGTCCTAGCCATGAGCGCAGCAGAATGGGCACAAAACATTGTCCCAGACGGAAGAGACTACCGCGCTCTATCAATGCAGTACAAAGTCCGAGCTCTTCATGAACTACAGCACGCTCTTCCGGACTCTCAAGGCAGTGAGGGTAATCTTCTCACTTGTGTTCTTTTGGCATCTCTCGAAATCGCACATGGATCGTGTCCGACATGGCTCCGTCATCTTCAAGGCGCACTCGCTCTGCTTGAGAGTTTCGGAAACAGTATGGACCCCAATGTAGCCGAGTTCGTGCTTCAGTATTTCCGGTTTCGATATATTCTCATGGAGACTACGCAACCTACCCACCAGGACTCGCTACACCAAGCAATGGCTGGACTGGCCAGAGTCGAAGCTACACTCCCGCATTCTCGAAATCTGGTTGATGAACAAATTGGTTGCTCAATGGATCTCGTCGACATCATCAACGAAATATCGTCACTATCTACCCACGACATATCCAAGGATCAACTGTACACAACAGGTCAGGAAATTGAACAGCGACTCCAAGACCTCTCTTTTCAGGGCACAGACGCCTACCTCTTGCAAAGCGCCGAGTCTTTTAGAATTGCAGCCCAAATCTACCTCCGCCTCGTATGCTACAACACAGCCATCACCCACCAATCAATTCTGGCCCTCCACGAATCTCTTCTTTCTTGTCTCTCCGATATCATTGTTGAAGGACAGACTCGGAGATCATTCCCAATGTGGCCACTGTTCTTGGCAGGCTGTGCATGCTCATCAGATGAACAACGAAAGGTGGTGTTGGATCACTTCATGTTGATGGATAGTAAATGGCCAATCAGCAACATATCTGCTGTTTGGAATGCACTCAAGCTGATCTGGCACACAAGAGATTTTCAAGTATCGAGTACAAACCAAGACTGGAGGGAGATTATTCACAAATTTGGATGGAAGCTGTCGTTATCATGACCAATTCGATTTACATACCTGGGTATACGCTGCTCTAATGCGACGGCACGCTAAACTTCCAACTTCCTTGACTTGCCATGGGATCCCTCGGTCCATCCCAGACGGGACACCATGATTCTTTGGCTCCTTCGTCTGCTCGTGCTCTTGATTCCTCCACCATTCGCATGATGAATTTGCTGTCCTGTGCCTTGTCTTGCTCGTCCCGATCTTGAGTCAGCCATCCCTCTCTTCGTCCGTCGCCAGAATTAAGTCGATGGTCAAGTGGTCGGGTATCGTGAGATCCTGCACTGGCTGTTCGTCCCGTTCGTAATCGTACAGGCTGACCTGTCAACATGGCCATTTCCACGTCCAAGTCAATCATGCCATCCGAAGGCCCATTCGGTCGAGAGGGCATGTGTTCTGTAGACGAACTGATCCACCGGAAACGCTTCTTGAACAGGGATGTCCGTGTTCGATCGCGCGGCCAGTTCGGGTTTCGTGCTCGTCTACGTTTACGGACATGATGCTCGATCAGGAGGTTCAGGGACGGAAGACAGGCGCATACAAAGCCGATGGTAATCTCGAGAGCCCTACAATCGTTAGACAGGCATTATCAGGCTGACAGACATACGTTAGAATGCCAATCGGCGTATAATCGACCGTGATATCATCCGAGTTCAAAAAGTCTACCGCCTTGGCAACACGGAAGAGTGTCAAGGCTGTAGCGATTCCGCCAGCCCCCAAAAGCAACACAATCTTGATTCTTTTGCCTATCGACATTCGGAGTTTCCAAGTCAACGGTATCGGGATCAACAGAATGACCAAATCCGTAACAATCGACAGTGACAGATCTGAAAAGAAGATCTTTCGCTGGTTGAGACATCGTGCGTTTCTGACATCGGGGTCCCAATATGTCCGAATGGGATAACAATTGACAATTCGAAGGATTTGAATCGGAATGTATGCCACCAGTAAAGCCCATATCAAGATCTTAATTCCCTTTGCGACTCGTGGTTCAACAGCAAAAACTCGTGCCATCAGTAGCAAAATGGTCGCTTTGGTGAAAAAGGCAGCCGGGATATAGACAACCGTACTGGCATAGAACCACTGACTTGTTAGATCGATCGGATGCACTTGGGCTGCTCACCTTTAGCCAGTTGTAATATTCTGGTTTGCGAATCTCCCAAGCATGATACCCTGCTCCATACCGGGCCACTACCTTGTTAGTGACGCAGCGAAAAGAGAATAGACGTACTCATAAAACAGGTGACGCAGTACATGATGGCGGTAATCTAAAGGTTAGCAATAGCCAGACATTGAAGGTCGGTCATACAAATGCTGCTACACACGTCCCTAAACTGTTAGCTTTGTTTGACATGAGACGTAGACATACAATCTTCAGATCCAAAATTCCGGCTAATGGTTCCCTTGACATAAATTCGTACTATAAAAAAGACTGTAATAAAGAATACACATATCGTCGTCAAGACAATATTCAGCGTCCAGTAAACGTCTTCAGGGTTGTTGTAATCGGGAACAACCCCAGGAGGGGCATTTCGATTCGAATCGGGACCTGTTGCATTCCACATGTCGTGGAAGAGGTCGAATTCATTGTAAATGAAGATGCAGCATGACGGGAGGCGATGAATCCTTGATATCTGAGAGTCAAGCTTCAACTAGTGGATCGCCGGGGAGCCAACCGTCGACGATCAACGCCACTAACGGCTGGTGCTGAACTTTGTTTCTGTTACAGGGCTTCCTTTGGTTGAGGTCGCTGCAATGACTCGAGGCGACGGGTTAGGGACGGTGATCCTGTGGCGTAATTGGGCAAAACATTATTGGATGACATGTTCGAACCGCTATACAGAGTTGGCCGATTTGGACGAGTATTGATCTTGGCAAGCTAGGGCCTCCCTGAGGCAAGGCTGTGCGATCTGACGACCCGAGTTGTTTCGGTCAAGTCAAAGCGCTACCCTCCATGAGTACAGCTCGAGGCTGCATACAACATTGTCCCAAATTCATCAACATCTTCCAACCATCGATCTACCCTCCGTCGTTGGCGCTTTATGTCGTCCTCACTCATTCCATCTGGAAATGGCCACAATTCATCCAGTCGAAAAAGGTCACTTCCCCATTCGGCCAGATGAGAGTAGTAGTTTTGTTCCCACCCATTCCGATCAGCTTGCCACAGATACTTGCTCGATGGCGAGTAGAGTCCCCTCAACTCAGTTCCCAGATATGTGGTGATACCATCATGAGCCGACAACACATTGTCTAGAAAGTACATGGTGTACAGTGTTCGTCTCTTGGCCTCGGCCATAATCCATGGTTCCCATTTCGGTAGGACGCCTCGTTGTTCTGCCGCACATACAAGCCCTTGACGAGAGGTCGCGCATGCAATTTCCTGCAAGTTGATCATTGCCTGACGAAGGAACGGCATCGAAGGCCCCAAGTGAAAGAAGAGAACCATGGAATAAATGAGGTACGCTTGAAACACCCCAAGAAGATGGATGCCTTGATACGTCTCTCGCTCTTCGTAAAGCCTAGTCATTTCTCGCTGGAGGATATCCGCGGCGATACTCACGTTGCCGGGTAGAGGGTCGCATATTCGCACCAGAGTAAAGCAGGTCGAGAGTGGCACCAATGATTGCTGCATAGGATGGATGAATGGTGGCAGACGACCTCGAATTACTGTCGAGGCATACGATTTGAGCATTCGATAGACAAAATTGATGACGCTTTGGCTGTAGTTCTTGGGCGATTGTCCAGGGAGAGGAACATACGAGTTGAGCCATCGATTCTTGATGTCGTCGCTGTTGATCGGACACACAAGGTCCAGTGTATCAAAGTGAAGGTCAAGAGTTTCTTGTCTGCTCTGTTCAAAGTCTAGAGTGTCCGACGTGTTTGAGTTTTCGCAGTCCGCGTCCCTATGCTGCGAATCTACGGTCGGCTCTCGAGATCTCCCAGGATAGCTGCATGCTAGACTCCGCAAGGCACATCGTCCGCAGGTTTCTTTGCGATCACATTTTGCTTTGGCGGTTATACAATGCTGACAAGCTTTGACTCGAGGGGTGGAATATCTTGATCTTGAAGGTGCCATGATTGAGTGATTGAATTGCATCCAAATAGTCTTAAATAGTCGGTACTGTGTTGTTCCGACCCGTACATCAAATCAGACGCCAATTGACGCTGAAAGCAGCTCATGTTCGTTGCTACAAATCCAACCAAACGCCAGAATCCAACTCGCTCATCACCAACTGATCGTTGTCATTCAAGGAAATAATTGAGCTCCTCGTGATATTGGAACACCAGGTCAGTTTTCGTTTCCAATTAACCCATTTTCACATCTCCATTAACCTCAGTCTGAGGAAGCATTGGCTTCTCATCTTCCTGGGCTCTTCGTTTGCCCATACGGTCGAGCCATTGCTCAGCGCTGACAATTGTTCCATCTACGACACCACTTACTTGAACAACCATGTCCAGACCTTCTTTGGCCAAGACCAAAACTTTGTGTGCACCTTCAGTTAGAGCAGTCTCGCTGTCTTGTTGCCCGGCATTCCTGTCCGTCATGGTGGCGACACGGAATCGTTGGGGTAGACTGGTGAGATGACGTCGCACAAGGATTCGTGCGTTTTCGGGCAATGCGCCCCCTGCGTACTTGGACACAGTATTGATGGCTTCTCGCAGGGTTCTGAGGACATCGCCCTTGAGGTTTGAGATGCGAGCAGCAAGTTGAGAGCGAGACTCAGGATCAGCCTGTTGGCCATGTCCGTCAGGTACCTTTTCGTACTCATCAAGGGTAGTTTTCAAGGCCGAAATCACACGGGCAATGTGATCATTGGCCCAGCGAAGCCACTGTAGACAGTATTTGAGACTGCGCAGACTCTCCTGGCTCATGGCGACACTGAGGCCAGAAGTAGACGTAATCAGACGTGACTGCCAGGCGCTGTTTGGTCGTGATGGTCGCGGTGAATTGGCATCAGTCTCGGTATATGCGGGTGATCTCAACTCATCGTAAGCAGGGAGCGTGTCGACGGTGCTAGTAGTTGACATGCGACGAGACATGGTCTTTGAAGACGGTGAAGGCGCTGTGTCCATTTGTTCGTCGCTCATTTGCTGCATTCCTTCAGACTCGAATCGCTTGTTGCTGACTGCTTCATCCTCATCCGTTTTGCGTCGCTTCTTGCTGTTGCCGGTTTCCAAATCCGACGTTGAGCTGTTTTGTCGTCTTCCAGCACCTAAAAACCATCTGACACCTCCTTCAACGCCAGTAACTCGACCAACTGAACCAACAGTATTCGCAATAGGTGTCAGGTATCCTTCAACATATTCGGCGCCAGATCGAAAACGCGGTGAAAAGTTCTTGGCGCCACCATACGCCGAGGTAGCGCCCTCAATTGTACTCGCCAACAGTGGATGAGTCGTCGTAAGTAGAGACAGAAGCGGTTCAGGCTGTGGCGATTGTGGTTGATTCGATTGAAGCCCAGAAGTCGGTGGACTAACTGGAAGGGAGGAGTTCCTATGTGGTGGTGAAGATATAAAGTCTGTAACGTTAGAAATGATCGCTTTTAGAATTGGCAACATACCTGCTCTCAAGTCACCAAGCGCTTCAGCCGCCAGCCGCACATCTGGATCATCAAGGCTGACGCTACCAGCCCTCGCGTCAAGAAGACCATCAGGAGAAGCAGCGCTGACGACACTGTTGCTACTCCCATCGAGATCCATTCGTGTCGGACTATCAATACTATGCGCAAGAACTGGCGGATAAGGCATAGGATGCAAAGGAAGCCAAGTCTTGGTCGGTTCCATGGCCATTTCGCCCGTAAGTGAACTCAGAGGTGGTAACTTGGTATCGCTATCGGCTTCGAATCTAGCCAGAGGAGGCAAAGAAGTCGGTATTTCGGTAGGAACATCAGGAAACTTTATCGCATTCGGTGAAGCGACATTGGAATAAGCTGGAGGAGAAAACGCCATCAACGATTGAGGTCGAGCAGGTGGTGGTCCGAGGACATGACGAGACTCGGACTCCCCAGGAAGCATGTGATTGCGCTCCATGGTCGGCGATAACACGGATATGTCAACTGAGCATCGAGTTAAATCGGCCAGTGGCCGCAAAGAATATCGCAGAGAGACAAAAGAAACGGCAAATCACTAATGATGATGATGAAGCGGGTGTTGGGGAGAGATTGGGAATGAGAGCGATCGTGGGGGGACAAGAAACCTGTTAACGTCAGGCGCTCGCGACCTTCTTTGCTGCTGCAGGGACCGGCTGAACAAACAAGCCCAGCGCACGACGATAGCCCACTAAAAACCGGGCCGGCTACAGTGGCTTCAGGTGACTTGTTTTAGAGGCGTAGTGGGGAAGATCGCTAAAGAGCTGCACCTAATATCAGAGCATCATCACAAGATATACCAAATTGGGGGCGTTTCGCTTGATTAATGATGCGATAGATTTGTTGGGCCTAGGTTTTTGTTTGCAGCATCACAAGATCAATTCGACTCAACGTCCAACGTCGAGACTAGAGTCGCTAAGAACTGTACCTGAAGCCTCTGGGCCTCTAGCACGTGTCAAAACTGGAGATGATGATGCACCGACATCACATGCAAGAAGAATACTCATCGTCACGATTGTTAAGCGGGTCGCCCGAGTCATGAGCAATCCACTAACAAGAGCAACTCAAGCACATGCCACAGAGGAAGGATTGCATCCTTTTCCTGATGCGTTTGACTGTTATTTTTCCATCCAATGGAATTGTCTGATAACGTCAGATGCGATTGCTCATTGATTGCTCATCTTGAGCTATGCTAACATGTTCCTTTTCAAGTAAGGTTGCATTCACACTCTTTATCCAAACCAGTCGGCATTCGGTTACTTTATCGGACCTGTATCTGGTCCCCGATAACTGATCAACATGTGAATTTGACATGTGCGACGAGTCGCATTCATGTTTGCAGATACTGGCGACGATACGACACCTTTACCGGACGGGTTGCCATTCCCATGGGAGTCTTGAGGTTAGATCTTGGACCCTGAATCGGTTGAACGGACATCCGCACGGACTGATTACAATCTCGAGCTCAAATTACTCCGTCGTTTCGTTTTGTGTAAATTGTGAGCTGGAAGATTCGGCAGCCCAACAGACACAGAACCAGCCTCGCGTTCGACTTTTTGATAAACGCGAGATGGATGCACTGGTCACAAATTCATTGGACATGCATTTGCAAATTTAACTTTGCCACGATCTTTACGAGTCCAATCCCAAGATCCCTGATTGCAGATCTCGTCAAAGCAGAGACCCTGAAGTCAAGCTGGGGGAGGAAAGAAAACACAAAACCTTGACCCTAAGTTTAGGGGATCTTTGATAAGTTAATTTGGCACCCCTAGATCAAGGTCCAGTTTTTCTTGCTCCCCGAGGTCAAGGCCCCAACAAAAGTCGAGGCTGTGGTCACCTGCCACATGTACCCCAGATCGCAGCAGTCACGAATTTGCATGTATGGCTCCTCTGACACCGCCAAAGCAACTAATAATACTCGGGCAGTTCTTAATGGATCCAGGTCATCCCTCTCCGCACCACGAAATCGCAGCTCACATCAACGGCTCCACGGCTGAAATGACAGAATGCCACTCGGTTGCAGGCTAGGTAATGGTCTGCACTGTCTAGAGGGTGCGTTGAGGAGAAGGGAAAACAAACAAAAACAAAAAAAAACTCAAAGCTTTTAATCCAAATTTCTGATCCATCTCTCACGTGACCAAAAGCTCAAGCTACCCCACCATATCCGACATTCTACCGTGTCGTCACAGCTGGAATGACCAGGCATCCAAAAGATGCCAGCGAAACAGACAGCTTAACCACGAAACCATTGCGCCTCGGACCATGATGATTGCCTGCGCTTCTCTATAGTCCCTAATTACTATCCAGCCTCTCCTTATTGATTGTTGTCTTTGTTACTGCGCATGACCTCTTCGTCTTGATCTTGACCGTCGCATCTATCGCGACCTCCTTTCAGCTCCGCCAAGACATCCAACATGGCATCCGCACTCTTCTTTCTAGATCTCAAGGGCAAGGTGTGTTGAACGCCACTGAGTGTGACGTCGCTGACAGTGTAGACCCTTCTTGCCCGTAACTATCGTGGTGACATTCCCATGTCAGCAGTTGAAAAGTTCCCTGTACTCCTTTCAGAAGCTGAGGAAGATTCCTCTGCTGTTCCACCATGCTTCTCCCACGAAGGCATCAACGTATGTAGTCTCTATGCTTGCTGGCCCTGCTGACTGGATAGTACCTCTACATCCGCCATAACAACCTCTACCTCCTCGCCCTTACGAAACGAAACACGAATGCCGCCGAAATCCTCCTATTCCTTCACAAGATCGTCGAGGTCTTTACCGAGTACTTTAAAGCTTTAGAAGAAGAATCCATTCGAGACAACTTTGTCATCATCTACGAACTTCTCGACGAAATGATGGACTTTGGCTATCCTCAAACAACAGAGTCCAAGATCCTTCAGGAGTACATCACCCAGGAATCTCACAAGCTCGAGATCCAAGCACGGCCACCGATTGCCGTCACAAACGCCGTGTCGTGGCGATCAGAGGGTATCCGCTACCGCAAGAACGAGGTATTCCTCGATGTTGTCGAGTCTCTCAACCTTTTGGTGTCTGCAAACGGCAACGTTCTTCGATCAGAAATTCTTGGCGCCATCAAGATGAAGTGTTACCTCAGCGGCATGCCCGAGTTGCGCCTAGGGTTGAATGACAAGGTCATGTTTGAGACGACCGGTCGAGCCACCCGCGGTAAAGCTATCGAAATGGAAGATGTCAAGTTCCACCAGTGTGTACGACTATCACGATTCGAAAACGACCGAACCATCTCCTTTATCCCCCCTGACGGCGAATTCGAGCTCATGTCCTACCGCCTCAACACTCAAGTCAAGCCCCTGATCTGGGTTGAGTGTGTAGTCGAATCCCATTCAGGCTCCCGAATCGAATACATGCTCAAGGCTCGAGCACAGTTCAAGCGCCGCAGTACCGCCAACAATGTCGAAATCGTGGTTCCCGTTCCAGATGACGCCGATAGTCCGCGTTTCCGAACAAACATTGGGTCTGTTCATTACGCCCCCGAGCAAAGTGCTATTGTCTGGAAGATCAAACAATTTGGTGGTGGCAAGGAGTTCCTCATGCGTGCTGAGCTGGGCCTGCCAAGCGTGAGAGGAGATGACGAACAGGGTGGTGGTATGATGGGTGGTTTCGGTGGTAGCATGGGAGGAGTCGGAGGAGTGGGTAAGGGTGCCAAGCGACCTATCCAGGTCAAGTTTGAGATTCCTTACTTTACCACAAGTGGTATTCAGGTTCGGTATCTAAAGATTACCGAGCCAAAGGTACGAACCCCGTCCAATACTCGATCAGGCTAACAGTTGTAGTTGCAATATCCTTCGCTGCCTTGGGTTCGATACATTACCCAATCTGGCGATATCGCTGTGCGACTTCCTGACGCGGTCTGAGTCCTACGAGCTCATGGATGGGATAACGAACATGGGGCAGACTGCAGAGCAGGCTTCATACAGGAATGATAATAGACTAAATCAATTCAAGCTTAAGCTGTCACATTTGGTCAATCTCGAACAATAGCCCTCTCCCATTCAAAACTGTGGAGATCTTCTCGAGTTGAGTATTGGTTGTCTGGGTCGAAAAACACCTTGACAATAAATCCCTTTGGATCTTCAGAAGCTGTTGGGGGGTCTGTGGTTGTTAGCTATATCAGCAATCGAACGGGCAACATACGTCCTCTAGGGGCATCAGGACTTGTCCAAGCTCCATGTCTCCATAGTCGATTGTGCCCAAGAAATACACTGTCTATCGAATGGTTGCTCATCTCGCTGCCCGGAGGTGCATTCAATGCCATGAGCCCCAGAACGATAGGCAGCTCTCCTCCAAGGCCTGTTGAGTGTGGAGCATCACGTCTGGGAGCTCTGTAGGTCAGAGGAAGTAGACCGGGAATCCACGCAGGATTTCTGCCAGCAACGTGTAGCAAGGGACCAGGCCCAGGACCCATGGTGCTGGTGATGGTGATCACTTGAGACAGGCCGGGAATTGATGGTGGATGAAACACACGTAGGAGTTCCCAGTTCGATCTGGTGACCAGAGGATCATGTTCAGTGACCATAATTGGAAGCAGTGGATTGCAAGCAGCAACTCCAAACGTTTTGTACTCGTCGGCCGGATACACTTGTCCATACTGATCCGTGATGCAGTTTCCGCGGGCGTCCACTCTCAGTAATTGTCCTTCGGATGCCGGAAGCGTGGAAGCGTCTCTATACCATCTCCAGTCTGCTGCTTCAGACACTTCGCCGTTCCTGTAGCGCATGACTTTGCTTGGGACCTCGCCGCGGTAGTAGGTTGGCGAGCTGGGCGGAATAAGGTGAAGATAATCGTCACGTCCTGGATTGTTGATGACAAGCTTATTGGCGATGAACAGGAAGCCTGGGGTGGGCTGGCTTGAAGTGCTCCCCTTTCGGCTCGAGCTGTGCTTTGATGTTTTCTGACAGTGTTAGTTGAGCTTGAAGCTGAGCTTTAAGCATACCTGTTTCAACATGATCACTGGTTGACTTGATCATCTGTCGATCACAGATCACACTTGAGCAATTGCCATTTTATAACTCACCCATCCGCAGAGCCTCATCTCGGATTTACCTCTTTGGCCTTCCTCGGTCACTAAACCGTTGAGGAAATCGACTTCCGGTGACTTTAAGCAATAAAGTGTGAGAATGACGACACCATACATGTCAGCTTCAGTCTGCCAGACATCGACATATCCGTAAAGCCTATTCAAGACTTGTTGAATTAGGGATTGGTGCCACGCTTCATGGTACTTCTGAATGCTGTGCAGGGAATATCAAGACACCCTAGTTCATGCAACATCAACGCGGCCCGACCCCTCTTACGCTTGTTCTGCTCGACACCGGTTGACCCATAGCACGGATAGATGGAGGACTCAACCGCACTCCCACCGGGTAAGTTGTCTGATTGATTTGTCAAGAAAGCGGGCCAATGGGTGAGATAAGATCTTGATGTCGATCAGTTGTTGGCGCTAACCCTTGATTATCTGGTGACCTGCGACTTGGCAACGGTGGACTGAATTGCGCCTGAGGCCAGAGGACATCGGTGTCTCCGCAAGACATGTGTCTTGGTTGTGTGGGAGCCTTGACAGGTGACTCGAAGCAACCAATGCTCAAGCCTCTTCTCTGATGGTGTTGAGTTCGGGATCATTCAAGTCCGAGTAGTAACTGCCCGCTCGCAAGTCTTTGGGGGTGGCGTACACCGTAAGATGTGAATGTAACCGAGACAAATCGTCGATCGAATAACTCACGGCGAGGCCATCAAGTTGGTGGACTCGTGTTTCAGCATTATCATACATCTCCGTTGATATTTGTGTGACGCGAGCGGAACCGCGTATAGCGAGGCATTTCTTTATGAGAACTGGCAGGCTTCTACTCGTCTCATTCAGATTGTAAGCTCAAGGGTTCGGAGGCTTGTATCAGTCTAGACCAATTGTTGTCAGTATCTCGCCGGTGTTTTTGAGCTTCAATGTGGTTGCTGATCAGAAGAAAGAGTTGGAAAACAATATGTGCAAGATATGATCATTTAAATAGTAGATAATTGTGATTTTGATTGGAATTGTTGCCTTGCGGGCGGTTCGCAATCGCCTTCTGCACCTCTTGCATGAGAGGAGAGGAAACAAGATCTATCACATAACCCCGCTGGATCAACGCTTTGCACGCTTGGCTGGTCCGGATTCGTCGTCCATTGTCATCTCGACGTCTCCAGAAGATGCAGTAATGGCTTCTTGAAGTAGCTTCTTTTCTCCGAGTCTCACGGCAATAGCCATGCGAGTTCGTTGGCTGAGGTCTTGTTTGAGTAGAGCTTCGTCTTCGGAAATGCTTGTCGGGTATCTTGCTACAAGAGCCTCCAATGTCTTGGCCAGTACAGCTTGGTGGATCTCGTCTCTCTTGCGCTTGTCGGGGATAGCATCGGGCTGTGCTTTCTTGATACCTTTGAGGAATGTCTTGAGTTGTTCTTGGAGATCTTCGGGCATGCTTTCGAATCGAGCAGACTCCGCAAAGGTGCCGTCCGAGTTTACCTCGCCTGTTTCTCGCTCCAAAACGAATGTGTCTTCAAATTCTTCGTCCTCTTCAAGAGCGCCACGCTATTGAGGTTAGCTTGGCCGTCTTGAGTGCACTCAACTTACAATCTGCTCCAGGACTTGACTAGGGATACCAAAGTTGGCGGTCAGAGCTGACTCAACAATGTTCCAGGGAATCTCGACAACATCATAACGGGAATGCTTCTCGGTAACGTATCCGTATCTTCTAAGGAGCTCCGAGTTTGGGTGAGGGCCATAGTAGTTGAGAATCTCTTCGCCCGCCTTGATGGGCCTCAAGCTGGTCACGGTGAGACTCTCTTCTTCGTGGTTGACGTGAGCCTATTCTGTTAGCTTTGCCAGTGACTTAAGAAATGACCTACGTTGAACTCGGCGTCGGCATTCAGAATATCCGCCATTGGTACCATTCCCATCATCGACTTTCCATCTCGATCCTCAACCCAACCATCAGCCTCCTCTTCCTCCTCCTCCTCGTCATTCTCAAGATCGAAAGCATATGACATGATGGTGCTGCCCATACGGTGGGCAATCTCGATAAGCTCTGAATCAGTCTTGTTTCCGGCGTTGAAAATCTCAGAGTTCCTTCGAATAATGGGGAGCAACGTCTTTTGGAACATATTTTCAGCATCAGCCTTGCCGATCTTGTGTCGCATATGACTGGCCTGAAGCTGGTCAAGCTCATTGTCGGACCAAAACATGGGCGTATCAAATGACGAAGGAAGAACATCGAAATAAGGCTTCCACTTGGAGTTTTCGCCTTCAAGATACTCGTAAATCATGATGAGGATAAGCGAACTCCACGAATCTAGTCCCGGTGCGTCATCGTCATCAGGCTTGTCGAGATCAAAAGCATCCGGAATCTTTTTTGGGAGCTCCGAGGTTTCAACATTGATGATTCCTCTTCTCGGGATGGTAAACAGAGTTGTTTCCGCAGGAATATCTTCGAGAGCGACTGTGTTGTTAGCTTGGCTCTGCGTGCATGCATGAGACCTACTTATACCGCGACCAGCATTGCGGTCACGAAGATCAACAATTTTAATGGCTTCGGAGAATGTAGCATCTGGCAAAGACTTGAACCAGTGCAAAAAGCTTTCGCTTGTACCATCAAAATTTGTAGAACCCATTGCTTGTTGTTGAAGAAGAAAAGTTGAGGCTTCCTTGACTTGGGAAGGTATTGATGAAAACTTTTCAGGCCTCCTACCCTGTATACGATGCATTCACCACAACACCACTCAATGTAGCATGTAGTCTTCTTAATTCTACACTATTCGAGGCAATTGACATTAGACGTTATCATTCTTCATCTCCATCCTGCTTCAGAACAGATACCCCATTCTTTCCCTCCTTCTCCTTCTTAATCTCTCGCTTCTTCGGTCGCAGCCATTCTTCCATACCCTCGGGCCAATACACTCTTGCTTGAGGACCTCCCATGCCGAAATCTTCAGCGCTAACAATCTTTTCAGGCACTTCAATGTCGTCCTCCACTTCTCCGTTGACGCCATTTGCTTTCTTGCCCTTCTTTGCCTTCTTTTTGACGGCTTTTCGTGATTCATCTGGTCGTTCATATGGTACAATGTTGTTAAACGTATCCCAACCTGGCAGTTTAAAAGTCCGCATCAGTTCAAAAACAGCTTGCTCTTTATCCTTGGCTTCTATCATTAGATCCATGTCGGGGGCGCATGGTGGGAGAGTTTTGACTCTGGCGGAATGCTTGCGGCGATCTCTTGGTGTGACTGCACTGGATGTCTGCTCGCTGTAGTGCATTTTCTGAGTAATTCCCTTCTTGGTCCAGGTAGCTTTGATGCGATCGTAAAGACCTATAATGTCTTGAGAACCCTCTCTTATCGATGGGTCGAAGATGATGTTGTGATGGTGGTAGTCGAGCACCAGAGGAATGTTGAGTTCTTCGCAGACAGGCAACAGATCGTGCACACTCCATGCGACATCGTCATTCTCCAAAACCAATCGCCGCTTGACACTGTCTGAAAGTTTGGCGTAGTTCTCTTTGAATCGGTCAACGGTTGCTTGCTTGTCGCCATAAACACCACCCATGTGCAGGATCATGACAGCATCGCGATCAAGCTGCTCGGGAAGTTTGAGTAGAGTAAGCATTTCATCGTGGTACTCCAGATCGCGAATGGCAGCGGTGACAACTTCTTTGCGGGGAGAACCAATCTGTGTGAATTGTCCAGGATGTGTTGTTACACGATGATTCAGCTCTCCAGCTACTTTACCAGCTTCCGCCAGCACCTCTGACGCAAAGGGCGCTAGCTTGTAACCATGTTCTGGATGACTTGCAAACGGAAACATCTCACTACTCAGTCTCATGAACTTGATGCCATACTTGACATTCCATCGTATCATTTTGACAATATCTCTTGCATTTGCCAAGCCCAAATCTTGTACATATTTGAGTCCTCGTTCGTGGTCTGCGGGTTTGTTCTTGTCCGGTCGGTTCTTGGTAGGGTGTTCTGGTTCATCAGGGTTTGCTAAAGGGTGTCGGTGTTCAACGATAGAGGCCATGCGACAGGTTCTCGAAGAAAAGACAGCAGGAGTCGCATTGCGCAGGTATGTATTTAAGCAAGCCTGGAAAGTCAGCAATGTCTGCAAGTCACAATGCCAAACTCACATATCCTAACCTTCCTTTCCATGGTAGAGGAAGAGTTTCACTGTTCACAGGGGGAGGCCTGTTGGCACCTCGATCCATGCCATCGTCTTCACCTTTGGCATCAGCGACATCGCCAGCAGCGAGTTTGGCGTCGTACTCATCCAGTGGTACAGAGTTGGCAACTTTTGACTTTCCTTCCAAGTTTCCCCGGGAGACAACAGTATCCTGACTCGGCGAGTACATCTTCGGTCGGATATCAGGTTCGTCGACGGCTTCCAATTTGACATGAAGATCTGAGGACTCAACTGCAAGACGCTGTTTTCTGACGGCAGTCTGCAACTTTTGTTCCATCTCGCTCAGCTCGCGCATGGCTTCTTCGACACCTTCGCCTGTGTCCCAGACAGCCTTTGCTTTCTTTGGGCTGGCAGCTTTCATCGGATCTGTGTCTGACTTGGGCCGTTCAGCAGCATCCTTTATTCTACGACTGCTTCTCCTGGGCGCATCAGGCGTCTCAGGTATCGGAGGTGGCGGATGAGCCCCAGTTCTCTTCCGTTTCGATGTCATGGCTGTAGTCGTGCTGTATGCTCTAAGAACTGAAAGTCGCAGGGAAAGTCTTCCAGCAGATGTCAAGAAACAAGGTGACATATGTCTGATGTAAACAAGGAAGAATTCAAGGTCATGAGGCAAGGCAGATATAATCGACAGCTAAGTACCTGATAAATTCGGCAACGAACATTCTCCAACATTTAAAGTAATGGTAGTCGGAGCAAGTCGCCCGAAGAGCCAATGACGCAGGGCGCGTCATGCATGGTCTGGGAACGAGGTTGCCTCCGGTAGGGCTAGGTCATTATTTCCGGAGCAAACTGTCGCTGGTAACACGATGGGGTACAAAGCCCCCTGCATCACTTGTTGAATTGCTGGCTGATGAACTGTCAGGTCTCCAAACGATCCACGACCAAAATTCGATCCAGGCCTTGTTGATGGCGATGAAGTCATCTAGACTTGGGTGGGCGGGAAGATCGCCGATCCGTCATGGTGGCGGTACGTATTTTGTCATCAGCTTTTGCTCCGCTGTGACGCCAAACCACCCAACAACGGAAGACTGCATCAAACCGCAGCAGATACTCCGGAAGAAATGAGCACAGCCAATGAATTTAATCGGAGGGGACCGCATAAGTCCACAAACAACTGAAACATTCAGAATTCGGCATCGAGATGCTGAGAGTCAATGTTGTGGCTGAAGCTGGACTAATCAGAACCGAACCTTGCCGCAGGCGGCTTGTAAGCATCATCAAGCTGCTCTGACAGTTGCATGGCATTGAACTAGGGATTAGTGATCGATTAAGATGGTGGTGATCACCAAAAAGGTGTCACGCTCAAAGCTGTTTCGCGACGTGATATCCCTTTGTAATACGGCACCCTGCATACAGGACAATCATAGCGTTCGATCAAGAACCAAGACGAAAGACATTTCGAATGAAAAGAATGCCCACACGTATTTATCGTCATGATGTCGTCTTCAGCTTCATCGGTTGTTGTCTGTATACTTGGGCCGGGTTTATCGGTCGTTTGTACACTTGGACCGGGTTTGGCTTGATTCTCGTGAGACGTCACCGTTGAAATCTTTTCGAGAATCGGACGTGGATCGGCGTTGACTGTGTGCACTGGCTCTGGAACAAGAGGACCTATGCAGATTGGACTGAGAGTGTCAGCAAGATCCTAGGAGCGGCCCGTACAAGCTCCGGCCGAGAAGCATGAAAGCGGAGACAGAGCTTCCGATAACTTTGCCGGAAGTGGATGCACTCACCATTCACCGAACCCGGAGAGTGGAGTCTGAGCTTCAATGTCGGCGGTGGGATCGGGATTCGCTTGTGGAATGACCGTTGAGGTTGTAACGGTGCCGAGTTTCCGACGCGCATTGTCCAGTTGATTAGGCTGGGGATTGAAAACCTTCTCCGACGCTCTCCGCACGCTCATCCTAAAGCATGCTCTTTTCCCAGTTAGTAGTGGTCAATTTGACAGCGGAAGACGTACAGAGGGCCCATGATGATGATGAAAAGAAAAAGCACAAGCAGAATGATCCCAACTGGCTCCATTTCAGCGATAGGAACGGAAATGCGGTGTTTTGTGAGGGTTCAGTAGTCAAATAGACAAGCGCGAGAATTGCCTGATAATGGTCGCGACATGTGACTTTAATTATAGCAATCGAGAGTGATTAACGTGCTTGCAGTGGTGGCTACAAGCCAAGACCGGTTCTAGAACACCAGAACGATTGTTTGGTGCCGGGACGGAACATCGCAACGGCATGGCTGCATCAGCAGTTCTGGCCATTGATTGATGAGTATTTGGAGCCCGTGACAATGATTCAGCTTTAGAGCAAATGACGAGATGTTTATTGTCTTGGCAGACTTGGCAAATGTTGTGAAGTTGATGTTTGGTATCAAAAGGCTGAGGCTGTAAGGCCGCTATCTTGGCTTGCATCGGTTGAGCGGGCAAGAGCCGACCTCAATGAGCTTCCAACCTACTAAGGTAGGTACCTTACCTAAATGGAGGGCAGGCTGGCAGGGTACCTACCTAGGTAGGTACCTACCATCGGTTGGAGTACTTCCTCTGCCAGACTGACAAATAGGACCGACGAATAAGAGACTAGCATCTCTTTTCTCTTCTCCTACGTAAGTGTTATCATATACGAATAATAAGTACATTTAATCCCGGTCTTAAACGTCCAAGACTACTACGTAATTACCGAATCTTATCTCACATATCGCGGAGACGGGAATCTGGGGATATTTTAGACCCTTGAACGTAGGAGTTGAAGACCGGCTCCCCGATGAAGAGACCCGCTTTTCCGATACCTCTATTTCTCTCAGAATCCATGACTTTAAGCTTAACAAGTACCGAGATAGTAAACAGGAAATGTTTCTAAAATTGTATGAGCACTTGCGCGTCTCAAAAAGACCAAGAAAAGCTGTTTTCAGCGTCGAGTTATGTCATTGCCATGTGCTCTATCGAAAGAACCAGGTTGGAGGACCCAGTAACGCCAAGAAGCGAGGACCACCACTAACGACTTTAAGCTCTTGAGATACACTTGGCGTACCACTCTGATATGATGACTTTGTATCCAATGGTTCGCAACACAGATAAAGATCATGCTTGAATCCAAGTTTAATAAGCTTCATGACCCAATGCGAGTTAATCTTAAACTCTTCGGGCTTCAAATTGCCCAGGGTCGACTATCATCACGCAAGTCACCAACAGGTGGCGATATCTTCAACACTTGAACCTCCAAACCACCAACACAATGCGGCTTACATCCTCCGACGTATCGCCTTGGCATATTACTCTGAATGCCAATCATCTCCACATATAAAAATTCTCCTCCAAATAAAATTGTTAAACCATGAGCGACCTTGGCGCAACCTTTGTTTCGCATGCAGCTCCTGTGATGGTGACTCTTGGCACATCCATCATGATCCACCTCACGGTCCATCGGTGTCCTACTTGGAAGGTCTCTTGGTTTCTTTGATCCCTGTGAAAGTGCTTCTTAAAAGGGCTTCTCCCTCTTCTCTTTCTAAACTTCTCAACTCATTCCTCTTCATCAACTGTCACAATGGGTCAGAAAGAAGAAGAAGAGAAGCCTCACATCTCGGGCCAAGCCAACTCTCCCATGACGGCGCCTGCTCATGCTCTTACCTTTGAGCAGGTCGCCCAGGAGCTCAATGGCAATCTCGATGATGGTCTTACTGAATCCGAGGCCAAGCAACGTCTTGAGACATATGGTCGAAACGAATTCGGTGAACAAGAAGGTGTTCAACCTCTCAAGATCTTTATCGGGCAGATCGCCAATGCCTTGACTCTAGTAAGTTACCTTCCATAGGCTTCCTTTGAGTGAAGCTTTAGAAAAAACGGTAGAGTCGCTCATTTGCCCTTTGGGGGACAGGTTCTCATCCTTGCCATGGCTGCCTCTTTCGGTATCAAGTCTTGGATTGAAGGTGGTGTAGTAGCCGCTGTCATCATCCTCAACATTGTCGTTGGTTTCCTCCAAGAGTTTCAAGCCGCCAAGACTATGGACTCTCTGCGTTCTCTCAGCTCCCCTACCGCCCACGCCGTCCGCAACGGTAACAATCAAGTTGTCGTGACTGCTGAGATTGTCCCTGGTGACATGGTTGAACTCAAGACTGGTGATACCATTCCTGCGGATATCCGTCTTGTCGAGGCTGTCAACTTTGAAACCAACGAAGCACTTCTCACCGGCGAGTCTCTGCCTGTCCGCAAAGAGATCAACAAGACCTTTCCAGATGATACTGGCCCTGGTGATCGACTCAACGTTGCTTACAGCTCGTCTACTGTGACAAAGGGACGTGCTCGCGGCATTGTTTTCGCTACCGGTACATACACTGAGATTGGTCAAATCGCTGTTGCTCTTCGTGGCAAGTCTTCCAAGCGCCGACAGCCAAAGAGGGACGCCGAGGGTAACACCAACTTTGGTCGCTGGATGCAAGCTTGGACCTTGACCGGTTCTGATGCTGTTGGGCGCTTCCTCGGTGTAAATGTCGGTACACCTCTTCAGCGCAAGCTCTCCAAGCTGGCACTCATTCTTCTCGGAACGGCTATTGTATGTGCTATTATTGTTCTGGCAGCCAATGATTTCAAGTCGCAGAGGGAAGTCATCATTTATGCTGTGGCAACTGGTCTCTCTATGATCCCAGCTTCTCTGATTGTTGTTCTCACCATTACTATGGCTGCTGGTACAAAGCGTATGGTCCAGAGACATGTCATTGTCCGTAACCTCAAGAGTTTGGAAGCTCTGGGTGCTGTAACCAGTAAGTACCACTCCATCTTGTACAGACATAGCTAACCTTTTAGACATTTGCTCTGACAAGACCGGAACCCTTACCCAAGGTACCATGATCGTCAAGAAGGCTTGGATCCCTGGACGTGGCACATACTCTGTTGGCGCCTCCAATGAGCCATTCAACCCTACCCTCGGAGATATTACCCTGACCGAAGACCAACCCAAGAACATCGACTTCCAGAATGAAAAGTCCGAAGGTACATCAATAGACCCCGCCTCCCAGCCTGCCCAGGACCCCAGTCTTGTCGAGTATCTCAACGTTGCTTCACTTGCCAACCTTGCCACTGTCCACGAGATTGAAGGCGAGTGGCATGCTCGTGGAGATCCAACTGAGATTGCCATGCAAGTATTTGCTTCTCGATTCAACTGGAACCGCATGCGGCTGTCTTCTGGGTGTAACCCCCGCTGGCATGAAGTTGCCGAATTCCCCTTTGATTCAGATGTCAAGAAGATGTCGGTTATTTTCCACGACAGCGAATCTCAGAAGCAATGGGTCTTTACCAAGGGTGCTGTTGAACGTGTCTTGACTTCTTGCCCTGTCTATGCTGCTGGCAACGAGATCCTCGAGTTCACCGACGCCATCAAGGAAGATGTTTTGAGAAACATGGAGTCTCTGGCTCGCCTTGGTCTTCGTGTTCTTGCTCTTGCCAGCCGAATGGATATCCCCCATGTTGAGGATAACGAGGCTGAACTTGACCGTGGACTCTTCGAGAAGGACCTTGTCTTCCGTGGCCTCATCGGCCTGTATGACCCCCCTCGCCCTGAATCTGCCCCATCAGTCCGAAAGTGCCACGAAGCCGGTGTCAGCGTTCACATGCTCACTGGTGACCACCCTGAAACAGCTCGTGCTATCGCTCTTGAGGTTGGTATTCTCCCTGCCAAGATGTCTGAAATCCCCAAGGATGTTTCCAAGGTCATGGTTATGGCTGCTTCAGAGTTTGACAAGCTGTCCGATGATGAGATTGACCAGCTTCCCCTTCTGCCTCTTGTCGTCGCCCGCTGTGCCCCTCAGACCAAGGTTCGTATGATTGAAGCTCTTCATCGTCGCAAGGCTTTCGTCGCCATGACCGGTGATGGTGTCAATGACTCGCCTAGTTTGAAGCGATCCGACGTGGGTATTGCTATGGGACAGGCTGGATCTGATGTTGCCAAGGAAGCGTCCGACATTGTCTTGACTGATGATAACTTTGCTTCTATTCTCAACGCCGTTGAAGAAGGCCGAAGAATGTTTGACAACATTCAGAAGTTTATTCTGCACGTTTTGGCTGAGAATATTGCTCAAGCTTGTACACTCTTGATCGGTCTTGCTTTCAAGGACAAGAACAATCTGTCGGTTTTCCCCTTGGCACCCGTTGAGATTCTCTGGATCATCATGATTACATCTGGTATGCCTGATATGGGTCTTGGCTTTGAGATTGCCGCCCCAGATATCATGCAACGTCCCCCTCAAAACGTATGTTGTCCCTTCTCTCCACGGATCCCACTAACCTCGCCCGTGTAGTTGAAACAAGGTGTCTTTACCCCCGAACTGATGATCGACATGGTCGTCTACGGTCTCTGGATGTCAGCTCTTTGCCTCGCCTCATTCGTCCTCGTCCTGTATGGCTTCGGCAATGGTGCTGCTGACATTGGGGAGAACTGCAACAACAAGTACAGCGAAGAGTGCAAGGTCATTTTCCGTGCTCGTTCAACAACCTTTGCATGCCTGACCTGGTTCGCCCTGTTCCTTGCGTGGGAGATGATCAACATGAGAAGGTCTTTCTTCCGAATGCAACCCAAGAGCAAGAAGTATTTCACCCAGTGGATGCACGACGTTTGGAGGAACCCCTTCCTTTTCTGGGCCATTATTGCAGGCTTTGTTACCATGTTCCCTATCATCTATATTCCCGGACTCAACACTGTCGTCTTCAAGCATGCTCCCATCTCTTGGGAATGGGGTATTGTTTTTGTCGAGGCTGTGCTCTTCTTCCTTGGTATTGAGACTTGGAAATGGGCTAAGCGTATTTATTTCCGTCGCCAGGCTCGTAAGTCTACGGGCGGTGTTACTGATCTGGAGACTCGTGTCTTTGGCCAGTATTACAGCATGGGTGGAAGCCGTGATGAGGAGAGTGGCCACAATGAGAAGAGTTCCGATTAGCTGGATGAACGGGTATTAACCTGAAGTCAAGTAGATGATCGGTAAGTATGTTGTCAATTAGGTAGTCCACTGCAAGCGTGTAATCGTTAGTTGGTTAAATTGATATCTAGTTAGTGAACTCGTTTATGATCCGGTGATGTTGGAAACAAGTCTTGATGTAGTTATACCTACCCAAGAGCTGCCAATGATGAGTGGAAATAAATCGCACAACCGTTGCGCCAGGCTGGGCCACTTACAGAGGTGCTTGTGAGACCCGAAGAGGACCAAGATAAATGGGTGAGGCTGTAGACATTCGAGAAGACAAGCTCATCATAGGCAGATTATATTGCTTGATGATACTGCCAGTGCTAGCAGCCGTCAATACTGAAAAGCTTGCACTCTGATTCATGGTGCCTGCTTCAGGTCGCTCATTCTTTCGCCTTTAACATTCTTTTATTTCATTGTCTCAATTCATTATTCGCATCTTTATTCAGTGTACGGTGATCTAATTCTTTATTCACGTCAAACCCATTTGAATATATTCAACCTCTCGTTCATCAGGTCAGTTCACCAACAGCGCATAAATTAGCGAAACTGACATGTACAACTACAGTATTCGATCATCTATTATAGTGTAATCAACAGATATGAACCCCCAGCCGGCAGACTTCAGGTTCAACTGTATTTGGGGAGGCGAAATTATCTCCCAAGATGAGTTGTTGCGTCGACTCGGTCCGGAAGGATGCAAAGATTGGGTTGAAAGGGGTCAAGGCTTAATCAATCAGTTTGGACCTCATGCTGCCAAAAGCCCTGCTGGAACAGCCCATGAAAACATTCAGCAGAGAGGTAAAGAATCGTGGCAGAAGCAGCTAAACTATTCACCTACTAACAGCAATTCAGGAAACGCCAAGGTTGAGAAAACCCCCAGAACCAAATCTTCGCAGGACATGGACAATATTCGAAAGATCAGGCGTCTGATGGAGCGAGTTGAGGTATTGGAGGACAAAAATCGGTCTTTGAAGAGAAAGAAGACCGAGTTCGAATACAAGCAGGCAAAGATGGTGAAGCTGCTTACAGATGAGTGAACAACTCACAACCCACCTGTTTCGTTGGCATGCTTCTGGACTCTGCTGGCAAATGCATATGCCGCTGATGATATGCTGGTATGAGCGGTTTACAAGATCTAGACCAAACAAGATCAATATCGTTTCATCTCATCGTAGAGACGGCCAATCAACCAAGTTTGAGTGGTTTTTCGAATGACGAACGAGGTTGCATCGCATCCAACCATTCCCCTCCAAACAATCGGCTGTGTGACGACCCCTTCACTGTGAAAATGACGTATTTAAGACCGGCAACTTGACGATACGATTGACAAGATCAGATAATTAATAGAATTCTCGTATCTACAGTATAAGCTTGCAAGAACACCATTATTATAATAAACATTCAAATCGCAAGAACCTCGTTTCATGCATTCACGTGCGTAATCTCACGATGTTCCATATGTTTCTTGCATCAAAGAGGGTGTACTAGAAATGGGACGACAAGGGTATTCCCAGTCACAACCGTTGTGTACGACCAGGAAAATCCGACTGAAAAGGTTAGAATAACGGAATTAACAGAGAAATCCTTATTATGTATCCTCTAAATCACCATCGTCCGTTTAGCATCACATGCCGTTAATCAAGGCTTGGTACGTACCCAGCCCCTCCAAATCCTGGGGTCTCAGGCCACTGCGTCATTGGATCTTATAGGGCCCCCGCCTCTTTTACTGATGATCTGCTCACGAGCACAGGGTTTCATCTTTCAACCTGATCTCGCGACTACATCACAGGCAAACACCACGTTCAAACCACGCAATATCTCACATACAAACGCCTTGGGCTTGAGCTCTGGCTTTAACCCTTCCAACTCAAGCTTCCGACTATACCAAAATGGCTTCTGCTGTTGATTCTCCCCTGGCGCACTCGCCTTCTGCCCATCCTCCCCAACGACCTCGAGGTGAGTTGTCTGAGACTAGTTGTGACCTCTCTAACATTCATAGGCATCCTCAAGAACTCGTATCGGAAATCTCCTCCCACTTCGCCGAACCACGATCAACCTGCCAGCGACAAGGAGCTCACCATCGCCAACACTCAGATCAACGCCGGCCACCGACGTTCGTCCTCTGGAGCTCGCCCTTCTGGATCCCGCCGACAATCAGGCGCCAACAGTTCCATCGGAGACGCTCTCGAACCCTCCCAACGACTCAAGTGGGACGAGGCAAACCTCTACCTCACGGAGCAGGAGCGCTCCTCTACCATGAAGATCACGGAACCCAAGACTCCCTATGCCAAACACTACGACCCCGCCGAGGACCCGTCGGACGAAGACGAGGATCCTCTGGCGGACGCTGGTGCTCGTCTTAAGAATTCACGTCCAAGCCGTGAAGATGACATTCCGGGCCTTTCGCTGGGCGAACCGGAAGAGGAGATCCCGGAAGCGGGCGCGCCGTCGCCCCGCAGCGAAAAGAGCGTCCACGTCGACGACGAGAGCAGCATCGGGCACAACGCGGAGGAGGAGCTGGCGGGCATGTCTCCCGAGGAGCGTGAGAAGCACAGAAAGTTTGAACAGCTTCGAAAGAGACACTACGAAATGAAAAATGTGGCCCAGCTCCTGGGCCACCCCGAGACGATCCAGGATGAGGATGAGGATGACGAGGGTGAGGTGCCGCCTGTGCCACAGGTACCGGGCGTGCCCAACGGTACTGCGTAGGGTGCTGGGGAGGCATGATGAGGGCTGTGAACTGGCTAGGGCATTCGGATGGAGTTTTGAGGATATCATTATTGGGCGTTGGCAGAGGAGGAGTGTGAGGTTATCTGATTACTCGCTCGCTTTCAAGATTCTGATGGAAACAAGGGGCACATAGTGTTATGGGTAGAGACATGTTTCATTTCCTAATATTTACGGTTATCACTCATATCTTGTCGTTGGTGGTGGCATGCTTGTCGATGGTGGCATGCTTTTCGATGGTTCACAGTAATCCCTTTCTTGCCAATTCAATCTTTCGAGCTGTTTCGCCTGGTTGGAATCCACCACGAGACACACATAGACGTTGTCCCTCAGCTAATTCGAACTTTTCTTGTTGAGCATCCCAAGCGCAAGGACAGTGGTGAGGAAAGTGGACGCATGCGAGAGTATCGGGGCAGAGGTATTTGTCGCAGATAGCTGTACATGTTAGCAAAGTAAAAAAGCGGTAGATGTACTTACAATTCTCGTAATTCTGCTTGTAGTGGTTCGCATCGCTTGGGCTGTTTTGTTGTTGCGCTTGGTGATGTTCATGGCCTCCTTGCTGGTTAAACATTTGATCAAAGAAGCCGCCGAATTGGGCATTGACCAAAGTCAAGAGAGACAGAACAGCAAAAAGGTACCGCATTTTGTTGATGTTTCCTACAGATCAATGCTGATGTTACAGCTGCAGCTGGAGTTTAGGGAAGCTGTCCACAAGCTTATCGATAAGCATGACTAAGCGCAAAAACTCCATCAATTGAGGATCAAGCGTTGCTAACCTCACTCAGCCCATATCGTCACAAATCGCCGGCATGAGGTTCCTCACGATGCAGCGGCCAATATTGGCTGCTGTGGCTAGTCTAGCAAGGCCGGCCTTCACACCTATCGCCCCTCTGGGTGTGCAGTTGGCCAATTCCCTCGCCCAAGGTCATCGATTTGCCTCGGTCAAGTCACAGGGAGCATACAAGAAGAAGCCCAAGAGGGGTATTCCAAAGAAACTCGGTGCAAAGCGTACAGGAGGTAGGTTCGCCATGAATGGACCGAACTGGGCTGACCTTTAGATCAATTCGTCATTCCTGGGAACATCCTCTACAAACAGCGAGGCACGCATTGGTGGCCTGGAGAGAACTGCATCATGGGTCGAGACCACACCATTCACGCAATGGCGACCGGATACGTCAAATACTACCGCGATCCCTCGCTACATCCCGACCGCAAATACATCGGCGTAGTCTTTGACAAGAACGACACACTACCATATCCCGTCCACGCCCAACGCAAGCGAAAACTAAACATGACCGCCTTCCCGATCAAAGAAATCGCCGCGCAGCCCGAGATCTCGCCGTCCGGGATCCCCTTCCAGGTCAACCGTGTCGAAGCGGGCGAACCAGACAGACTGCTCAAGCTGCGAAAGGACTACAGTTACCGTGAAGACAACTGGGCTATTGGAAAGCTGGCCAAGACGACGGGTCTCAAGACCAAGAGGTTCAGGACGCGAAAGCAGTGGTTCAGACATAGACGATGGAGGCGGGAGAGGGAACTCGAGGGACAGAGAAAGGCGGAGCAGAAGAGGGCAGAGAGCGGTGGGGAGATTAAGGCTGTCAAGGTGCTTAGCCAGAAGCAGGCGAAGAAGGCGAAGAAGGCGTCAAAGAAGAAATAGTGGCGAGATGTGGTGGGACTGCTGTAGAATAGGACAATTGTATGTATAGCTGTACATTATGAGACATGTCAATCATGAAACTGCAGTTGAAGTGAATTGATAGATTTAAATGTCCAAACGGTACCAACTACCTTCTGCACGTTAATTGTGATACTGCATTGTCGGAGGTCATTGTTGGGGGCCTTTAGAGGTATCTCACACCTTATTTCTGCAGCGAGGTACATCCTGCCCCTAACCGCGCTATAAGCTCATTCGCGTCGGCGCGTCCACCTCACTTTCATCATCAGCTCACTCACTTGATCGTTTCATCTCATCTGTTCGCAACCCGACTTGGGCTTCTTTTTTGTTCCTTCATTTCCTTCAGTCCGTTTCTCACTTCCCCATGGGACTTTTCGCAACCTACAGCCGATGCTTGATCCTAAAATGTCCGGGAATGACGACCCTTCAATGAAACAGAGCACAAGCTTTATACCGTGGAATTCGGCCAAAACCAACGTCCCCATCCCGGAACCTTCACGTATCGTCAGCGACATTGTCGGAAGCGCAGCCGTTAAAGCTTCAGCGGCTGGTATCCTATCAAGCAACCCTCGAATTCAAGCAGCTCAGTCCGAGTGGGAACGTAGACAGGGTACGTCTCCTCCAAGACGCCGTTCATTTCTGACATGACCAGCACAATACTTCTCACAGACACCTGCATCGTCTCAAGTGATGCCTCGAAAGAGAAAAGCATCCCCAGACTTTTCACCTTCAGACTTTTCATCTGTTCTCCCCAAGAGGACTCCCGCTGATTACGCCCGTGTCCGCGAAGCTCGTCGCTTTACGGAAGCCGAGGTCGCGAGACAGTTGGCAGATATCAACAGTGCAGCTATCAAGAAGAGCGCCATGCACCGTTCATCTCAAGCTGCCGTGGTTTCGCTCACTGGGGCCGAGTTGCTCAAAAAGTACACTGGCCAAGGGACACCATCACCAACACCTGGACCAGCAAGATCGCCTGACTTTTTAGTACCTGATACTCGAGTGGAGGCAATCATCCTGGCTGATCCTAGCCGAGCCTACACTGTATATCCTTGTAGGTCCTTCAATCACTACACTGAACTACTCTAACATGCCCAGTCCCCCAAGGTGGTTTTACTTCTGCTCGTGGAGCACTTATTCCGGCAAACTACAAACTTCACGACGACCCTGAACTTCCATACATATGTCCTGTGCGAGATTGTCGCCGTGTGTTTGGCAAACTTAATGGTCTTGGTGGACATTTTGGCGCTGGGCATTGTTCAACGACATTCAACGACAACGGAGATGGCACATTGACCAAGGTCGGTAGCTATCAGAAGGATGGTCCTGGAGGTACACCTGGAATCGTTGTTTCCAGAAACCCCCTTCCTCCTGATGCACCACCTCCGGTCGACCCAGGCTTGTCGCTATTCGCCTCGTTCCAGCAGAACCGAGTATCTCGAGCTGCCGAACATGAGAGAAAGACAACACGCTCACAGGATTCTCCCTACCGGCCTCAAGCTATGCAAGAATCGGAGGTTAAGCAATATCTCCACCAACACCTCAGCCCAGCCCAAAAGTCTCATCAGCGAGAGGACATCAATTACATGCTGACATTGCCTCGTAGACGTGAGCTGCCTGAGGGTTGGAAGCATACCCACCGGGGGAGCAACCTGGACGTCACTCATTATTCCTGTGCAGTGGCATATCTCGTAGGTACAGGCGTGGTTGGTAGCGAGCAGTGCACAGTCAATACCACTCGACCATCTGCACGACTATCGCAACCTTGCATCCGTCTCCCAATCGGCCTGTCTGCGACAGCGAAGCAGGCATTTTCTGCTCTAGAGTCTTGCGTAGGATGTAGATACTGGTGTCACCTGCAGCGACGTTCAAACGGTTGTGACTGGTGTCCTGAGCCAAAAGTTAGACGAGGGGCTTCCGGTTCATCTCGATCGTCGTCTTCCGAGGAACTGAATCCCCCGATGGATCTCGACGATTCTGAGGATGTCAACATCATGACTGAGGTCCAGCCAAAACGAAGAAAAAGACGCTCCTCTGGGAATGACGTTGCCGTGAGAGACCAAACAGTTGCCATCATTAGCAGACCTGAGATGGGCGTTGAATTGGAAATGGAGGATTGGGAGGTTGCTCCAGGAAGGATAAAGGATGAATCTTCCTCGGACAACGTCGCCTATTCCAACTCGTTTCTCACCAGTGGTCAACCCGTCACCGTTTCAGAGGACGTCAGCTTCAACGTCATGGTTCTGAAGCCGGGTAGCGCTAATCATTGGGCTGTTGAAGACGACAAACTGCGAACATGCTCCGTCGCCTCAGGAAAGATTCGTGTCACCATGAACGAAAAGACGTTCAATCTTGGCCCCAACGGCATGTTTGTTGTTAGACCAGGCCAGACGTGCAAGGTCGAGAATCGAATATACATAGATTCCGTGGTGCACTGCACTACTATTGGGGATTTTTCACTGCAGTAAAGGCGCTTAGTTCGGATACATACTTTTGATCGGAGTTGAGGGCGCATTTTGGCATCGCATATTATTATGCTATTTATCAGTGGTGTTTTAAAAGCATTGGTGGGCACTGGGATGGGTTGAAACGGGTTAGCAGGCAGTCATCGGGACGGTTTCAGGTGGTGCAGTCATTTGACTAACCTTGTCTCAGACACCCCACGTTATGGGATCTACAGAGTCAGCCTACAGAGATAATATTAGCACATCAGCAATTGACATGAGAATCGGATATTACTTTGAAATGGACTTTTGTCACGAGCGTGCTAAGCCAGGCTGCTGTTTTGTGCGGGTGACTCGGAGTGATTGAGTGATATGTATATTGTTGACACTTCAGACAAAACCATATGGTTCATGAGTTTCGTTCAACGTTCTCATGTCTCAAGCCTCTCGACCAAAACTCCCCAGGCAAAGACGCCGGGAAATTTATAGGACTCACACTGTTGATATGGATACAGCGGACTCACCAGAGCCGGAGCTCAGCAATGACAAGGACTCGGCTCATGTAAATCCAGGGAGTCCCCCAGATCAACTCCCGCCACTGAATGATTACACGACAAAGAGAGAACCCGAGAAGAAGATTAGCGAAGAATCGACGGAAACAGAGGTGTCAAAGGCCAGGTTTATTATTGATCCGGAAGGAGAATTCACTCATGATCAAACAACTGTCGACATTGTGACTGTTCCATGCCCTGGAGCAGATCCCCTTCGAACATGGAGTCGGGATGGCCTTATGAGTCGATACCACGGAGCATTGTCTATGCGCGACGCCGAAGGTGCAGCATCTGATGCTGATCGACCAGCTCCATCATGGGTTCGCCAAGGCCTTCGTCGTGAAGCGGATCGAGCTCGGATTCTGTTGTATGAGCACCCATCGACGACTGAGGATACGAGGCTGAGTACCCTGGCCGATGCATTGCTGGAAGAGTTGGAAAGCTTGAGAAAACGAGAGAAGCAGACACGACCGGTTGTGTTTGTGGGCCATAGCGTTGGCGGTATTATTGTCAAGATGGTGTTGACAAAGGCAAGCAGAGATCCGTCGTTTGAGGATATATACAGGCAATGCTATGGTGCTGCATTCTTTGGTACGTGATCCATCTCTGATTGACCCACGCTAACAGGATAGGCACTCCTCATCAAGGATCGAGTTACTTTGCCATGCCGAGTCTCGCAACTGGTATTCAGAATCTGCTTCAACTGTCAGCTCCTATGCCGACATCAATAACGGACGATCTTCGTGTGGGAAATACTCTGCTCCTCCAACTCGACGACGACTTCAAATCGATCGCACACGACTTTCGCATCTGGACGCTGTATGAGACCATCGACTCTCGCCTTTCAGGCAGCTCGGGAGATGTCTACTTCACTGCCCCACTAACTTCAATCAAGTCTGCTATCCTCGGCATGCGACAAGAGACTATTCTCCCACTTCAGAGTGATCACGCGAATATTGCTTCTTTCGGGCGGCATAATCTGCACACGATGCGCCTATTTCTGAAGCAGTTGTCGGCTCTCATCGGACGCGCAGACGAGTACTCTCGTGAGGACGGAAATTGGTCTCTGAATCTTGAGCAAAAGGTCAATGTCGAGGTTCACGGATTCTTTGAAGATCCTCCAGGTCCATTTGATGTGGCGACGATTCGAGCTTGGTCTACACGACTGCCGCTTCGAGATTTCTTGAGAAAGGGGCCAGAGGAGTGCTTGGCTGAGAGGTTGAACGAAGTCGAGACAGTTGATGAAGGCAGGTTCTTGAGGAATCGAGGGAAAACAACGATGCTACCGACCGAGAAAGTTGCTGATGAAACACACGACAATCCCCTTGGGATCTCGCAGGGATCTGTCGAGTCTTCTCCTGCATCCCCCATCATACGGCCTGTTGATGCAGAAAAGACAAGATCAGAGTCAGCACCTCAAACAGGAGCAAGATCTCCCGCCACACCTTTATCACCGGCGGCTATTTCACCACCCACACACTACTCAACGCCGATGCGACGTCCTTCGCCACTTATTCGTGCCAACTTTGAGCAGGATTTGGCTGTCGATCGTCTATCTCCTCCTCCTAGAGGAAGAATGGGGCGATCTCTTAGTAGGTCTGTCAGCATGGGAACTCAAGCCTCACAATACGAGTACAAAGACTTTCCTCCGTTCTCACAGCGAAGTCGAAGTACCATTGGCGGCTTCAGTGACGATGACGATATCGATGCGTCTCCGAGGTTGCCAGAAGCGATCGTTGCCATCCGAAAGGCCGCGAATAATGGTGAGAGGAGAGCCAGTGAGACAGTAATCGTGGATGAGGTGCCTGTTGCGTTCTCGAAACCTCAGATTGAAAATCGCAAGTTTATGTGGATTCATTTGCCATACAACAATCCTAGCTGGGTGACGGTAAGCAGTCTGAAGCAGTTGGTTCATACAATTACTGACCTCTGTAGAAAATGTTCGAGACTCTGCAGACAGCAAACAATCGCAACTATGCCCCCCTGTTTAACAATGACTTCTGGGCGACAAGACATTCTCGAGGGCGACACTCTCAACACTATGCGTATTTTGCGAAACCAGGCTGTTACTTTTCAGCTCCTCGGCACAGTAAGTTCAGTCCTATTTTGAAACCCAAGCTAACCGTGTAGTGTCGCCTCGAGGCCGATCTTCGAAACAGTCATCGATATCGCCCAAACCAGAGGGTGGAATCTATACTTGTCTATTCCTCCCATATCTTCATTTTGACTCGTACAAACGACTCATTCGCCGACGAGAACTCATCCTTCAGCGTCTCGGCCATGGACGAGCCAGACCTGTTCCCGAAACTGTGGCAAAGTCTGATTCTCTTGAATCACAGGTGATCTGGGAGTTTTTGGGCCACGATCCACCGCTCAACTGTCGTCGAACACTAGATCAATTCGGATATCCATCGCTGAGGGACACTCGGTCGCGAGATGATGATCAGATGCTGTATAAACTGACAAAGGAACGAACATTCGCTCCCGGTTTGGGCCCAGGACTTCATGGACAAATGTCAAACAGTAGCTCTGGGAGTAGCGGAAGTGGTAGTCGACGATCCAAGACAAGTAGCCAGGACGGTGAAGACGAGGAGGGTTGCGAGGACACTATACTCAACGGCAATGTTCTCATGGTGGATCAGCTGTGGCTTTGGGTCATAGACTCCCGTAAGTCATCTATCCTTGCATGGAGCTCAGCTGACCTTTAGATACGCTACTCTCCTTCTTCCCAAAGCGAGAGGGTGATGCTATTGAAGGGCCTCTGTATCAGCAAGCAGATCTTCGCGACAGCATCTTTAACGAAGTCAACGTCGATCTCACCCGACAATGCGAAAATGCTCTGGACCTAGCGGCATTAGCAGTCCTCCATGCTGTCACAGTCCTCCTCGACAGATCCTCACACCCAGACCTAGAAGTGTTTCGAATCTTTGAAGAAGCCATCAGCGTTCTAGTATGTCATACTCACTGCAATTTCACTTTGCCATCATTTTTTGACCTTGCTAACCTTTAGACCGAAAAACTCACCTCCTCGCTCAAAACATTTCGCGCTGAGGGATTCCGTGACAAAGCGTCAGCCTACGAGCCAGTTGAGAACAAAGCTCGTTCCATCAGAGCACGCCACAAGGCCGAGGGCCGTCGATCAGAAGAGGATAACCGAGACAACACATCTGCTCTCCTTGAACTTCGAGATATTGAAGATGAACTTTTGATTCTGGTTCATCTGTTTGAACGTCAGTCTAAAGTCGTCAGCTCTATGCTCTCCACTTACACTCGTCCGGAACTGCGTGACCGTACTGCAAATGGAAGACTGTTCCTGAGTGAAGCTATCAAGAAGGTCTCGGAGTATACGCACCAAGCTCAAGAGATGATTCAGAGAGTCCGGAGCACGAGAAACGACTACGACAAGCTCCTTCAGATGGTTCAGCGACAGGCGCAGGTTGATGAGGTACGGCTGAGTAGGCTTCATGCCGATCTTGCAAGTGCGCAAAGTCGCAGTGTCATGATCTTTACCACATTTACAGTCATCTTCCTCCCGTTGACCTTCTTTACTGGTCTCTTCGGTATGAACACTCAGGAATGGGGTGGTGAGAATAACTTGTCGCTCAAGACCATCGGGACAATCTCGTTGCCTGCAAGTTTCGCCCTAGTGGTTTTTTCTCTCGTGGCAGCTTTTAGTACAAATGCCCGACTTCTGATCAAATGGCTTGGCCATTTGTACCGACACATGATGTCCTGGGTGTGGAGAACACTGTGTAAGCCAGCTGTTGCAAAGATGGCTGACATGCTGCCACAAGGAAATGAGCGACAAAGGGAGGAGAGGGACTTGAGAAGCGGGAAGAGAGTTTTGAGAGAGGAAATGAGTGACTTTTGGGAAAGACATAGATTAGAGAGGGACAGAGGATACGCGGTTCCAGAGAAGAATAAGCGGACGGTAGTGAGTGGTAAGAGTAGTTGGAGGAAGATGAAGTAGTGCCACTGTTGCAGCACTGAATGCTCGACTTTACTCATTTCTCCTATATGGAATTGTGCTCCAATCAGCTGCTGAATGCTTGCTCGTTGGAAAGGCTGTAATGCTTATGACATCCATCGATCCGCTGCAGGGGTACCCCAGTCTCACTAGAGATGCACATCATCCGGGAGCTAATCGGCCGTGAAGACAGGGGTAGACTTACAGATCCTGGCCAACGCATCGCATCGCCTCATGATTGACGAATAGCTGATGTTGATTCATTCGAAGAAAAAGCAAAGCGGCCACTCATCCGGGCTTTCCCGAGAAGTCTGTTTCATAATGAGAGGTCCAGGATGGAGGACGATGAGTTGGCAGCGCGAGCAAGAAAACATCGGGCCTTGATAGGGTGTAATGATAAACTTGGCATCGAGGTCCCGGGGTTTGTTACTCCCCTAGGTATTTTGCAGAAGGGTATATAATGCCGCACTTCTCAGCTGAGGACATTTCTCACAGCCTGCCGACTTGTGACTGTTAAAGTTCAGCTTGAATCATACTCTTTCATCACTCACATTCGTTTCAACATGGCCGACTCACCTCGCTATGCAATGGGCACACAGTCCTCTCAACGGCGAACCAGCCCAATTCGTAAAGGACAGCTGGAGCGTCCTGGCACTCCAACACGCCGACCAACCACGCCTACCCTCGGCCGTCGTCCAACAACTCCAACCCTGGGCCGCCGGGCCTCCAACACTTCTCTTCGTCGCCAGGGTTCGAATACAGCCCTCAACCGTCCTGTCACCCCCACTGCAACGGAGACGCCAGATGGTGACCCAGTGAAGGTTGGTTGGGTCACCACTCCAAAGACTGGCGCATCGCCAGGAAGCCCAGACGCTCCAGCACGTATCTTACCTGCTATCCCCGAGAGTCCTCTTGTTATGCCATCACCTCGGTCGCGACAAGTCTCTCGTGCTGGTATCACGCCTCGCTCTCGACAGGTTTCGACGACCGATGCAGCTCCTCGTTCACGTCAGGTCTCGCAGACTCTACCGGCTCCGGAGATCGATCGTACTCCCTATGCTACCCAAGCGCCCGAGATCAAAGTTCCTCCAACTGTCGTCCATGCTCCTCTTGTCAGAGCGACACCGAGTATAGGTCGTGTGCCCAAAGTTCGATCGGCCCCCAAGGTTGCAGTTGTTTCAAATGTTCGATTCTTAGTAGGCAACATTATCATTCCGTCAGCTACAGGACCTCCTAGAACTGCAAAGAGCCCAGTGGTGGCATCTCCTCCCGTTGTCGTGCCGGTTTCTGTGGCTCGGGTTGTGCCTGGCGTTGCTCCTGCGCCCCATGCTGCTCCTATCCCACTTTCGGCACCTCTTCCAGTTATTACACTGGTACCTATCATCGCTAGGGCTCTGGCTACTGCTCTTGCGCCACGTGTTTCTGATATCCCCAGCGTTGCTCGGCTACCTTTGACTCAAGAGGCTCCCAAGTCGACGCTAGCTTCAAGGTCAACAAAGGTCCCCAAGGCTTTACTGCCGCCTCCCATTAGACTCCTCCTTAGCCAGGCGTAAAGTTGGTTTTGATAAATTGAAGCTCTGGAGGGCTTGCCAGTTAATCGGTTCGGAAAGCTACAGCGTTGACTGGCTTCTCTCGTGAAGCTCACCTGGCTCCATCCATAGGTAGGTGCTTCAGGAATGGGATCCAGCACCACTTGGCAAGCATATATAGCCCAAACAACGGGAATTTCGCCGTAGGTTGATTGAAATTATTGGAGATTGACTGTTGAAGATGGAAAGAATTCTACTCGAGGTAGCCACAGTTCGCGAATGTAATACCGTTGTAACTTTGGCAAGTGGGCCACACCCCAGACTTTCCTTCCTTTGATGAATTTGATGAGACGTACAATCTGCCATTTCCCAGCCACAAGGGCCAAATGAGGCCATCAATCCGATTGGAGATGGCTTCAGTCATGTTCTGGGGGCATAGATTGATCTGCCAATTGTTGCACTGGTACATCGCATCACTATGGCACATCCATGAACATACACATTCTTCAGCCTCGCTCCTGTATTGACAATCTCAAAAACTACTTCAAAAACTACCTCCACCGAATGAAATACATGGTAAGATAGGCCCTGGTATGTATACCAATATCTGCTTCTATCACGACCAATTTTTTTGACAAAACCTAGGCGTGGAATCTAGGGATGAAGAAAGATAGCCGGCGCTCAAACCTCCCAAGGGTACTTGACCTCCACCGAGCTCTGCTGAACATCGCCATAAATCAGTGAGAATTCCATCGCCGCCCCGTCCCATTGAAAATCGATCTGCAAATCGGCCTTGAGAACGGGTTTCAGGTCGGAGTTCAACCCAACATCACAGGTCTTCCAGATGAGTGTACAGACTTCACGAATGCGTGGCGCTTCGTTGTTGAGATGTCTACTGTGGACATGGATACTAAAGCTGTCCCTGCCGGTGTGATCGTCGATCGAAAGAGCTTCGGGGGGTATACGTCGTAGATTGCGTTGTGTGGCGCCAAGAGATTCATTCTGTTGAGAATTATTAGTAATGTGCCAATAGTATGAACCTGGAAGAAAGACCAACTTCGCCAACGAGCCAGAAGATTGAGCTTCCGCGGTCGACACTAACTCCCCAGCCAGTTCTGACGAGTCTGGAGGTTACTACGGCCGGTTGCTGCACCGCCTGCGCGTGGAGAGCGTGGGCAACGGCTCCCATGGACACTGCATTCCAGCTTCATGACACCGTCAGCTATCATTACGTAAGGAAGATTGGGAGAGTTACCCATCTCCAGGTGGATAGTCAACGAGGTTCGTGGTGGGAGAAACTCTGGCCACAGTCTCTGCGATTCTTGATCGCAGATAGGCATTCTGCCCAAAACCTCCGGCCACAACGAGGTGCTGATGATGGTCGTGTTAGTGGGCGTCGCTTAACACGAGCGTTGCAGGCATTTAACTCACCGTTACGTCCTTTGAAAGCTTGGCTGAAATACCCAGCATCTCCTTCTCGATCAGGTGTGTGATCTTTCCTACAATTGGGTCAAAGATTGAAGCAAGATCATCGCTGAATTCACCGTCAGCACGATGTATAATTGTTATAGCTCATAAGATACTACATCAGTATCAGTCACTTACTGGGTGAATGTCACCTCATCACCTTGTCCAACACGCATTCTTCTCATGCGGCTCGAAGCCCACTTGATAGGCAGACAGATCCTTTGGGTCGGGTAGTTGTCTCTGAATTCCACCTTTATCCCAAGCTCCCATCTATTGGTTATATCGTAGAGGTCCTTTGCTGTCAGGGCTTCGAACACCCGGGGAGAGATCATCGTCTCGATCTTGTTCTTCAGAACTCGCATGAATTCATCATCGATGAGACAGGCTCCGGCAAAGATACATTGCGCAGGGCGGATTTCTTCGACGCAGAAGGGGCGAATGGAGGAGATCCCATAGGCGACAGTGTCCTTGAGGAGGGATGAGCACTAAACAAGAAGTCTTCGGTAGGGTGGCGCAAAACTTACAACGGTACCGCCGCCACAGTCACAGACCAAGACAGTCTGTCCTGGCTCAAGTTTGGAGGACTATGGGAGTGTTAGACGTAAACAGATGACCAAGACTTCAAAAAAAAAAATTACATTTACTTCCTCGAGGTAAAGTGCATCTGAAAAGAATGCTAGAGCCGCAGCCTCTGGCTCGGCAAGGAATTTAGGTGCCAGTACCACATTTTCGTTCAGCATCTGTGCTTGATGGAGGGCTTCAAACATGGCTCGACAAGCGTCCTCGGGCCAAAGCACAGGGACTGTGACAGTTATCTGGATATAGGGGTATGGGATCTTCTCTTGAAGATGGTCAAGGAAGACTTTCCAGATATTGTTGATGAATTTTGCTGTGGCTTCTTTGGCTGTCATACCCACAGCTGCTCTGGCGAGGTTTAATTCCTTGAACTTGGGAGAGTTTCTGAGGTCTGATGGTAGATCATCAGGGTGAGGCAAGCCAAGCTTGAACCATTCGATGTTGGTATCAGGATCCTTGACTTTGTTTGAATCCAAAACCATGAGTTTAGTTGGTGTTTTCGGTGACCGATTACCGTTGACTGTCCACCAGAAGCATTTCGGTCCATTCATCGTCAGTAGCGCATACGAAAACCCGGAAAATCTACAGAGTCGAGTGAGCAAAGTGAGTCTTGAGAGTCGTGTTGTATGACACCCTAAAAACTTACGTGGTCCCCAGGTCCAAACCAACAACGACGGGGGTTCTGCTCCCAGGAGAAAATTCCATGTTGGCTTGGCTCTTTGATCAATGTCAAATGTGGTGAGAGTTGAGATAAGTGGAAGTAGAGTTTGATGGAAATTCTGAGCGTCTGACCGATAGGAGATGAAGGAACTCAAGTTACGCTGGTGTTATGAGTACACCGGAACAGATGCCCTTGCAGTCAGTGTAGCCCATGTATGAATTATCTGATGCATCACAGCCTAGACCTTTTGGCCTGAGGAAACGATAGGCAACGATATGACTAGTCACGCGGTTAAGGGGTCATCACAAGGCATGAATAGAACGAAATGTCGGTCAATCTCAATAGTTTCCGTTGTGGAACGAGGCAGATCGGGAAAGGGAGACTGTACTGGTCAGTGTATTCCAAAAGAGCCAGTCATCAGCGCATTCTTAACGAAGGCGTGCTTGGATATCCGCTTCACGGCTGGAAGCTACATTAGCTCAGTTACAAATCCGCAGCTACACGCTCAAAACAAGACAATCAAGCCAATTACAGACGGTGTCTGCGATATCGCGAAGGGGAAAGGCCGTCATCCGGGAGGCACGGGCTGTGTGAATAGAGAGTTATCATTTCTTTGTCCAAGACGCCACCAATAAAGAAACAAGCTCCGTCACCCTCTTCTAGTACAATCACAAAAATAAAATGAAAGGTACCAGATTCATCGGCAGGCTTGATGCTCGCCTCTACAACGCAAACGATACTAGGCTCTGTTTGCCTCTCGTACATGCAGCAGATGCCCACAGAGCTGAAACTATCCCAGCAGAGGTGTTGTTTGTCCAGCCACGCACGGCCGCTTGTCATACCTAAACTCACTCCTTTATCTGGCAGTCTGTGGTGATTGGCCCTGTACTCCTGTGGTCATATGTTGTGGGGATGACACGGGTGGTCTGGCTTTGATAATGTAGGGGGGGTAAGAAAAAAGAGACTGAATTTTGGTGTAAGTCAGCATGTTGTATTTTTCCCCTACGAGGCAATCAATATTAGACAAGGATGGGTACATAACGCGAAAGGCTGCTCGCACTTTTGAAAGGGTAGTTTTCGAAACAATACTACTTTCCTTCAATTTTCTCACACAGCGGCGGTCGCTGCTTTCGCCCTTCTCAGAACATGGCTGGCCCTCGAAGATCCAAGCGACTGCAGTCTTGCAGTAAACCTGACCAAGACAGAGTCACCAAGATCGCAAGAGTGTCAAAGGATCAGGAAACCACGGAAAAGGTGGTTCAAGGGGAGAACAAAAAGATCGGAAAGAGCGCCATGGAAGAACCTTTAGACCAAGGGGTCGACAGAGTGAGTAGCCACTTTACAGCCTTCTATATTCATTTCTGAACTGACTTTTTCAAAGCCATCGCCAAAGGATGCATCGCCAGAAGATGCACCGTCAAAAGATGTATCGACAAAAGATGCATCGGCAGAAGACACATCGTCAAAAAATGCATCGCCGAACCGTGCATCAGAAGAAGCCCTGGAGAGACAACTTCGGGGCAGAGAATTGTTAGAAGAAGCACAGCAAAGGCATGACCGTGCCCTAGCTGAGCGAAGTAAGTGGAGGGACGATGGTCTTGTAAAATTCCGACGGGCTCTTCAGTGGGATGTTGGTTTGGGGTACAGACAAGGCCACCTTTACCGACTGTGGAATTACTTTGATGGTCGTATCAAAAATTTCGCAGAGTCTGCTGGTTTTCGGGATCTTCCCTGGGATAGACTTGACGAGGCCGTTCAGCAAAGGTTCGTTGGATATTCACCCTGTGCCCAACAGCTCTTTGAGACACCTCTTGTACGACGGTTTATGTTCGAACGGTGGATCTGGGAGATCCTTGATGAGAACTTTTTCACTACAAAGAGTCAGGGCATCGAGTGGACGTCGCCGTATTGGGAAGCTCAAGCTACAATAGAACGCTTCTTACGGGGTAAGAAAGATTAAAAAGGCTCACCTCGTTCGTGGGACTGACATTGTCCATAGAGAAAAACTTCGATTACGACGACGAATTCCTGCGTTTCCAGTATCCCAACTGGCGATTCACCACAATCAATTTCTATTACACCCTTAAGGAACGATCCAATCGGAAAGCGGAGTATTTCAGAGAAACCAGGGTTGAGCCAGGATGCGTGGTCAAGATCTTGAAGAAAGCGCTTGGCCAATACTTCCCTGAGAATCCTGACCTCTTCTTTGAAGGACAGATCTCAACCCTCGCAAACGTGGTTGCCGAGTTCGAATTGGTCTTCGACTGCGGTCGCCACACTCTTCGACTTGTGTTTCATGACCCCAATACCAAGGAGGCATGTAGATTTCCATTTTCAGCCCGAGCTGAGGGATTCGACACTCAAGTTGTGATGGAATCAGTCGGCCCCGAAACCGAAGACGAATGCAATGGTGCGCCTGTCGAACTGGTTGTATCGCCTATGCTGGTGTTTTATGGAGAACAAGATGGATGGGATTACCATGTTCCGAATGTCGCAGTTCCTATGAAAGTGTGTGTAGGATACATTGACGGACTCAGCCACGACTGGGTGATTGAGATGAAGGAGGATGGAGAGGGGGACGGAGAAGAGGAGGTGAAGATCATCAAGGATAAAGAGGGCGTCACAAAGGATGAGGATGGGAAGAAGGACGAGGACGAGGAGCAAGCACAGAGGAGCTCCCGCACTGGAAATCTGACTTAGGCGGGGATATTCGGCCTGATCCTGTATTCCTCTGGATCCCTGATTGTGTGTAGAACGTGGTTTATTTTAGATTGTTGGCTTGTATTTTTTAATTCAATCATGTTTTTGATAAGAGAAAAGGCGGCGCGTAGCCTAGCGATGATGACTCTAGCAGGAAAAAGTGAGGCTCCAGATCATCCATCTCGGCGTAAACTTGGTGTTGACAAGAGTGGGGCGACAGCGGTCTCTTTTCTCCACGTGACCTGGAGAAAATGTTCGCGGCCAAGCTTCACATTTAGCCCATCTCGATGGTGACCATCAGATGCAATTCGAGCCCGACTCGTTCCACTCATCACCATGGCCCTCCAACCCTGCCGCTCCGGCCTCTGGAGGAGTAGCCATGCCGCCCGTACCCTCATGCCTTGCGTGCGCACCTACACTACCGACTCAACCCCCGAAACCTTCAAGACCAAGACCCCGTCTTCCTCTGGCGTCGTGCCACGGTGGAGCCAGACGCCTGCTGCTATGAAGGCGCCGCTGCAACTCGACTGGGCAAAGAATCCCCAGAACAAGGTCTGGACTGTCAACAACGATCCCAAGAAGTTGGACGAGGTGTACGAGCGCCTGCTGGGTCCTGGAGGCAGCAAACTTCTGCCCGAGGAGCTCAAGTGGTTGGCTGTCACGCACAAGAGCTTTGATCAGGGGCGGAGAGGCTTCAACGACCGACTGGCACTTCTAGGTGGGTGGCACGAGGGATGAATGTTGGTCTATGCTGACTCTACCAGGACGAATGACTCTTGTCATGGAGACAACAAAGACAATTGTTGCGCAGGGTCCCATCGGAGCACCGAATTTCGATGACGGGTTTGACCGCCAGCCATTCGTGCATCCAAATTTGCAATCGGTAGACAATCTCTCCGTCAAAGGACCCAAGGACGTCGTCGGCAAGGAGAGACTATCTGGCTTGGCAGCTGAAGTGGGATTGATTGATGTTGTGCGGTGGAAGCCCAAACAGGTACATACCTCTTCTGTCCGCGGTAACTCGACTAACTAGCAGTAGGTGCAAAAACTCCGAGCTTCAGGTGCCGATGTCGTGCTCAACGGTGCCATCATGGCCATCATTGGTGCCATCACATTACAGCATGGAGCAGTGGTGGCATCACAGGTTATCAGAGAGAGGATATTGTCAAGACTACAGGATTGAGCATGGTGAGTGGGTAATCTGTATCATATCTGTACAATAAGAAGGTCTGGACCTGTACATAACAGTCTTGCAACTGTAAGATACTTGTCTATTGATCGTTCATGAAGCATGTCTATAGGAATCAGGGCTATAAAAGTAACGTCAGGGTATCATCATTGCAACAAAGGCGTCTCCTCATCTGCTGTTTGGTCACTCTCTCCATTGTCTTCCTCATTGTCGTGATGAATGAGCTTCTCTCGGTATATCCACCCAACGCACGTTCCAGCACCAGGTCCAACAACAAGAGAGGTAATGATTGTTGTCAAAGGAACCCGCCACCCAACCTCCACCAACATCCAGTACAGAACGGTCCAGAAGATGAACTGAGAGTTGACTTCAATAAAGACAATGATTGACCTTGTCATTTCTTTGCGGTCGTCGGGTCGAGTCAAGCTCCAGATGAAAGAAACATGCGCTAGAACGGAGCAGATTAAGGGCAGTGCATAAACAAACAGCAGAGACCACCGATTCGATGCGAGATGAACGAGTGTTGGGTCAACCCTCCTCAGTGCGGAGATTGTGTGACGAATGATCTGGCGAATGATCTCGACATAGATCGGGAAGAAGAGCCAGATGCCGATCGTCTCGGGAGTTGTATAGAACAGCATGAGAAAAGACGGAAGAAAGTAACCAAGTGCCACACTGATGGGAATAGCCACGAGCTCACTATCAGGAAGATGACGACTCGTAAATATCTGATGGACGTCACCACCCTCATCTCTCTGTGCAGTCAAAACACTTCTCGCACGATGCAGAAACGCAGGAATAATAACAAGCTCCCAAACGACAGCACCACCTACAAGATCAAACACCAACCACGGACCAGTAGGATACGCGATGAGAACATTCGGCGCATTGCAGATACGCGCTGATTCAACGGTGCTCACAGTCAAGAGGCCGCCGATAAAGGCTAGAACAACGCCCATGACCGCGCGACTGCGCAGTGAGTGAAGCGCGGCGCGGAAGAAGCTGATGAGATAGCATAGAGGCGTCCCGAGACCCGGGATCCGACTGACACCAGGGAGACGAGCGCGGGAGTGGCATTGGGACCAGAGAAGAGCAAAGTTGACGTCTGAGTGGAGGAAGAGAACGACGATGGTTGCTGCGGCTAGGAGGATTGGTGGGATGATTAGGGAGCGATATGAGAAGTGGTGAATAGGTGCTTTCCGAGGCATGTTGGTGGTTTTTGCTGAACGAAGATGATGATGAGGAGACGGCGATTGAAGTATTCATGAGTTGGGTGATTATTATGGTCATGTGGAAGAGGCTCTCGTGATTAAATTACAAGACCAATTTTGGTGTTGAGATTCACACCATTACACCGGCGTTAGGCTTAATGGGGACAGCAATCTGAATCTTATCAGATGTTGACCTGCACCAGATATTCACTCATCATGAGGTGAGAGTAAGATAGGTTCAAGTCGTTCATCAAAATACTATCGCTAATACTAACAAATATGATGTATTACAATGACTGAGGATGAAGCAAGCATCAGTGGGAAATAAGTGACCTTTCCTACGATGAATCTCCAGAGCAAACGGGGACATCCTTTTTGTTCCTTTTCTTCCGCTAGCATCGTCGATGATGAGCATTCATCTCATCGCCATTTTTAGGCTCACTGCGTAACAAGGTTGCGACTGAGAGAAAACGTACTATACTACGTAAACTAAGGATGAAGCAGAGCAGCTGGATTGCCGTTTTATTAATGGTACCCTTATTGAGCGTGAATCGTCATAGTGCCTATTGAAAATGTTGATCTCATGCATGTCAGTTCTCACCACAATAGTATAAAAACAGTAATCGAGTAAACAGATTCCCTTTAACGGATATGCAATGATCGGTCAAGGTCTTTCTGCTTAAACTCATCGGGAATCTCAGTGGTCTTAATCGAGATGTGCCTCATTAGCATGCACGTTTGAAGTGCTACCCTGGGTCACTCTAAAGATCCATGAATCTCTATCTTGCCAAACTTCACAGGATAGTGGCACACAAGGAACACGGTTCTCAATCAAGTCATACAATATTTCGTCTCTTCAGCTTGTACACCTATAGGGTATCGCGACAATCCGACTTCTGAAGTCTATGATTCTGGTGCTAGATCTTCGTTTGAAGGCTGAGAAGAGGTGTGCAACTTCTATTTGATCATTATGGAACGAATTTATGTATACTTCTCGGTACTCGTTGCCCTTGCCAGCCAGCTATGGTGTTCTCATGTGTGACGCCTAACTACAGCTTTGGACAAGCTACAGTAGGTCTCAAGCCGCGAGTCAAATTCTGCTCTACAAGATAAATGGTTACATCAGAGAGAAATGACTAAACCCAAGATCTTGAACGTGCGCAAAAGAGGAGTTTCTTCAGGCTGGTGCAACTGTATATACCGCGTCCTGTACGAGCATCTCCGTATCAACCTCGCACTAGATCAATGGGTCCTGGCACCACGGACAGATCAGCCTGCCGATGGATAAGCCGCTGAAACGTACCCCACGTCAAATACATCATCCATGATCCATCATGATCTCGGCCCATCTCTGGCCGTTTCACGCCCGGATTTCAACGTCCGAGGAGGGGAAACCATCTGCATTTGGAGCCAAGCGTGACTTAATCAGGCAGGTCCGTAGCCACAAACTCATCTGACTGGATGCACAACATGTCGCTACTTAAATTCTCCCGAAGCTCCCGCTGGTGGAAATAGTCTATGATTCGACGATACCCTGCATCGGTTTGATGCCTTCTCCGCAGCTGCGGCCCCTCCCCCAGGTTTTAGCGGCGTCAGTGGACCGAGCCCCTCTTCCGGGGCGGCTAATAGAACCCCGGGAGAACTTGTAGGAGCTGTAGGTAGCTGCGGGAGCTGGGGGTACCCGACAGCCAAACACATGACACAGAGACAATAACGCAACCCCTCGATTGTTTTGTCTCTTGTTTTTATTCCCTCTCTTTTGGAATTCTCACGTTTGACTGTTTTGTCGCTTTTTCGGATACACAGGCCTCAAAGTTCGGCACTCGAGGTGACGGAGCTAAGCGTTCCACTCGTTCCGGTCTCGCAATCGCTCTCATGATTCTTTAATCATGGCATCCCAAATGCTTCGCCCGCTGGCCTCGTCCGCGGTCCCAGCGTCAGCTTCCGAGCTGTGCGCTTCGTCCTTCTTTATACAGAAGCAATTGAAAGGGTATCGAGTTCAAGGTAGGCTTTTTCGACTGTCGAAGCTCATACCTAACAAACTTCAGATGTCCTCTCTCGTCGCAAGCAGTGGCACAGCACCTTGAGAGCTTCACCTCGACAGCATGCTCTTGTCACAGACGTCTCTAAACCTCTCGCATTGATCCGCCATGCTTCTGCGCCTCCTCGTAAATATTCCACCGTGGTTCTTCCCAAGACAACTCCCTATGATCATCTCGTCGTAGGTGTTCCAACCGAGATCTTCCCCGGGGAGCGCCGTGTAGCTCTCACGCCTGCCAATGTTGCACTCCTTAAGAAAAAGGGCTTCAAGCAGGTTCTCGTTGAACGTGGTGCTGGTACATCTGCTGATTTCCTCGATGCCGCCTATGAAAAAGCCGGCGCAACTCTTGTCACTGGTCCCAAGGAGGTCTGGTCCAACTCAGACATTGTTCTCAAAGTCCGCGGTCCCGGTCTTGGAGAGGTTGACTCCATGAAAGAAGGCCAAACCATCATCTCGTTCCTCCAGCCTGCTCAGAACAAAGAACTCGTCGAAAAGATTGCCGCTAGAAAAGCTACCAGCTTCGCCATGGACATGATTCCCCGTATCTCCCGAGCTCAGGTCTTTGATGCCCTCAGCAGCATGGCCAACATTGCCGGCTACAAAGCTGTTCTCGAAGCGTCCAATGTCTTTGGTAGGTTCCTCACTGGTCAAGTCACTGCTGCTGGAAAGATTCCTCCCTGCAAGGTTTTGGTTATTGGTGCTGGCGTTGCTGGTCTGAGTGCTATTGCTACTGCTCGTCGTATGGGTGCCATTGTTCGTGGTTTCGATACTCGATCTGCTGCTCGCGAACAGGTTCAATCTCTTGGGGCCGAATTCATCGAAGTTGAACTTGAGGAAGATGGATCTGGAGCTGGTGGATATGCCAAGGAAATGAGCAAGGAATTTATCGAAGCTGAAATGAAGCTGTTCAAAGACCAAGCCAAAGAAGTCGACATCATCATCACCACTGCATTGATCCCTGGAAAGCCTGCCCCGAAACTGCTCAAGAACGATATCCTCGATGTTATGAAGCCTGGAAGTGTCATTGTCGATCTGGCTGCCGAAGCTGGAGGCAACTGTGAAGCTACCAAAAAGGGTGAATTGGCCGTCTACAACGATGTCAAGATTATTGGTATGTGCAACCCCTGAATCACGACATCCGCTGACATTCTAGGATACACTGATCTTCCCTCTCGTCTGCCAACTCAGTCCTCGACCCTCTACTCCAACAACATCACCAAGTTCCTGCTCTCCATGACCCCTGAACCCAGCGCTTTCGGCATTGATCTCTCAGATGAAGTCGTCCGAGGTGCAATCGTCACCCAAGAAGGAGATATTCTGCCCCCGGCTCCTCGCGCAGCACCTCCTCCACCACCCGTAAAGGCTGAGGCAACCGAAGTGACCCCTGAACCTGTAGCTCTGACTCCTTGGCAAAAGAAGACCCGTGAAGTTGCTGGTGTCACCGCTGGTATGGGTAGTATGTTGGCTCTTGGAAAATGGACCAGCCCTCTTCTCATGTCGAACGCTTTCACCTTTGCTCTGGCTAGTCTTATCGGATATCGTGCGGTATGGGGTGTTGCTCCCGCGCTTCACTCTCCTCTGATGAGTGTCACCAATGCTATTTCCGGTATGGTCGGTATTGGTGGTTTGTTCATCCTTGGAGGTGGATTTCTGCCCGAGACTATTCCCCAGGCTTTCGGTGCTCTCAGTGTTTTGCTGGCTTTTGTCAATGTTGGCGGTGGTTTCGTGATCACCAAGCGTATGCTAGACATGTTCAAGCGTGAGTTGTTCGATCCTCAACTCGACCCAGCTAACAGGAATAGGACCTACCGACCCCCCTGAGTACCCCTGGCTCTATGCAATTCCTGCTGTTGTCTGTGGTGGTGGTTTCGTGGCTGCTGCGTCAACTGGTGCTGCTGGTCTCGTTCAAGCCGGTTATCTTGTCAGCTCTGTTCTCTGCATTGGTTCCGTCTCCAGTCTTGCTTCCCAGGCCACTGCTCGCATGGGCAATGCTCTCGGTATCCTCGGTGTTGGCACAGGTGTGTTGGCCAGTCTTCTCGCTGCTGGCTTTACCCCTGAAGTCCTCACTCAGTTTGGTGGTCTTGCTGCACTGGGTACCATCGCCGGTATGCTCATTGGAAAGCGAATCACTCCTACCGATCTCCCTCAGACTGTCGCCGCTCTTCACTCTGTGGTTGGTCTGGCTGCCGTCTTGACCAGTATCGGTAGTGTCATGGCTGATGTCATGGACCCTTCCACTCTCCACCTCGTCACAGCCTACCTTGGTGTCGTTATCGGCGGCATCACGTTTACCGGATCCATAGTCGCATTCCTCAAGCTCGCCGGCAGGATGACATCAAAGCCCAAGATCCTGCCTGGACGTCATATCATCAACTCAGGATTACTCGCAAGCAACGCAGCCACCATGGGAGCCTTCATCACAATGGCCCCAGGGAACCCCTTGATTGCAGCTGGAGCACTTGCTGGGAGCACAGTTTTGAGCTTCATCAAGGGATACACTACCACATCTGCCATTGGAGGTGCTGACATGCCCGTCGTCATCACTGTTTTGAACGCATACAGTGGTTTCGCCCTTGTTGCTGAGGGTTTCATGCTTGAGAACCCTCTTCTCACCACTGTTGGAGCCTTGATCGGTGTATCTGGTTCAATTCTGTCGTACATCATGTGCGTCGCCATGAACAGATCACTGACAAATGTTCTCTTTGGAGGCCTGGGCACGCCAACTGCTGTACAAGAGTTCAAACCCCAGGGAGAAGTCACGCAGACCTCTGTAGATGACCTTGCCGATGCACTTCTCAATTCCGAAAAGGTCATTCTCATTGTTGGCTATGGTATGGCCGTTGCCAAGGCCCAATACGCCATCTCAGACATTGTCAAGACTCTTCGCTCCAAGGGTATCACCGTCCGTTTCGCCATTCACCCTGTCGCAGGCCGCATGCCTGGTCAGTGCAACGTTCTTCTCGCTGAAGCCAGTGTGCCATATGACATCGTCCTGGAAATGGACGAGATCAACGATGACTTTCCCGAGACTGACCTGGCTGTTGTCATTGGTGCCAACGATACCGTCAACCCTATTGCTCTGGAAAAGGGCAGCTCTATTGAGGGTATGCCTGTGCTGCATGCCTGGAAAGCTAAGCAAGTTGTTGTCATGAAGAGAGGCATGGCCAGTGGCTATGGTAAGTCACCCGCCCTTTACTCGGACACAGCTAACAAGAGCAGCTGATGTTCCAAACCCGATGTTTTACATGCCCAACGCAAAGATGCTGTTTGGAGATGCCAGAGTGACATGTGAAGGTTAGTATTCCTCCCAGTTTCCAAACTACGCTGACCATTTAGCCATCAAATCTGCAATTGAAGCAAAGTCGTAGATCGTGAGACGTGAGATTTCTTATGTAGTTCGTATAAGAGAAGGATTTGAAGACCATAGAGTGCACATTTTCTAGATCTTAAACCATTTTAGCTGTAGAACTAGCAGCTTTCTGAATTCAATGCTTGGGTTTCTCGATTGAACCTCTACGCGAATTTATGTACACTTGACCACTCATCCTCATGCCCGAGGCGCCGCCACAGGCTCCCATGCCGAGATCTTGGACTTGGAACTAAAACGGTCAGAATTTTGCCTCCTATGAAATGCGAAACATACGTGTTGTAAGTCTTGAAAGCGCCGCGGGTCTGGGTAAAGTTGGGGAGGGCGCGTGAGGGCTCAAAGGCTCGGACACCAGCTTGTAGTAGGGGATCCTCGGTAGGAGGCTTATCGACGCTGTAGCTGATCCAGGCGTGCCATCCGGGCTCAATGTGAGCGGCGTCGTAGTCGTGCTTGGCGTACTCGACCCAGCGTGTTCGGAGGGGGAGTTCCTCGTTGTTCTCGAAGAACTTGTTGCCGGCGCGATCGGTGCCAATCAGACGACCAGCCTTGGTATCACCTGCGTGTGTCAGTGGACGAATCGGCGGATCATCGAGAAAGCGTACCGATGTACTATTCGTGAAAGCAGGCGTCGTTAGCCAGAGTCGAGGATCGTCGAGGATCGTTCGGACAGGTACATACCAGCATCTGGACAAAGTAGTCCTACTCAGGTTAGCATTGGCTCATTGACGGTTGAGAGCAGACCTGCCTTGATTCCAACCTTGCGCAGGTTGGACAATGTTCGCGAGATTGTCGACATGATGGCGGTTGAGCGACAATTGACCTCAGCAGGATGATTGTTGATAGCTCGTCGATGATGTGAGGTTAGAAGATTCCCGCGGATCAACCTCGGCAGATTGGGTTCGTGACGGCATGGGTACGTACCTCGAAGCTCAACCAGAAATTCTAGAGATCTACGATACAAGCACTTTTAATAGCAGGTTTAATAAAGCTTAAGCGATTCGAGATGCTCACTCGGAGCTGTGCACGATGCACTACAAGGCTGCGTGCCGCAAGTTTCAAGCCTAGAGTTCCCAGCGCACGAGTCCAGACCAGACAGTATACGATGCCAGCTGGAAACACTCAGGGTTCTGTGAATAATGCGGGAGCTTTGGCCCCTTTCGTGACTGAATTGGATCGATTGGCACCGAGTTTCGATGTTCGAGGAGAGCAGATTCAGATCATTCGTACTCCAGCCGAGTTTTACGAGACGCTCAAGGTTGGATTACCACTGACACGAAACGACAGCGCTGATTGGTCTAGGATCGGATACGAAAAGCACAGCGACGGATCTTCTTGTCGACGCTGTACATTGGAAAGTCGGAAAAGGAACTCATTGAAACGCTGCAGGAGGCGTTGAGGAAGAACCCGAATGTGAAATTGAGTATTCTCACAGATGCGCTGCGAGGAACGAGAGAGGCGCCTAATCCATCGAGTGCATCGTTACTTGCACCCCTGGTCGAGGAGTTTGGAGCAGACCGTGTGGAAATCCGAATGTATCACACGCCGAATCTCACTGGACTGAGGAAGCAGTATATCCCCAAGAGGATAAATGAGGGTTGGGGACTTCAACATATGAAGCTTTATGGTGTTGATGATGAGATCATCATGTCTGGGTATGTCAAAAGATTTAGGTCGAAGAAATACTGACTTTTCAGGGCAAATCTGTCGACTGACTACTTTACCAACCGTCAAGATCGATACCATCTTTTTGCCTCAAAGGAGGTGACTGATCACTTTTGGAAGATCCATTCAGGGGTTACATCCTTTAGCTTCTTGGTTCAACCTTCAACAGGGCCAGGGGGGTTCACACTCTCATGGCCAGAGAACAACTCTGCCCCCTCACCACTAGAGAAGCCCCAGTCTTTCATCAAGAGCACCACCTCGACGCTCCAGACTCTGTTGCATCCGACAGCTAAGCCTGAGAATGAGATTACTGATACACGAGTTTACATGCTTGGGCAAATGTCCCAGGTCATGAAACCTGACTCCTCAACTGAACTCCCTGTCATTACACATATCCTCAAGACTCTTGCTTTGCCCGAGTATCGCGAGTCTTCATGGACCTTTACAGCAGGCTACTTTAACCCCGCTCCCTCTCTGACCAAACTCCTCCTCAATACTGCGTCCACCTCAAACACCGTCATCACAGCTTCTCCTGAGGCAAACGGTTTCTACAAGTCGAAAGGTGTCTCGGGTCTCCTCCCTGATGCCTACACTCTCCTAGCCCGTCGTTTCGTTCATCGCGTTCATCACCAAGGCCGAGATGACGACATCACATTGAAGGAATGGCGTTATGGCGTCGTTGGTCAGCCTGGTGGATGGACATATCACGCCAAGGGTCTCTGGGTGACAATGCCAGGTGACAAGAACCCCGCTATGAGTATTATTGGAAGTTCCAACTATACTAAACGAAGCTACTCTCATGATCTCGAAGCTGGTGCTTTGATCGTGACCCGCGACGAAGGGCTGAAGGGAAGACTTGGAGAGGAGCAGCTGTGGCTGCAGGAACATGCTACCAAGGCAACGCGAGATGACTTTGCTCGCACTGAACGAAGAGTTGGACTCAAAGTCAGAGTTGCCATGTGGATTGTTTCGCTTGTCGGCGGAGCATTGTAATACTGCCATGTATAATAGTGTACTCTAGATGACCAATCTAACGATACCCGCAACGATATAACCTGATAATTAGCCCTTTAAGAGAATGCCACTGATGAATGCATGCGATTGTATACAAAATAATACAGGTACTTTACACGCTCATGCTCTAATCACTGGTGTCCCTAACTTGGGCCCTCCCTTGACTAGGCCTTGCATAACAACTCTGCTCACCAAGTCGCTCTGATGCTTCTTGATCATCTCCTTGAGCACGCTTCGCTCCAAAACCACCTTGCCTGTCTCCAATAGATCCTTGACATCAACATCTTGCAAGTCTAGTGCTCGACCCTCCCAAGGAAGCTGCTCCATGGCGCCGAAAAGAGCTTCACGTCGATTTCCAGTGACGAAAAGAGTTCGACCGCTAGCACGGCCCAGACCAAGGTTACCCAGCAGTCCAGTCATGTATCGCTTGAGATACGCCTCTTTCAATCCATCCTTGAGATACTTTCCAGCAACGAGCTCGTAATCAGTAGGCAACACAAGATCCATACCGTCCTCACACACAATCAGATCGCCTTTCCGGTAACGGTAGCTCAGAGCTGTGCGCCATGCCTTGTCGTACACCTTTCGGGTAAGGCTGGTGCCAAAGTCGCGGGGGTGAGGACCAAACGTCTTTCCACCACCGCGGTTCACGGGACTTTGCTTGGTTCCCATACGAGCTCGGCCAGTTCCCTTTTGAGGACGCATCTTTCGGTGGGAGCCGTGGACATCGTAACGGGTTTTGGAGGAGGCGGTTCCTTGGCGGGTGTTGTCACCTTCGTAGACGACGGCGAGGTGGAGGAGATCGCGGCGGAGAGGAAGATAGAGATGGTTGACGTCCCATCGTTCGAGAGAAGTCGGTTCCAACGAGGGAAAGGCGTGGACTGTGACGGGAACGGTTGTGACTGCGGTGGTCAGTGGTGTTAATGACAATTGACGGGTGTCGTACTAGGCTTCCATGATTCGAGAATGGATTGGGTGGTGTTCGGAGATTTAGTCTCTGCCGTGTTCTTTGGAGAGACTTCTGTAGCCATTGACCTTGTGAAGGCCTTGTTGAGTGTCGCCGGCTTTATCTGTTAGCATTGAAGTGATTTGCAGTCTCTTCACATACCTTGGCAGACACCCGCAGGGCACCCATAGCCTCAGCCAGACACCCAATTCCCTTGCCAGCCATGATTTCAATTCCCTAACCGCCGTCGATAGGGGGATTTGCTGTGATTGGGGACAGTAGTTCGCTGTCTGGTGTTGAGGCTTCAAAACTGTGATGCGATACTGCAAAAAAGTGGATCGGCAACATCCTCCGATCCCCCGAGTTTTTAGTGGGGCCAGAATCATCCCCAGAGCATTTTTCAATAGGTATCTCGAGATATCACCAGCGTCACTTTCAACGTCCCACGTCTACGGCCTCTACGCTCCGCTGCCCATCATGTCGCGCTGCCAGGTCGTTTTGCGGCCAATCGCTCGGCAGTTGCGGCCCAGCGCCGTCCGACCGTTCACCTCTGCCGCAATTCGACGATCCGCCGAGACACAGACTGCCACGCCCAGCGCAGCAGACCTCGATCCCAATACGGTGCTCCCCGAGTTTGAGCAGCAGCTCATGAAGGCTGGCAAGATGCCAATTGGTTCCCGACGACGAAGAATGGCTATCCGGAGCACGGGCGATCTGCCGTTTGAGCATCTCCCGTACCAGGCTTTTCAAGAGGCTCGCAAGATTCTGGCTGTGGATCGTGAGGAGAAGCTGGCAGAGATTAGCAAAGAGCTTGAGAAGATTTCAAGGTTGGAAGCTACGAGTCCAGACGAAATAAAGGGGGGCCAGAAGATGAAGGATATTAAAATCAAGAGTCTGCACAAATATGTCGAGAGGCTCAAGATCCTTGCAGATGCTAATGACCCCATTGTCAAGAAGCGTTTTGAAGATGGAACAGGTAGGCCATCCCAATTGACCGTCTGGGTCTGACTAACGCACCCAGGCGACATGAACAAGCCTATTTACCGTCACTACGCCGAGGCCAAGTGGCGCTCCTACGACCAACGTCTCATCACCCAACGTATCAAGCAGTTCAACATCGTCCCCGACGTTCTCCCCAAGCTCGAACCTACCGCCGATGTCCAGCTATACTTCCGCAAGCTCAAGATTCCTCCCGGACAGATCGTCGACAGTGTGGTCAGCGAGAATGCCCCCCGTCTTCGAGTTCAAGTCTTTGACAAGGGCGAGCGACTCGTCTCTGTAGTCGTCCTCGACTCTGATGTCCCCAACCCTGACTCCGATACCTTCAACAAGCGCTGCCACTTCCTCGCCGCCAACATCCCCATCAGCCCTACAGAGACATCACTACCTCTGAGCAGGATAAAGGGCGAGGATCAGCTTGCTCTACCGTGGCTCCCTGCATTCTCCCAAAAGGGCGCCCCATACCACCGTCTCGGTATCTATCTCCTCGAGCAGCAACCCGGCAAGAAGATCGACGTTGCCAAGCTCAAGGAACTATACAGCCAGCGCGATGGATTCTCGCTCAAGTCCTTCCGCGACAAGTTCAGCACAACGCCGTTTGGGTTCAACATGTTCCGTAGCGTCTGGGACGAAAATACCGCGGCAGTCATGGCGCGACACAACATCCCAGGCTCAGATATCGAGTTCAGGCCTACGCGTGTGTACAGCCTCAAGCCTCCTGTCAAGCCTCGTGGATGGGAAGCCAAGCGACAGGGACCCAAGTACCGTCACCTTTGGAAGTACACCAAGAATATCAGAGGTATCTCCAACTCGAGGGGGTGGACCAAGAGGAGGTAGAGAGATGGATGAGCGTGTATCATATTACTGTACATTTAGAAAATGGGAGAGTACCAGAGAAGTAAATTACGTGCAACTCAATTGTGTTCAATGATGAACATTATCGTTTTTCCCGTGATTGACTTGAGCCGCATTATTTCCTACCAGTAGCCGCCATCTTGTTTCAACGTATCGCCACCAATCATAAGCCTCAACTGTAGTAGAACGTTCCCCCGGTGGCAACATCGCCACGATCTCAACGACATCCAGAAATGGCTCTGATTGGTATGAAATACGGAGTCGTGATGATCAACTTCTGCATATGTTCAAGCTCAGGGTCGTCAAGGGCTCAATCTGTGGCAAAGCTTGATATTGCCACTAAACTTTACCTTTGATAACCCCGAAACCCCAACCTTTGTGCTTTGACACGATCTCGTGTCCTTGATGAGTCCAGATGTTTCCGTCTCGGCAAGTCCCTGGCATCTTGCGATGGCCAGTGATCACTTCGATCGCAAGTCTCCTTGTCATAAGCTGTTACATGCGGTTTTCTCAGCAGGTTTGTCATCAACAGCTATCGTTTCCTTCTTCAGGTTTGAATATTTTCTCTTGTGCTACCTTGCCTGCCTCCCTCTTCATGGTATTCATTATCTCCCACCCTGAAAGCATCCAAACCCTCCTGTAATAGTAACAGGAAGCCTCTCCTATAGGCCCTTTCCATGGGCTACCAAACTACCGGCCAAGGGCCAAGAATCAAACCGGTTGCCACGAGAGCTTATACTCGTCGGCACAGATTAGCAATCGTACATCCCATATGCACAAACCAGATCATGATCGTGAAAGCATCAAGTCATAAAATATTTCCTTGCCTGTACCCCTTTTGCCAAACTCCTTTCAGTAGTTATACGTCATATCACCTCTTCCTGTTATGGGACGGCCAATCGTGGTAGTGTTGCCGTACCATAACCAGGTTTCATAAGGGTATCTTCCCGCTGAACCATCTCACCCGTATTTTTTTCTTTTTCGTCGTCGTGTTTTTCGCAACTTTGAGGACTTTTATCTAGCTTTGACCCAAGCTTCGGCATGTCGATATCGTCCGTTGTCGAGTTGAAGGAATTTCAAAGTCGCAATAGCAAGGCTGTTGGGTTCATGTGGAGTTGAGGTCTAGCCTGACTTCTAAACTCAAACCACCATCTCCGTCGGTGCAGCTGTCCACCACATCAATTCACACTCAGTTTTTCGCATCAACAAGGCCGTCCGGTGTGTGGTCGTAGAGGATTTCTGATTCTATCGATCGCCGTATAGAGGTGGCGACTATATGGAGGTCAGTCATGACTCATGGGTTGTATGCTTGAACAAGGTTCGGCATACCACTTGAGCTACGACGATGCGTATTGCGAATTTCTCCAGGTGCATTTTGTGGCGGTGCTAGAGGAGCCTGTATGCTCTGTGCAGACTGCGCTGCAATACGCTGAACATATTTCCTTGCCTCGTTGTCAAGCCATTGGTTGATGTTGGCATCGTTGCAAGATGCGTGCTCCATGAGTTGATTCTTGATGGTGGTCAACTCTTCCATGAGGCCACTGTGCTGGTCTTGTAGGGCATTGTACTCAGTCTCCAAATCCTGCTTGGTTTCTTCCAATTCTCTCATCCACTCCTTCTTCTTTTGACGACATTTGGACGCCGCGATCCTGTTACGTTTAAGGAACTTGCTGCGTTTCTGCGTCTCATCCAGTCCATCATTCTCATCCTCATCTTCCTCCTTCAGTGATTGCTCCTTGGGTGCCCTTTTTTGGCGCGACTTGGCGGCAGGTTCCACTGAAGACTGTTGACGATGTGTCTTGGTAGTTCTGCTGCTGCGTCGAGGCTTGGTGTCGGTTTTGGCTGAATCTACTGAAGGGATAGACGATTTGCTCGATTGCCGTGTTGGGCCGCCAGACCTGGGCTCACTGAATGGAGTTTCTGGGGTTGAATGCATTTCGTTGGGCACTGTTGGACTGTTGTTCAAAGCCGATGGTGCCATTGCTGGCAGGGAGGGAGGGAAGAAGTTGACGGGGTTGTTCATTGGGTTCCACATGTTGGAGCTCATGAGAAGCTGGTTGTCAATGGGATTGCTAACAATCGGGGACGTCTGAGCTCCCGCTGTGCAGTCGAGTAATGGATCTATATTGGCATCGTCGTTTGTCAGGGGAAAGTTGCCTTGAAAGTTCTGGGCTTGGCCGCCAAAGTCCTCGCTTGGTCCGTCCATCTTGACCCTGCAAGACCGTTGAGACTGTGCTGAAGCGTGGGACCTGGGGTTACAGCGGCACTAGGCTGGTGTGGCTGAGCAGATTGTGACTGGCTGTCAGAGTATAGCGCCAAACTGTTGAGCCGCTCGAGACAAAGTCGAGATCAAGGAGCTCGCTCGATGGGAATTGAGCGTGCAGCTCTGGAGATCGGGAGACCTGGAGCGGGCACAGGGAGGGGGTGCTTAGCCGGATTGGTTGAGATGGGGGTGAAGATGTTCCAGAACCTCAAAGACCAAAGGTGGCTAGGAAAGGAAACGGTTCAAGGGAAGATGGAAGAAGAACTTATATCCAGGAACACGACGTCGAAGGGAATGGGCAGTGAAGAGATGGTGGTGCCGGAGTAAAGATTTAGCTGCTCTCTGCTGTTGGCAGAGCGAATGGGAAAATAAGGCAGGCGCTCAACGGAGAAACCAATCCGGTGGTGCAATGTAGTGCAGCACAGCTCAGTGCCTGAGAACTCCAGTGCAGCCGGCTGACCTCACCGAGAAATGGCAGTTAACCACCGATCGATAATAGAATAAGTCGATTCCGAGGCTCAATTCCCAAGTAGAAGCCAAATGGCACGGCCGGGTACAGCTTTTCGGTAAGTAGCAGGGGAGGTAAAGTCTGGACGCTGGGGCGAATTGCCTCGTCTGTTCCTATTCTCTGGTTCCGGGGTTGTTGATCCAATAGTGTGTTTCGGGTTCGCCTATGCAGCTATGAGATCTAGACGCCGGGGCGACTTGACTATTTGGGTAAAGTCAAACAGGAGGCAAACAACTAAAAATAAGGTCGAGATGCCGAGGTTGACAAGTTGTCAGAAATATTGATGATTGTAAGATGGGAAAGTCAGAAGTTGTATCACAGGACAGCTGCCAGATGAAGGGATTGGGACACTATAGACTCTATAGTACGCCAACAACGGGTGCGACCACTATCAACAATCTCTTGCGTCACTTATTCCCCGGTGTAGTGTTTATCAGTGGACCTGGTTGCAGTTTATGGTAAGATGTAGCTGGTTTTGTATATCCAGTAACTGGGGTTGGGAGTATATATAAGAAGATTGGTGGGTGAGGTGTGCAATGTTTGACAACGTTATGTCCGGACCAAGTCCGTTGGCTTCAATTCCGCAATACAAAGCGAGTCTTTGGTCAACCGGTGTGTGCAAGGGTATGAATTCTTACTGGACAATGTACAGGCAGTACTGAAGACCGTAATACAAGAATCGTTGAGGTTATAACTTATCCGGAATGTCTTCCTGACCCGCCATCCTCTGCTTTGTACGAATCATAACCATTGGAAGCAGTATCAGCTGTGGCATAGGTGAGGGAAAAGTTCCTTAAGCCATGAAAAACGTCATCCCGTTCGGAACCTTGAGCCAAAGGCGGTAGGATGCCTAGCAAGTGCCAAGCGGTAGAGGAGCTTGGACTCTAAATCCTCCAGTACCCCAATCACAAACGGCGAAGCAATGGTACTTTAATATTCAAGTGGCTCCTTGGCGGAGATACTATCTTCAATTCTGGGATGGGTGGTGTAGCCAATCATGGCGCAGCGGACCTGGAGTCCGTGATTCTCAACCACCAATCAATGTTGATGAACCTTGTCCGTCAAAGCCGCACTCGGCGAGACAGTGCAAGACGGACGGTACACATGGACCTCAGTAGCGAAGCGAAGCGAGCGAGACTATTGCAGCATCCACCTATCAATCAAGCTTCAATATCATAGGGATGGTCATTATCAAGTCGAGGGCTTGATCCTTCGACAGCTCAAGCACTCGTTGGACCGGTATCTGAAGATCATGACGAACCTCGTTCAAGTCTTTTGGTTATGAGTTGATTCCTGCAAGAAAGTGACATCATTTCTGATGCACACAGGGTCCTTCCAGTGACGGTTAGTCAAGCCGGCAATCCATCGCATCCAAGACTCATGGTTGTGACAAGAGATATCTTGAACTGATCGACAAACGTGATCAGGATTTTGGCACCCACACAGAGTAAGGATCGACCTCGGATGCGTGGCCTTTGCTGCAAGCTGATAAATTTTGACACACGGGGAATGCCGTATAACTCAGTACCTGCAGGGGTCATGAACTCCTGGATACGTGATGGAGTTATTTGTCTTTCTCCGGCTTTATCACAGCGTGTCTGCCGTGGCATTGAGCCGAACACCAAGACACAGTTTGGGAGAACCGATGAACTGTGTATCCTCTACTGCTAATTTTCTAATTCTCCTCTGGTGAATGGCGGCTCAGTTCATCATTTCCGGAGCTTTTACTCCGACATGTGCTGGGGCAGGCTTTGACAGATCCGAGAAGCGGGGTTGTCTTGGGTGAGTAATAAAGTTATGCGTTGCCCAAGGCACGCCAAGGGTAATGTGTTCCGCACTGTAGGACATTCTTGGCTTGACTAGCGGGTTTATCGTGGGAATGAGACTTGTTGAACCTGGTTGAGCGGAGGAATCGGGCAAGGTTCCGGATGGGCTTCTACAACCAGTGGGGCCCTCGATATCAATTTTGAGGACGAAGGAATTGACTTTTCGAAGGCTTACGAGATGAGGAGCATGTTTCGTCGATGGATTCAGATGATGGGAGGTAAAAGCATTCATAAGGATGTCTGTGATAGCAGGAATATAGGTCATCACGTGGTTTCTATTCACGTGACTTCGCGTCAAGCTCAACGCGCTTCCCCTCCATTTATCGCAACAGCTTCACAGCTTCACAGCTTCACATGCGTTTCATTGCACACCTCTCTCACCAACATCGCTTGCTTTCCTGTCGACCAAGCATCTGAGACACAACCCCTGTCTGCTCGCGAATCTTTCTCATCTTCTTATCTCTCTATCTTGATCGCAAAGGAAAACCAAACACCATGTCTGAGCAACTTTCAACCCCGCGCATCACTGCTGCCTATCTTGACAACTTTGTTGGCAAGGTTGTCATGCTCGTGGGAAAGGTTACGCAGCTCAGGGGTGAACAGGCTACTCTTGACTCGGAGGGCACTGTCACCGTCTTGTTGAACAGGGTGAGTTGACTTCAAATCTGGTGTCAGTCGCACGACATCAGAATGCACTGCAACACTGAGCTGACCTTTTCAGGATGCCCATCTCACAAATGGCAACGCTGTGCAGGTCATTGGAAAAGTCAATCCCGACCTGTCGATCAAGGTTTTGACATCCCGGGATTTGGGGACTGGTGTGGGTAAGTCAACAAGCTCGTCTTTCTGTCGTCATTATGGCGTACCGACGTTACAACAACGCAAAATGCAAATTTGTTCTCCAATGTGTTCGGCAGTTGAAAAGCATGATTCAGTCACTATGCCGTTTCCGGATGACAACTAACATGTGTAGATTTCGGCTTGTACAGCTCGGTTGTGCAGGCGACACACAAGCATCCGTCCATCTTTGCAGGCAATTGACGGGGTCAACCAGATCATGGCCCTTACCAGTCCTCGCATGCATACACCCCACGTGTGGCCATGGTCTGGACCTCGCCTACCAAGGCTGGCGCTGTCACTTCTCCCCATCCACAACGACAAGCTTATCCCGCCGGCCAAGATGGAAAATCAATCGCAACCCCTGATTCAGCCTCGACTGGAACTATCAGATCTTCGAGACCCTTACACAGTGCTGCACAGAGACTGCAGCGTTATACGCATTCGATACATGGCCAGACGAGACCTACCACCGCAATGTCTTTCACAACATCTAGTTCTGATATGATTCTTGGCCGGGACATTCAGTCAAGATCCTCTACCCCGCTCTACCCATCTGGGCCTTCTCACATCTCACAGACTCCAAATCCTTCTCTAGGTGCACTCCTACCATCGCCACCAGAAGATACAGTCTCTCGCACTTATTCCCTGGAAATGTCTCGGCGTTCTTCCGTCAGTACACAACCCAACCAACGATATTCAAAGTCGCAGACCTATGACGAAGAGAGCACCCAAGAATCCTACATACCATCAGCTCAGCCTTATACGCCCCTCGCTTATTCTCCGCCGTCAATGTCTTCCGCGAGTCTGCTCCCGTCTCCGCCAATGACACAAGAAGATCAATACCTCTCACACGGATCTCTCATGTCCCCCGCATTTTCAACGTCCTCCCGCCGCTACTCGGGGGCAGACAGCCGTCCCGCTGGCGTCACCGACAGAAAGTCTAAACCAGAGGACCCTGAAGATTCTGCCTTATTCGATTCCGTTCTAGACGGAATTGGCCGTATTCATGTGTCGATGAACCGAGATGACGCAGGTAGATGGCGAATCAAGCGAGCCTCTGACGAGAGACCATAGCATGTTTTGTCAGTCATCCGCAGCCGCATTCGCAAAAGTATGCAAGCATCCTCGCTCGTATCATCCCATTGATGTCAGATAGAATGCCAGGGACTAGTCACAAATGGAGCTAAATGCGGGATCGACATGGCCCAATCAGCTGTCCAATGATCTCGGCACATGATAATCGAAATCCCGTATTTAGCACAGTGTCTGTTAAAAATGCATACAAGAGAGATCGAGATTTCAAAATCCCATTTACCTGATCCGCAATGGCACAGGACTTTTAAGTCCCTCAAATGATTGACTTTTCGGGCCAAAAGCTCCTGTGAAACAGGTTTTTGTCATCACAGATGTGCCTCATGCAGCATGACATTCACAATCGAAAATTTACCCAATCCAGTTCTTTGGACAAGTCCGTGATATTCTGATACAAACACCCTTGCCACAAATTCTAATATGATACATTCAAAAAGGTACAGTCAAGTTTGCCACCAGGGTTCTTTCAGATCGAGATCCTTGCACAGCCTGCCAAGCGGGCGGACCCCAATGTTCCTGGACGCACGTCTATTTGCCACACCGTCGCCGTCTTGTTCTAGAACTCAATTATTCATCCTCTCTTTGCCCCTGTGCCTCATCGAGCTGTAGCAACTCCTGTGCCGCCATCCAGACCTCGACTGTACTCGGGCTGATATCCCGCTTTGGTCTTTCTGGGCCGGTCTCCTGGATTTCGTCGAGTCCAAAGGATGGTTTGTCTGGAGGACCATCGGTCAAGCCATGGAGACAACGGCGTATCCGAGCTTTGACGACACCCGCATCTTCTGTTCTCCCTGAACTGTCACTCTCGTAACCCATTGCCTTCTCCAAGAATGTGTTTTCTTTTTGCCCACTCACACCCTCTTCCAAATACTTTGCTGTGAGGTCTGTGTCGACATCTCTCGGGTCGACTCCTGCAGCCTCTCGTATCCCTTTGAGCCGAGCTGTGAATCGTTCAAACACTTTGATTCTTCGTTCTGCACTCTCTGCCCTTTCCCTCCACGTTTGTGCCTCCCTTTTGGCTTCTCGTAGTTGCTGACTCAATGTTCCAATATCTGCATCTCCTTGCACCTCGAGCTGCCTTCTCAAATGAACTGCTTCTTCTGTCTTGAGGTCTAGTTGTCGTTGGAGACTTCGAATCTGTGCATGAAGTGTAGTTGTACTGCCGGGACGTTGAAAAGGAGTTGAAATATTTTGAGGAACTGACGGATCCGCCCCGTACTGCGTATTTGATGCTGATGATGCTGGTCTAATAAGGTTGAGGTGTTGAGCGATAGGAGGCTGTTCAGGATAAGGCATCATGGTTCCTAGACTTCGTGGGTTCTCTAATGATGCCTCTTTACCCCTGGAACCTGGGACTGGTTTCCTCCTAGGGATCGTCTGTCGTTGAGCTAACATTTCCGGTTGCTCATGGGAGCTAGACTTTTGCCCCTTATCGACTTGTTGAAGCTCGACTGCCCTCATTGCAGCCTCCTCTCTAATTGAGACTCGCAAATTCTGGTCAAGAGCCTCATCTATAACAGTGTTTATTGCTGACGGTCGGGGTCGCCGGTCCTGGCTTGAAATTGAAACATTCCGTGGGTGTCCCAAAGTTGAAACAGATCTTGTCGAACGGATACTCTTCGTCGGCGACTCTTGAGAAAATTGTAATATGAGATCTTGAGTTTTGCTCGCACTCCTGGGTTTTGTTGGAGATGTCTCGGCTGAATGGTCGGTTTCAAACTTGGCAGCCATGGCTCTGACGCCTCCTGGATTGTCTGTTGGTATCAAGGGTGGGCGTGTCGGAGCCATAGATTTTCTTTTTGGGACAGAGTACCAGGGAGAGGATGTAGTGCGCTGCTTCTCAGTCTTTGGCGTTTCGGTGGGCAAAGACACAACTCGAGAGTGTCGTCGTTCCGGAGTTTCAGTGCCAATGCCCTTGGCTTGCTCTTGTGTGTCATCGTATTCAAGACTCTGTGATCCATTGCTAGGCAACTCCCCCTGTGCGCCAGAAGAGACTTTCTATGTCCCGAACTGGCTATTTGGGGAGGCCAGCCCCATGGAACTGCTGCCTCCTGCAATGCTTGCGGGCACCTGCATTGGTGAATAAAATTGCCTTGGTGTTGTTGAAGCAGAGTTAGCTTCTTGTAAAGCCTGTGTTCGTGTTTTGTCCCTGTAAACAGTGTACTCGCTGCCCTCTTCTGGTCTGTCGATTGAGCGCAAACCCTTGGGAGTATTGGCAAGAGTCGACATCTGCGAGTTCTGATCAACATTTGTAGAGGCCGAACTCTTGCGTTGATCCATCGAATCCAATTCTCTGAGTTCCTGGAAATGCGCTTTTAGTGCAGCTTCAAGGGCCTCTTTCTCGGATGAAAACTCTAGATTGGTTGGACCTGGCCTATCCATAGAGGTGTCTGATGGCCTGGCAGGTTTTGTCCATTCAACAGCAATCGACTGTCGACGTGGCTTCAGGGCTGTTGCCTTTCCAGGATATTTCTTTCTAATGGCGCCCTTCCGTTCAATTGAAGGGGTCTCCGTTGCTGAGACTCTGGAAGTGTCCTGGCTTGTAGGTTCCTCGGCACTGGTTTGTTGGATAGGGGTTGTCTTTGTTCCTCTTTTTGAGGACGTCCGAGGTGGCACATCATCTTGAGACAGATGAGAACCATCTCGATTGATCAGTCCTCTGGTCCTTGTAGCCGGGGTTGGTGTTGGAGCGACGTGGGCACTCTCGCTTTGCGGCGTGTCCTTCGTCGCATCATTGCGGTCTTCCAAATGAGCTGCACTCATCGGTATCTGCAAATTCTGCGGCGTTTGGACATAGCTACTACCTTCCCCTACTGGTGCTGATCGTTGACTCTTATCCTCGTCGTGCGCACTTTCTTCCACAGTTGGGCTTAAGCAACCAATGTTGGGTCTGGCCGCAAGTCTCTTTGAGGCTGAGCTCCCACGACTGCGCGACCGCTGTTTGGATATGCCCAGGGTAGGTGTAGGCGGTTCTGGGCTGTCTTCTCGTGGAATCTGATCTCCCGCCTCGCTTCCTCGCCATTCCCGATCCCAACCTTGTGGTGTCCTGATAACAAAACCATTATCGTTGGTATCGTCTTGAGGACTCGTTGATCGTGGGTGCGGTCGATTCATGCCAAGCGATTTCATTTGTCGGACCACGTCTCTCCAATTGACTATAAGCATTTCTGCGATGGTATTGGCGATAAGTATCTTGTCCATTGTTGGAGGCGCTCCATGCTCGTTGCCGAGTGTCTTTCTTCCATTCCGATCTTGTCGTGATCTTGGAGATCTCAATGGGAGCACCAGCAACCCTGCCTTTGGGGCGGCCAGCTTCATAGAATAGAGTCCAAGCAAGTCGCCTATGAGAAGAGGTCCAAAGACGATGCCTAGTGCATTGTACCCCATGAGGTCTCCCGTAGGTAGTGATCGACCTTCTTCATCTTCTCTGGGCGTGATTTCTGCCACTCTTCCAATCAGACTCAAAAGCCCAAAGACGGCGCATATGAGCTCCCTCCGAAATTGAGATTGAACCGTTGCGATAGCCAAGGCGATGAGCCGGGCTCGCACCTTGGTCTGTTTGGTGCGAGGGAACTCTGGATCACCCTGTAGCTGCGAATGGATTGCGACCAGAGCGTCAAAGAGTGCCAAAGAACCAAGTATCCCACCGGGTATTACCGAGAGGAGGCGCTTGAAAGTTGACGCCACATCATGGACAGAAGCCTGCACATGCATCGGCAAGTTTGCGCATCGCACAGTGTTTGTGATGTCGATATTGTCGGTACAGCAGTAGTAATCGAACAGCATGTTGACTACTCTGATCGACCCCGGTATACGAAAGATCCCTCGAGTAGTGACATGCTGGGCGATGTGATGCGCAGTAGCTCGAATGCAAGTTGGGAGTACTAGGGCAGAGGGAGTGTGTTCAGGTGGGAGGTAGAGCATGCTCTTGCCACATATTCTGACCATCGACTGCAGATCGAGTATCTTGGGGTCTCGACGATGTATCAAGTTGTGGGCGAGATCGGAGACACTGCGTTTGTGGCGAGGTCCTTGTCGAGCTGGTTGTGTATCTGCTGTAGGATGATTGGAAGAGGACCGTAGGATCCGATAAAGCCATCCTTGCTTGCGAGGACTAGCGAGTCCATTTCCCTGGGCTGTTAGTGATTGTTCAGATGCACCATCGACAACCTACAGTATGCCTCAAGTCAAAATCGTCGATCACCAATATTCGCACTCCATTCTAAATCGTCAGCTTGGTCTCTACTTCTTCAAGGCCCTCACCTTTTTTGCTATACGGTTGTATTCCTGAACAAAGGCAGCTCGATCGCCCAATTCGTCGGTATCGCTTAGGATGTTGTGATCGCCACTACTCGTCCATGTTCTGCTGGTATGCACAGGCCCTTGGTCTGTTATATGCCGTATCGTAGCCTGAAGAGATAAGCTACTTCTGGACGGTAATAGTCGATGAGGACCAGTCTCTGGCGCAGAGTAATGGCCCAGAGGTGCTGGGTGATAATGCTGATCCATCGGCAAAAGCCTTTCGGTAAGCAGATGCGATTAATGCTGGGATTCCGTCATTTGTCGGATAAGATATCGTATCAAAAGGCAGTCAAAAGTTGAATGTGATGGTGTTTGATCAAAATTCTCACGTGTCACAACAGATTCGTGGATGTCGAAACAGTGGAAACTTCATTGCGAAAGGACGGAAAGATCTGGCCACGATCAAGCCAAAATGGAAGGAGCGTAGACAAAGTGAAGGGGCAAGTTTTCGGTGATGCCAGTGATTGCAAGTGGCAAGCAGATGAAGAGCAGGGCAAAACAAGTGGCACAAAGACAAACAAGTACAAAGTGTTTGTGCACAGAAACTGGATATGAATAGCATCAAAAGGTAACCCAAGTGGGAAATGGATGATAAATACTAAAATGGGATAGACAACACCAATGTCGTCAGAGTGCAGCATCAAGTTTGGGCGTCATCCGCGTGTCGTATCGAATGAGACCTGACCAATCCCACCCAAAGATTCACAGCCACTCGGTTCCCGAAGCCGAAAAGCTTCTCTTGCTGTACTGTAACACCGACACTGCCAAAGTCATCATCCTGAGACAGCTGTACTGTATCATGCATGCAGGCCCGTCAACGGTCTATAGCGAAAGATTGTATGCACATGATAACCTTCCGTCTTCTCCTTGCGCCTGTTCTATGCCTGCCTCCATCCGGCGCCTCTGAGAGCTCCCTTGTTCATAGCGGCATGCAATCATTATAACCTCATCAATACTCAAGCCCAGTTGCTTGTATCCTCCACTCCGTAGAGCAGCACATATTTGAGAATGTCGGAAAGCGAAATGATGCCCTTGAGCTTGTTATCATCGTCCACTACTATCAGGCGATGAACCCTGCTCTTTCGGACAGTATCAAAAATGGAGTCCAGGCGATCGCCTTCACTGCATGTGTAAATACCAGGGCTCTCGTCGGATCTCTTGCAGAGCGCTTCCCCGACAGAGCCATCCAAGTCATCGTAGGCACCGTTTTTGATGCAGGGGATGACATCAACCGCTTCAAAAACATTTAGAACTCGTCCGTGAGAATCGATAATCGGGACACAGCTGATGTTATGTTCGACCATCAGGTGAACAACTTCAAGCACGGAACTGCCCATCGAGGCTGTGGCGATGCCTGAATATGTACCGAGGCCAATGTCGCGAACCGTTTTCTTCAAGAGGACGGTGTTGTGTTCGTTGTTTACGGCGATAAACTTGAGGATACGATACTGGGTGATGACTGAAACAACCATTTCCTTGTTGGTCTCGCTATCGACATCGACCAAGGGGATTCGCCTGGCGCGGGTCTTGAGCATGCGTCTACAGGCTTCGTAAAGTGGCTTTGAAGGATGAACCGATACAGTTTCGATGGGTATTGCGCCGATAGCTTTCTCGATGTCTGGTATAGTCAGCGATGTCATTTTGCCGGGGGAGAAGCTACAACCTCTTAGACTACTCAATCGGAACTGATCGAGTTTGCTGAACTCGTCAGGGAACTGCCAATAGTATTGAATCACATTGATAAAGTCGGTGCTCGTAAGGATACCGGCGAATCGTGAGGTTTTAGAGTTCCATAGAGGTGCCGACACGATTGCTGTGGCAAGGTTAGCATTAGAATCTGCATGTGTCGGGTGACGCACAGTTCTGCGTCAAGATGCTGATGGCTTTCTTGATGCGGAGATCGGTATCGAGGACGATGAGACGGAATGACAGAGGCAAAACATCGTAGCTGGTGCGAACTTTGAGGAAATCGCGTATGGCATTCTGTCGGGATCAGCTTCTCTCATCATCGGGCTTTGATGCGCGCGTGCCCCACGTCAAGTTGTACGGGCAAACGGATGCGACAGACAATGCAAGACAGATAAACATACCAGACCCTGTAGCTGATCTCTGTCCAGAGGACTTAGAGGCTTTGGTTCGGCGGGCGCCATTGGGCTTCGGAGTGAAGTCCTGCGTCGGAGGTAGGATGACGGAGCGACAAATTGAGGGAGATGACCATGACCGGCGGCTGTAGTGGAGGGGCCAGTGGAGGTTGATGCAGCCCGCCCGCGTGGAGTTATCAAGGCCGGTCCAGGTCCAGATCCAGGTCCGGATCCAGAAACAGCTCCAACTCCTCCAAATGAGGCTTCGGCTGACTCTTGTACTTGTCCCGGGGTGTCTGTGCCTGGAGCTGAAGTTGTGGTCGAAGCGTTTAAAGCTGTCGTACCAGTCACGCCAGGCACTGTACTGGGGGTATTTTCAGCGCGGGGCAGCTCTCCAACAGCATCGCCAACTTGTTCAACTGTTGGAAGTTCGGTTAGAGGTTGTGGTTGAGTTTCGCTTTGGGCTTCGATCCATGATTTGACGTTTTCTTTTGTTGGGTCTTCAATTTGAGCTTCTGTCACTTCAAGTTGACCTTGGGTTCCTTGAGGTCGGCTTGGCAGATTGATATCTGCTGGTGTTTTTGCTTCTGGATCCCCTCGGGCGGGTTCAAGTTCCGGGTTTCCCTCCATTCCAGGTAAAATCACTGTTGCACAATACGATTCGAATTGTTAGGCGGGATTTGATGGTTCGAGTCGAGGATCGAAAGTGAGGTTGTCAAGTCCTGATAAATATTGACGTATAGCGCATCACTGAGAAAATCACAGGTATGTCAAACGAAAAGAAAAGAAACAGCTTCAGCCTAGAGTCAATAAAAATGATCCGACGGCGTTGAGGACAATTCCATATCATTAAAGGCGCAGATTAATTTGCAAGGGAATGTGCTGGAGGGTAAAAGGGAAAAAGGAGCAAGTATCAGTCACGGCAATCGGTCGGCCGTTTACTCACCTTGGACTTGTAATAAATGATAAGAGAACCACCTCGAAACAGTCTGCCCAACAAAAGTCCAGCAATAATATTACTGTACAGCATACGCTACTCCATACTTCTTAACCTTATGGCCAACATTGGATCTTAACCGGACCCTGGACTACACAGGCGGAGACGGAGACAGGCAGAACGTCATGGCGGATCGACGATGAGCTTCGCGTCTTGGCAAAGATTGACCGTTGTACAATTCCATCTCCAGTATTTAGGATTGGTCAGATTAATCCAATATAGCCTTTCTGGTTTGAGGTGCATTCTATCATGGTCTGAATTCCTCTTCTGTCAAAATCCCGCAAGGTTGTGATTGAGGTATTGAGATAGGATATTGATAGGTTGAGGGATTGGTGAGACATTATGTAGAAGAAGATTGCAAGTCAATACTCGATCTCTAAATCTTTATCCCCATTTGTTAATCCGTTGAGTTTAGAACAGATATGTGTAGTCCGGATCAGCAACTCGTATTCTGTATCCATTCCAGGCTTTACCGTCTATTCGAGTCATCTGCAGAGGCGTCACAGCCACATAAGGGTCCAGGACAAAGTTTGTCCAGTTCACAACAATCCCATCCATCACAGCCAGTCGTTCAAAACATCCAATAGTCTTTTGATCCCTGTTCATACGTCAACGCCGCCATGACCTGCTTTGAGGTGGTGGTGCAGGGTAGTTAGTTGCTGCAGATGTCTTGCAGCCAAAGTTTGTTCAGATTGATACCCAACAATGACACGATAAGCACATGGGTAGCATAATTTGTGTAACATGAGAATTACCATCTTTGGAAAGGAAAGCTTGTCAAAATCGAGTCTCGATCAGGTCGCAGAAAGTAGACCTCGGATTGTATCTTGCGTCAGGAAATGCCTCTATCACATGCCAAGCGACAAAGGACAGTATACGCAATATCGAAGGCAGCAACTTTCCATGAAATTCCATGAGCTTAGCTTTTAGTAGGTACATATCACAATCGGTAGATATCTTACGCTCATGAACATTGAGTCTTTATCAAACGATTATTTAATAATCTCAAAATGAGGCGTTGAAATGTCTGGATAAAAGCAATAGACGGCCCAAGCTTCTCCACAACACCGCTAGCATAATGAGGCGGTCCACTGTAACAGCTATCTAACCTAGGGGAGGAAAGAAAACTCAGGACCTTGATCCTAAATGACAAAAAGACTTGGGTAATTTTAGCCTCAGCTTAGGGCACTCTTCTCTGGGTTATTTTAACACACCCTTCTAAAGTCTTATATTTTCTTGCTTCCCAAGGCTAACATGCACTAGACCACCTAAACAATAGCGCACGTCGTCCCTGGCGGACCCTACCGTCGGCGGATGACCTCAAGTGAGGTCACCTCCTGCAGGGAACCTCGTTACCCCCTACAGCTACTTCTTCTGACATGTACCGATAGTGGCCGCCAATGTATCTGGAAGTAACTTCCCCAATTCATCCGTTCTTGCCTTTAGCTCACGCTTTACTTACCTCAGGCAGCTTAGGTTTGAGCTCTGTATGTAGAAGGTCCTACCCGAGCTACGGCGCTCACCTTGCTTCTTCCTGGCGCGCGTCTCAATCCCCATTCTTTCCCTTCGCCAACCAACTGTGAGGCTAGGATAAACTCGCCCTCGGATTCATCTCTCACCTGGGCAATCGCCAACTAATTTTCCCTTCTACACCGCGATCTTGACACTATCTCGTGCCAGTGATTGGCCTCTGTGGTAGTCAGTCATTTACCTTGCCCGATAGAGGTTTTGTTTTGTAGCTTCTTTCACCCGACAACCGAGCCCCGATAATAATAATTCGAATCTTGATCCCTGTTGTGACGTTGCCGACAAGTGGATGACCGTTCGTCAACAACCGAGCCTTGACCGATACTGCATCAAAATCGAGACCGACTTTCGTTCACCGTCGTTCAACATACTTCTTTCATCAAGCCTTTGTGCTATTGTTTGTCATGGGTATCTGCAGCTCCTCGTGCTGCGGAGGTATGCATGCTATTATCCGTTGCCGTATACATCTGACAGCAATAGGTCGAGCCCGCGATGGCTTGTATGAACCCGTCCTCGCCGATAGCGAACGAGAGGCCGTAGCCGACCTTCTCCAGTATCTCGAAAATGTACATACTTTTCCATCTTGTTGGGGTTGTTACTAATTTTTTGATAGCGCGGCGAGACCGACTTCTTCTCTGGCGAACCTCTTCGTGCTCTGAGCACCTTGGTCTTTTCGGAAAACATTGATCTTCAACGAAGTGCTAGTCTGACTTTTGCTGAGATTACCGAGCGAGGTACGAAAGAGCCCCGAGTTTCCGACTGGTCTAACAATGTAGATGTCCGAGAGGTTGACCGCGATACTCTTGAACCTATTCTATTTCTTCTCCAGAGCCCCGATATCGAAGTCCAGCGAGCTGCCAGTGCTGCACTCGGAAACCTGGCCGTTGACAGTATGTGCATCGGAAACAACATTCGCAGTCACTGACGTATTGTAGCCGAGAACAAGGTTCTCATTGTGCAACTTGGTGGTCTAACACCTTTGATCCGCCAGATGATGTCCCCCAATGTCGAAGTCCAGTGCAATGCTGTGGGATGTATCACCAACTTGGCTACACATGAGGAGAATAAAGCAAAGATTGCTCGCTCCGGAGCTCTGGGTCCTCTGACAAGATTGGCCAAGTCGAGGGATATGCGGGTTCAGCGGAATGCTACTGGCGCTCTGCTCAACATGACACATTCTGGTATGTTTGTATATGGCAATGGTAACGACATGCTGACAAGAGTAGATGAAAACCGACAACAACTGGTAAATGCCGGAGCAATTCCCGTCCTCGTTCAGCTTCTTTCTTCTCCCGATGTCGACGTTCAATACTACTGCACCACAGCACTCAGCAATATCGCTGTCGACGCGAGCAACCGACGAAAGCTGGCTCAAAGCGAACCCAAATTGGTCCAATCTCTTGTCAATCTAATGGACTCGACTTCACCCAAGGTTCAATGCCAAGCTGCCCTGGCTCTCCGCAACCTCGCTTCCGACGAAAAGTATCAGCTCGATATCGTTCGTGCCAATGGACTTCACCCTCTTCTCCGACTCCTCCAATCTTCTTATCTACCGCTCATCCTTTCTGCTGTCGCCTGCATACGAAACATCTCTATCCACCCTCTTAACGAGTCACCAATTATCGAAACCAACTTCCTCAAGCCACTCGTCGACCTACTTGGATCTACCGACAATGAAGAGATTCAGTGCCATGCCATCTCGACCCTTCGAAATCTTGCCGCCAGTTCCGATCGAAACAAAGCCCTTGTCCTGGATGCCGGTGCCGTGCAAAAGTGCAAGCAATTGGTTCTTGATGTGCCCATCACTGTTCAGTCTGAGATGACCGCCGCTATTGCCGTTCTGGCATTGAGTGACGATCTCAAGTCTCATCTCTTGAACCTTGGAGTCTGCGGTGTTCTCATTCCTCTCACCCATTCGCCAAGCATTGAAGTCCAAGGCAACAGTGCTGCTGCCCTGGGCAACCTTTCTTCTAAAGGTAAGTCAACCTCACCGCCATTCAAACACAAGCTAACAAAAGCAGTGGGTGACTACTCTATCTTTGTACAAAACTGGACCGAACCCCAAGGTGGAATTCACGGATACCTCTGCCGATTCCTGCAGTCTGGTGATGCCACCTTCCAGCACATCGCCGTCTGGACCCTTCTCCAGCTCTTCGAGTCCGAGGATAAGACTCTTATTGGTCTCATTGGAAAGGCAGAGGATATCATCGAGCACATTCGAAGCATTGCAAATCGTCAAATTGAAACCGACAATGAATTCGAGGACGAGGATGAGGGTGAGGTTGTCAACCTAGCTCAACGTTGCCTGGAACTCCTGGGACAGAGCATGTCCAAGGCTCACATTGAGGGCTAACTATATTCGCGGACTATTCATCTCAAAAGCGGAAGCGTCTGGGGTGTTGGGTGATATGGTGTTTGGCGTCATGTAACATTCTAAGAATGATGTTTGGTTTCCAGGGGTCTCATTATACGGATTGCATCGCCTGTCATGGGCTTTCAAGAATTGTTGTTATAACAATGGTGTTTGACGGTGTACGAGAGGGCCACGCGCTGCATTGAAGGACGGTATTCTTTCTCTTTGTTTGATGATTCATGTGGCAGATATCGCTAGATCACTTACTGGGCAGTTGATTTGGGGAGAGCAGATGTAATTAGACGAGAGGTGTAAGTTTCTATACCCAGATAAGAGATGATACATATTTACATTAGACTGCTCGTGATTAGTCTAGCTCTTCAACCTTTTGTAGTCCATTTTTCATCCATTGACGTTCGTTCCATGGCAATATTTTGGCTATTGTCGTGCCAGAGATGAGGGCCAGTGGTAATGGACCAAAATGCCGTGAATCTCTTGATGCTGGGAGGTTGTCTCCTGAAATCCAGCAATGCCCTTCGGGGATCTGACGAGTTAGTGTGGCCAGGGATCAGGATGGAACAAGTACCTGTATCATTAACTCTTCTCCTTGCTCTCCTGGGGTCCCAACAGAGACGTAGTCCCCTGGCATGCCTGTCACTCGTTTCACTCCCCACTGGTTGTTGAAGATTGGGATGCGGTAAACAACCAAATCGCCAATAGAAACACCACGACCATAGCGACGCGTGTGATCACACAGAATCCAATCACCATCAACTGTGAATGTTGGAAGCATTGAAGGGCCTTGAGCTGGACTGATGGTATAGCCGTATGTGATTCCGAGGTGCACGAGACAAGCGGCCTTGAGGAAGGATACCGTTGTCCGCACAGGACGGCGGGCGAAATGAAATGAAGCCATCGTAAAGCCGTGTAGAGCTTGGTGTTGAATCAGCCGTTGAAAGGGTCAAAGAACACCTGATTGGATAAGGTTGACAGCACCCCACAGTGACGTTTCTGCCAAAATCAACCGCCCACTGCCTATGAAGATGATCAGTCATTGCATTCAAGCCATTGACTGTCTACACTCGTTTACGGCGCGACAGACACTCCTTTCAGGGCATCGCCAGAATGAACAGCTTTGCGTGCCTTCAAAGCTCCCGTCGAGCCCTCTACAGGGTCTTCGTTCAACATGAGGGTCTCCTCACACGACAGTTCCAACCTCCGCGAGCCCTCCCTATACACAACCGCTTCTTCTCCGCATCGCAATTGAAAGCGAAAAATAAGAAGGCAAAGAAACGCGAAGAGGAAATCGAGGAAGATCCTTTCGCTGATGAGGGACAAAACCGAGGTTTCGATCGACGATACACTACCCAAGAGGAGTTTGAAAAGTCTGGTCGCGATCGCCTCCCCCAAGATTTCGAGATCAAAGACCCACAGATCATGGTTCTCGATAATGGTGTATTCGATGGGCCTCTTGTCACAAAAAACGTGCTGAGCCGACTGCCCGAAACAGATTCACTGCGCATGGTGACACCCTACATCCCAGGAGACCCAAAGAAAGACAAGCCAACCCAGTATGCTATTTGCAAGATTGTCAACAAGAGGGAAGAATACGAGCGTCAGCGTGAATTGGCCCAACGCCGCCGTTTGTCCAAACAGACCACACCCAAGACCAAGGAAGTCGAGATGAGCTGGGCTATCAGCGAGCATGACCTTGGGGTCAAGACACAGCAGCTGATTGGGTTCCTCAGCAAGGGCATGAAGGTGGAGGTGATCCTTGGATTCAAGAAGAAGGGGCAGAAGAAGCGAACGTCGGAAGATACCGCAGAGGAAGTCTACACCAAGGTGAACAAGCTGATTGAGCGACTAGGCTCGAGAGAATACAAGCCAAGAGATGGGGAGGTTGGAAAGACGATGAGGATTTACCTCGAGGGAATCATAAAACAGGCTCGTGAAAAGCCACAGGTCAAGAAATCACCAGAGGTAGACGCTCAAAAGGATGTGTAAATGCTTGATATAACGTCATATACTGGGTATCTGCCAGTCAAGTCTATCCGAATAAAGAAAGTCATCAGTCCGGTTGTCGTCTCCCGGATATTGAGCCCATTTTAGACACCAAACTCCAAGTCCAGTCCAAAGAACTAAAGGATCTCATCACCGTCCTCGTCCGCGGGTAGAGGTACCGCCGCGGGGGTGGTGACCTCTGCAGACTGCAAGGCCTCGTCCGCAACATCCATATCCTCGTCCATATCGACGCTACGTCCCTTCACCTCGGTATCACTCTCCGCACTCTCCGCGCTATCAGCCTCCTCAGCAGCCCTGTTGATCTCATCCCAATTCTTACTTCTCTGCTGAATATTCCTCCCCCGACCCTTGCTCTTCTCAACCTTATTCTTGGTCCGCTCCATAACAGCAGCAGCCATCTCAAGGCCCTTCTCGTGACGTTTTCTAGCCTTGGCAGACATCTTCTCTTTGCGACCGCGCTTGGCCTTCTTGGTGATGCCAGCGGAGTGATGCGCTGCTAGGACGGAGGGCCGTTGGGTAGCATCGCGGGGAGGCTTGACTTCTTTTAGCGACTTGTCGGTGTCGATGTCGATGTCTGTTGCGCGACGAGCGGCGCGGGAGTGGATTGAGGGTGCTGGACATGTTAAATTAGAGTGAAGAGGGGGGCAGAGGACGTACCCTTCTTTTTAGCCATTTTGTTGATGTTTGAGTGTGATGTTGGTTGAATCTGCAACTTCGGCTTGGTGGGGGATGGAAATTTTGATACCCCACAAAGATAAGCTCACCGGGACTCACCGAGCTCACCGGCCAAGACAGCTGGAGGCTAGGTAGACATCATGGAAAGGTGTTGACGGCAATTTATGTCAGACATACTGCCTGTATAAATTTGAGAGCGTCCTGAATTGAATTTCCTGAATGATGGATATTTACGTGAAATTGTGATTAAGCCATAGAATACGAGGTAATAACATGACTGCTGGGCCGAGCACGCTCTTGCACTTGTACCTCATGAATGTCTCAACTTCCCTCGTGCACAAGCATCATCTCATTCCATCGACCTTTCACCTACAGTCGAACCTACAAGTACTCAAGCTCAATTCAAGCGATTCAACCCTTCAAAAGACCTCGTGGCCGTGAATATGCAAGTGTCCGTCTAGCGTTCGTTACTTGCCAACGTCCCGCCATCTCCAGCAGACGCATTAGCAATGCTTCCTATCACGACCTGCTTCGTTGCAGGGCTGCAATATCTGATACATCCACTAAAGCTTGTATGTTTTGATGAGACCAACGCGAACGAGGTACTGACGCGTCCAGGGAACCATTCAAGAAACCATCAACCCCGATGCTCTAATCCCAATCACGCTCCTGTCAACTGAGGAAATCTTTGGCGACCTCGAGGGAATTCTACAACTATTCGATTTAATTGATGATGTATTTGTTCCCGACTTTGGTTCCATTCTTGTCGAAAAGAGTGGCGACAACAGTAGCCAGGTTCATGTCGATCGACAGATCTATCACATGGACCAAATCAAGGCTCTAGATGGCTTTTCTGAGTTACCCTCTGGTCCATACTTTCTCTACGGCCCAAACCTTTACCAAGCCTGGCGGCTGTATGATGATGAATTCGGAGCTTTCACCTCTGGTGTTATTCCCGATGATCTGAACCAACCTGACGAGTATGTTGTATCTCCCGTGCAAGTCATAGCTGACAATACAGATTCCAACCTCTGACCACTTCATCTGTTTATGGAGACTCAGTTACAGTCCCTGTGCCATCAAGACTTTACCACTCTCAACCTACTGCCAAGAAACCCCTGTCTGGTGTCCGTGTTTCTGTCAGCGACACGATATCGTTGAAAGGAACATATACAACCTTTTCCAGTCGGGCATGGAAATCGCTCTACGAAAACTCCTCGAGCTCTACAGCTAAATATGCACAGAGTCTAATGGACCAAGGAGCTGTCATTGTCGGAAAAACAAAGACATCGCATCTTGGTGCAGGGGCAGAATGGGTTGATCAACAGGCTCCTTGGAGTGCAAGAGGTGACGGATATCAAAGGATGAAGGGTGGTTCAGTTGGTGCTGCTGCTGCCTCGGTTGGGTACCCATGGATTGACTACAGTATTGGCGTTGACGGTAAGTCGGGTCATCGCGAGAAGCCAAGACTGACCGCGTGCAGATGGTAGAGTGATGTCCGAGGGCGGCATATACTCCTTGAGTCAGCCTGAAAACCTAACAAATGACATAGCTACGGCATCAAAGTGAGCACTGTGATATGCCGTTGAGTTACACTGACCGCCCTAGGTTCGACAAAACGCGAATTTTCAGTCGAAGTCTTAAAGGACTCCTCGATTTCAGCGGAAATGCAAAGGCTGGGGCTTCTAAAGTTTCCTCCACAAAGATAATCGTACCAGAAGACTTGCCATCCCCGGAAAAGTCGCAGAAAACAGGCATAGCGACTTTCGTGTCAATTCTACAGGATCTGTTGGACACCAAAGCCGAGTACGTCAATGTAGGCAAGAGTTGGGAAGAAAGTCCTCCATCTGAATCGTCGAATGAGGGAATGCAAGCATACATGGAAAAGGTTAGTTGACTTCGACAAAAAGACTTGACTGACAATTTAGGCACCTTTCCGGTCATGGTGTTATGATTATTATCATTCTTTTGGCACCTTTCAAGATGAGTACAAGCAAAAATTTGACAAGAAGCCGTTTGTCGAGGCTACGCCGCGATTCTTCTGGTATGGCCGTATACGTTACGCAGTCGTTAAACCAGCTGACCTCCCAGGAACGAATGCAAGTCAGTGACAGAGGAAGAGAACCGCCAAGATACAGAACGTCTCGAAGTATACCGAAAGTGGTTCCTTGAGAACATTGTGAACGCTTCTACCCCCAATGCCAAGGGAGACGCAGTCGTGATCCTTCCATGTGGAAATTCTCAAGTTGAACATCGGAACGATGCTGTGGCGTATGTACATTTCCCTGTATTGATACCTGGCTGACAGCATAGTTATTAGTCCACCAACCATTTACAAAGGCATCGACTCTACATCGCTGGCGCCAATATTGGGGGCTTCCTTATTATCGTTTCCATGTAAGTTGAGTGTATGAACCTTCAGTAGCTACTAACAAAACACAGTCACTCAGATACCCTACGAGTCTGGCATTTCTGGAGAGACAGAGTATCACCCAGTCTGCATCTCGATTCTCATCCACGGAAATGAAAAATCGACCATTCAATTGATCAAAAAGGCTCTAGAGACAGGGCACATTCCCACCAAAGTCAACGTCGGGCGGTTCACGTTCCCAGTCAACAAGTCGGATCATGTCAATAATCACCTGCAAGCTCCCTTGTCGGGTCAGAATGTGTCGGACGAGCTGTAAACCAGTCAGAAGTGCCTCCCCCAAAGTCACGCCATGCCTACTTCCACCACTCTGACCTGAATACAAGGCTGTCGGTATGAGATCTCCCCACACGAGAACATGCAATAAATTCCCCACGATGTTCTGTGGATACGAGGTTGGAGCCCCGGATGAGATGACCGGTATTTGTGTTCCCGGCACCGGCTTATGCAGGCTCCCATCTGGATATGTATTGTACCTCCTATGAAGCAAATTGGATACATTCAACTTGAGTCGATTCTTGGTCTTGTTAGTGATTTGATGCAAACAACTCCACATGGAAACATAAACCGGGGCTCATCCGGCTCGGAACCGCCAATCGACAGGGGTCGGCGTCAAGCTCACGGGCCGGAGACTGGGGTATCACTGCCGTGGGGGCTGTCGAACCAGACAAGGCGAGTGGAGGTGAACGTGCGGCTGAGTGTTATCGATCGCTCCACTTACTGAGACACATTGATCTGGTCAGGCACACATATCTGACTACCTAACCTTTTGGGCAATCTAGTGTGCTCTCTCTCATACTTTGTTTTTATAAGACAGTCGACTTCAAAATGGCGGAACCGACCAATACACCGGTGCCAGCTTCTACACCGCGAGCTACATCTCCTGCTCCTCAGCTTCCCTCCATTTCTCAAGGATCTCTTTCAATACGGTCATCAATGACGTCCTCAAAACCCCGGGTTCTTCATATTGGAGACCCTATCAAATACAACCCTGAAACATATCTCCGCTTCAGCATTCAGTGTGAGGTCATCAGACCGCTAATTGAAGAGCGGCAACGGCCAGAGTTTATCAGGGCCCTCATGGAAAAGAGATGGGGTGATTTTGATGCCATATTTCGTCCATTTTGGGGAACTGGAGGCGAAATGGGGAAATGGGACCAAGAGTTGATCAGTCTGCTGCCACAGAGTGTCAAGGTATTTGCGAGTGCGGGTGCTGGCTTTGACTGGGCTGATACGAAGCTATTGGGAGAACGAGGTGAGTTGACGCAAATGCGTACAGGCACTCGCTAACTGGTAAGGAATCATCTACTGCAACTCTGGTCTCGCAGCCGCTGAAGCTGTAGCTGATTTTGCCATCGTTGGGATCATTTCCACATTCCGGGTCCTCCCATGGTGTATCTCATCCGCCATGTCCGGGGATGAGGAGGCATTCAAGGAGAATCATCGCGACGCTACAATGCAGTCGTACAATCTTCGCGACCAGGCTCTAGGAATCATTGGCTTTGGCAACATTGGCCAGCAAATCGCTGCTCGTGCCCGACATGGATTTGGGATGGACATCCACTACTATGATGTGCTTCCCAAGCCTGCTGCTGTTGTTGCTCCCGTACGAGCTACTCACCATGAGACGCTTGAGAGTCTACTTGGTCTATGCGACTGTGTAGTTCTCTGCACACCAGCTGGTGAAGACACTCTGATTGACTCAAAGACTCTGCCGTCCTTCAAACGTGGATCGCGGTTTGTCAACATTGCGCGAGGAAGTCTTGTTGACGAAGATGCACTGGCTGCAGCCCTTCAAGATGGCACACTATCAAGCGCAGCTCTTGATGTTCACGCAAACGAGCCAAAGATCCACCCTGAACTGTTGGAGCTTGCTAAACAAGGCCGTGTGTTGGTGACATGCCACAATGCGGGCGGAACAGTCGACACCCACAAGGGTTTTGAAGAGCTGAGCATGAGAAACATCATGGCTGTTCTCAATGGGGGAGAAGCCATTACTCCTGTGAACCTAGAGTTTCTCAAGAAGTAGTACGATACAGGTGTGAATAGAGGATAGAAGCAGGTAGCATAGAATCATGATAACGAATGCCTCGACCAATACATATACCAACTCCGGCTTGACAATACCCAACGCTAATTATACAGATACACTTACTCCTTGGGCTTCTTTCTAATCAGACCAGTGGAAAGTACATTTACAACCTTGGACTCTTCTTTTGGCTTTTTCTTGACGAGGCCCTCTCCAAGGACATTAACCTTGTCTTGAGACTCGTCAACAGTCGAGTCCGTTCGTTTTCTCTTGACAAGACCTGTGAGATTGTTTACGCCGTTCACGCGGTCGTGTGCCGTTTGAGTTGGCGTCTCACGTGCACCAGATACAACAACACCCCAGCTACCACCGCCTCCGCCTTCACTCAGCCAGCGGCGTGTACTACCAACCGCTTTGTTGAGGGTGGCAAAGTCGAGGTGTAGCAGTAGGTCTACAATACGCTTGTAAGTGGCTTCGTCGACAATCTTCTCGCCGCGTCCTTCAGGTGTCCAAGCGTAATATGCCGTGTTTGCAGGACGATCAAGAAGATAATTGTGCTTGGCTCGCTTGATCTGGGGCTTTCGAGGGATGATGGGACCTGTGAGCTTTTTCTTCTGCTTCTTCTTCTTTGCCTTGGTCTCTGGCTGATTCTTGCTGGGAAAGAGTTTACGGGGGGTTGTGGTTGGCGTTATTTGAGTGATCCGCTGTGCCTTTGGTGTCGATGGCGGGTTTGTGGATGGAAAAGACTCGTTTGCTGCTGGTTCTGGTTCCTTGTCGTCAAATACCAACCAGATAAATCCCGTCATGCGACCGCTGGAGCATTCTTGTCGGTAGGCCATCATTTCCCAAAACATGTCGAGAGTCTTGACGCTCTTCCAGCTACCCTGGGTCTTCATCGCTTGCGAACTCGCAGCCTCCTCATCCAGCTCGTCTCGGAATCGTGATTTAGGATCGTCAGGGAAGTGCGGGATCAGACATCGCGGCGGTACCCAGTCAAATTCTCGATAATAATGCGATATTCGTTGAAGCGGATGCGTAAACTCCCAAGCAGAATCTGTTCTTCGAGGAGTCATTGCTCGAATCTCGTTTGGTTCCAGCCCAGGCACGACGATGTATCCCTTTGAACTCTTCCATGGCGCTTCTACCGATTTTGGTGCCGGGCTGAGAAGGGGATCGAGCACGCGACACCACCATTTGATAAGGCCGCGGTCATCGAGGACATGTTTGCCCTTGTTGTCGACACTTCCGGGAAATAGATACTGATCTTGCGCGCGGGCGAATAGATTGACGATGAATTGTATATCCTTTCTTTTCCTCTTCTCAACGAGGAATCCAACAAACGTGGCGCATATCTCACGAATAGGACTCGGTGTCCCCTTGGGAAGATTGAGAAGCGTCAGATAGCCCGTCGAGTCAGCCTTTGAGACAAACAACGTAGTCGATCGAGCAGTCGTATAGATAAAGACTTCGACACCTAGCACTAAAACCTGCTTGCCGTCTGTATCGATTGAAACGGCGAGGAAATGATTCTCGCAGTACGTCCGCTCGGGCCGTTCGTTTGGTGGTGGTGAGTAGAGAGGGTCGGTCTTTGTGGGGGGTGTTGAGATGTGGAGGATTGTAAAGTCGTGGTCTTTTGGGAGGACAGAGGCCAGACGTGATTTTAGGTCGTTGTCTGTCATGATGGTTGCTGATGGATGTTGGAGCTGGGAGATTGTTTGGTACAAGTTGGGGTGCAAGGGGATGCAATAAAACTTAGGACCTCTATCATAGGTGACAAAAAGCTTAGGTAAACTTAGGTAAATTTAGTAGAGTTTTAGAGGATCTTAGACTAAGTATTTTTAGCACCTCAGTTTAACGTCAGAAGTCTTCTTACACCCAGAGGGGGGTGGTCGCTGGGGCAGCTGTGGGGCGTTGATCTACAGGGGTTTGAACGCAGGGGTCTAGTGGAGTCTGTGATACCTGCCAGGTCCCGACTGTCGATATCCGTGGATCTAGGATTATTCAGCTCTTTGACCTCATGGCTTCAGTGTGATACTATCATCTCATAAACTAACTACCTAATAGGGACAGAAAAATCATTAATTGTTCGTCAATCGCTTAAACGCTCGCACTCAAATCTTGCACCAACTCTGAAGGTTTCGGATGATCACTCCTCCAGCTCCCAACAGCCATAGCAACATACAGTAGATTCCATCTCGGACCATCTGGAAAACAGACGAATTCAGCAATCATCATCTCAACCAAAGGCTTATACTTGATCAGAACCTCCTCCGACCCTCTCCCCTCCACGAGAGCCTGTAGCTCGTCAATCTCAGCTGGTTCGAGATACTTGCGCAAATGGTTCTCAACTTCCCCTGGGGTCTTCCACCATTCGGGCCCCTGTCCTTTCTCGACTAGCTCTTGTTCCATTTTTCGTCGTAGATCAGGCAGCACTGACTTCCACACCATTTCGGTTCCTGCGCGTGGGAGATCGATGAAGCCCTTGTGCTTGTACTCTAGTCGAGCTAGGGCGAGCGAAAGCAGGAATCTTCGGTCGTTCAAGTGTTTTGAGTGGTTGAATAGTCGGTCCATGGGATTTTGGGCTGGGAGTCCAGGTTTACCAATCATGTTGAGCTTGTATGTCTCCCATAGCGATACTGTATTTCTCGTACATGCCCAGTACAGTGTACCCGCAAATGTGTAGAGCCCATCACCGAGGTATTTGCCTGCATCCGATGGCGCTTCAAAAATACGGGCCAATCTGTCCGTGTTAGTCCAGAGTTGCTGCTCTAGACTTAGACGAGGAGGCGCGGTGTTTTGTCCAAGCGATTGAGCATGGATCATGATATCCGACGACAACAACCCTGAAAGATATGATAGCCTCTCAGCTGAGATTGGATCAGTATCTATTGAACCAGAAGTTGTCGAGGCTCGACTTTCGCTCTCTTCCCCAAGAGTTTCTCTCGCATCAGCCAACGCTGCCTCGAGTTCCTGGTCCTTCCCACCACGCTTCAGCGCGACCCTCTCAATTCGTTTCAGAGCATTTCTCAATCTCTGGTTCTCATCTTTGAGAGTGTTGAACTTTGAGGCATGTCTTTTACGATACTCGCGCTGTGCAACTCTGCTGCGCTCTCGCTTTGGCTGTTCGTGCATGTTAAGCGGTGTTTCGTAACAAAAGTTTCTGCTTGGTAATTGTGAGATCCACATACATCAGAATTATCTCCATTCCCTGGAGGTGACATTTCAATGGCATGGGGAGTGCGATGACGATGTTGGAGGAATAACGTTGCTGACTTACCAAGAGAGGATTGATAACGTTATGAGGCGTTATGGTGGCTGGTGGGGTAGTCATGTAGCAAGGGTGAGGCGTCAGCGCATGAGTAATGTGTAACGCAACTCAACGTTGAACTCACGATGCTCAGTGAAAGGATTCATAAATGATGAAGGATTCTGGATTGAGAAATTGTATATATCATATGAGAAGGTAGAAAAAAAGAAATGTAATCGCTCTCATTCAGTCACTATTCATTCACTATTCATTGACTACCTACTCATTTACACATCTCATCCTCAATTAGCGTCACCAAAATGGCATCTCCAGTCAAGACCCTTCACAAGACTTCATACCCATCCATCTCTCCTCTTCGTCATGAGCTCTACACCAGAGGAAAGAATGCTGTAATCACAGGCGGCGGCTCTGGTATTGGTGCCAGCATTGCCAGATCATTTGCAAAATCAGGCATCACCAACTTGGCTCTTCTTGGCCGAACAGAAAAGACACTCCTCGAAAACAAAGCCTACATCGAGGAAAAATACCCTGAAACTAGAGTCTGGACTTATACAGTCAACATCGTCGATGCTGACTCAACTCGGTCTGTCCTCGAGGCCTACACCGCTGCAATCAATGGAAAGATTGACATTCTCATCGCAAACGCTGGATACATGCCCAAGACCGAACATGTGACCGTGGCAGATCCTGTCGATTGGTGGCTCACCTTTGAGATCAACATCAAAGGAAACTTTAACCTCTTGCGAGCGTTCGACCCTCTCGCCACCCCCGGAGCCACAGTCATACACGTATCCACAAGCGCAATGTACACAGAGTTCATGCCCGGATTCTCAGCCTATCGCGGCTCAAAGCTTGGAGCTTATAAAGTGTTTGAATGGTACGCCAATGAGAACCGAGACAAGGTCGTTATTCAGTTTCACCCCGGACTCATCATGGACACGGCCATCACTCGGCCTCTCGTGGATGTCGTTAAGGAATATGGCCTTGTTCCAGAGGATGTGTCACTTCCGAGCGACTTTGCTGTTTGGGCTGCGAGCGATGAGGCCAGGTTTCTTAGTGGGAGGTTTGTGGAGTGTATGTGGGATGTCGAAGAGCTCAAGGCGGCGAAGGACAAGATTAAGGAGTCATGGGAGAAGTTTACTGTTGGATTGGTGGTCTAAATGACTGCAATGTGACGACCTGAACTTTTAGTTTCACGGGAGCGGGACGGGATAGAATAGACTTCAAGGTCCCAAAATTGAAAGTTTAGTTCTCGCAAAAGATAAGCTTAAGACGCCTTGGTCATAAGATATAATAGAGTCACGGTAGGTTCATATTTCTAGTCGCTTCTTTCCCATCTTCTCTCATCCATTTGATCAATATCCATCATCCACAAGTGACCAAAGAGCTGCAGCGTCACTGGGATAGCGATAAAATACTTTTTCTCAATTAATATTATCTACTGTGTCAAGGAGCCATGGCTACTCTACAGGACAACGCCACAGGCCACTCAAGGACCACGCAAACGCACGCTCTATTAATCACCATGGACAAGAGTTCTTATACCAGAAAGTCCCCAGAAGATGACCCCAGGCCTCTATACGACTTATTCCGCCAACTCTCGTTCGAAAGAACTATTGATCCGGACAAGATGCAACGGCACATCCTAGACAGCATCTATCGCCTTGTCCATGGCTCCAACAACATCGAACATGGCAGTTTCAACTTGGACACCACAGTCGAGCTTTGCCGCACCATTTTCGAAGGCTCAATCAGTGATCCACCTGATCTCCTAGTTCTCGACGTGGAAATCTATCGAGAGCTGGGCCAACATCTCAAGGCAGCGCAGTATCTCATTTGCCAAACCACCAAGAGCGATCTGTCGGAGGATATTATCAAGGAAGCGCATCGCATCATGACAAATGAGTTCAATCAGACTGAAGGTACATATGATACCGATTACAGCGGCAAATATCGCACATCTCCCCTGCAAGCAACGTCCCGTCCCTACATGGACCCCAACAAGATCCCCGCTGCGATGGACAAGATGATGGGCAGCTACAGAGCTGATATCCTGGCGGCGGGGATAAAAGGAGAGATTGATCCTGTGGCGCTTGCAGCAAAATACAGTCACATTTTCTTTAGTATCCATCCATTCCATACCGCCAACGGCCAAATGAGTCGCCTTATACTCAACGCCATACTCTTCAAGTGGGCGGGATGTCTCGCTCCTTTTGGTGTGGATGAAGAGGAGTGCGCAGAGTATCTTTCCATCGTAGTTGAGGCAATGGATCTGGAAACCTCTGAGGCTGCGAGTTGTCAGGGAGTGTCTGACGGCGGTAGACCGACGCTTTATAAAAAGCTGGCTTCCTATATCTTGAAGCATGCGGCGGCGGGTATGATGCTGGTTTGCGAGCCTCTGTAATTGGATGGATGAAATGATGTCTACTATTAACCTTTTTCGTGTATGGGATGCATTTTACAATATTCGAGAAGAATCGGGCCAGTTTACATGAGATTGTCTCCAGAAAAGGGGGTCTGGGATGTGACTTGACATGAGCACTAACAAGATCCCTCCAGTCTCGCCTATTGCCATTAACACTTCCAGAACCCTTCAGTTCCAGGCACTATTAGGGATCTCAGACTCACACATCAGACACTATCACGTCCCCTTTTCAGCCGATCCACCACTCTGCCCCCTGACACTGCCAACACCTGCCAGCCGCCACGCCAACACTCTAACCACACCTGAACCCACCCCCGCCATAGCTTTATGTGTCAGAGACACTGAACCCCTATTACCAGAAGTGGCGGCAGCTCGCTTTGGCCTAACGGTTTAACAAAGCGTGTACGACCGATCTCTCGCCGCTTTCCGGGACAGTTCGTGGGATCGAATCCGGTCTCCTTACTGCCTGGAAAGCTTGAGTTGCAGGATGGGAAACACCAGCAAGTCAGAAAAAGGAAAATACATATATACATAAAGCTGGAGTGGGATAAGTGGTGCCCGGAGCCTGCAACTCCGAGATTGATATTTTTGCAGTTTGTATGTAGATGATTTAGTTTTAATACAGGAAATAAATCTCCAAAGGCCCTAGTGGCTCAGAGCATGTTTCCCTAGTGATGAGAGAAGCCCAGCTTGATGATGTCTGATTACAAGATTGATAGCAGCAGTTGCCCCTGTGTGCTTATCGTTAACGACGCTTCCCTTTGTTCTTGTTCTTTTTCCTGTTCTTTCTCTTGCTCTTGGTCGTGTTCTTTGTGTTTCTCTTTTCCTCCTCCTGCTTTGTTAGATCACCTTCTTCCTCGCGCTCATCTACCTCCTCGTCTCCCCTCTCCTTGGTCTTGTTATTCTTTCCCCCCTCCTCGGTTATCGCTTCATCATCTTCGTTCTTGTCATCCTCGTCCTTGTCCATTTCCACTGTGCTCTGCTCCCCCTCATTTGCCAGCCCCTCTACTTCTTTACCCTCCCCGTTGCCATCCTCGTCATGTCCCTCGCTCTTCTCCTCCGCAGTCGCAGTCGCATCGCCTGTTTCTCCCCCCTGTTCTCCCTCTTCGTCCTCTTCTGGCGAATTTTGCAGGTTGCGGTAAGCCTCGAGCCAAGCCACGCAGACTTCCATGGGATACATAGCTCTCTTGACGTGGTAATCGTATCCATCGTAATTCCCACGCTTCAGCAGCATAGGATTAACTACAAGATCGACATTTTGTCCCTGTTCATTAAGGCTGAGACCACCATAATGGTCTTTCATAGCCTGGCCCTCTATTCCTTCGAGTTCATGCCGGAAAGTAAACCCGCAGCATTGTTGAGTGACGGGGTGTTGAAAAACATGGGAGAAGAAAGACAGGTTGGCGTCGAAGAGAAACTCCATCTCGGTCACGGTATTAGCAAAACTTTCAAGAGCCGGGTAGGTGGTTCCGCCCGTGGGATCTCTTTCGCCGTACTCCTCTGGGAAATATCGGCCGAGCGCCTTGGCAATGATCGGGGCGACACAGGTAGGGTCAATCCGCCGGAAGTTCCACTTTGCTGAGTCTTTGAGGGACATGTAGAGATCCATCGTGGTAAATCTCCAATGTGGAAACTTGCGAGACTCAACTTCCTTAAAGTGGGGGAAGTGGTGATCTGTTGGGTTGGGTTGGCCTGGTTAGTATTATATCATACTCGGAGCTTAGGAAAGCTTCATACCTCGTAAATAGCGCTCCATGGTTACCTGGGCTTCCCAGTAAGGCGATGCCCAAACTATGTCCTTGCTCTTATTGGAAAAGAAATTCTTGTTAACAATCTCCCAAACCTATCATTTAAACATACACTGTTTCATGCCATATACTTCAAAAAGCTCTTCTGCATTAGGGGCATAGCTGACGAACTTCTGTTGAAGGGTTTCATCGAGACTGTCCCAGGTAACACCATCAAGGCTGCCGTTGACATTCACAAGGGTGCCAATGCTGCGGCAAAGGTTCTTCCAATTGTTTTTGACAGATTCGTCCTTGCGATCGAGAGCCAAGTGCGAATCAACAATATACGATTTATTACGGATGACCTGTCTCTCACGCTCTGCGCGCTTTTCCTGCTCAATCTTGATGTATGTTAGCCTAGAGACGGATTTCTGAACCAATGAACATGGCTGCATACCCACTCAGGACTGATCCCTGGGGCCTGTTCTCCGGGAGCTTGTTCTTCGTGAGCCTGTTGTTCTGAGGCTTGTCCTTCCGAGGCTTGTTCTTCGGGAGCTTGTTCTTTAGAACGCCCCTCTGGCATTCCGCCCTGGTTCTCGGCTATCTTTCTTCTTTTCCTCGCGGTGGTGTTTCTTTGAGGATTCGGGACTCTCGTCGACTCTAAGAGAACCTTCGTCGGATTGATTGAGCGCCTGGATCCGTTTGGATCTTCGAGGGGCAGCCATGTTGAGAGAAGGAGGCTCACTGGTAAGGTATGATGAAAACTACCGAGAGCCACAATCTTGAGCGAGATCAGGCAGCCTGGAATTATATATCCAGACTCGTCACAATTCTGTGTGCAGCCCCTACCACCTAGCTAAGTACAAGGACAAAGGCCAATGGACAAACAAGGGAATTCTCCTTGTATTGTAGACGGCTAAAATAAATATCGTACGTGGCTGGGCAAACAAGGTATCTTATTGATTGCCTGGGATGGATAGCATCGGGAGGGGGGGGGGGAACCAACAAGACTGGCTAACATCAGAAGCCCGCCGATCAACCAACAAGCCTGATCTTGCTGTTGTCTTTACTTCTCCTTGGTCTTGTTATCCTTCCCCCCCTCCTTGCTTACCGCTTCATCACCTTCGTCCTTATAATCCTTCTCCTTCTCTACTTCCTCTCTACTCTCCTCCTCACTTATCAGCACCTCTACTTCTTTGCCTTTATCCTTTGTTAGCTCCCTAAGAGACTCCTCCTCTTCCTCTCCCTCCTCTTTCTCTTCCTCTTCCTCTTCCTCTTCCTCTTCCTCTTCCTCTTCCTCTTCCTCTTCCTCTTCCTCTTCCTCTTCCTCTTCCTCTTCCTCTTCCTCTTCCTCTTCCTCTTCCTCTTCCTCTTCCTCTTCCTCTTCCTCTTCCTCTTCCTCTTCCTCTTCCTCTTCCTCTTCCTCTTCCTCTTCCTCTTCCTCTTCCTCTTCCTCTTCCTCTTCCTCTTCCTCTTCCTCTTCCTCTTCCTCTTCCTCTTCCTCTTCCTCTTCCTCTTCCTCTTCCTCTTCCTCTTCCTCTTCCTCTTCCTCTTCCTCTTCCTCTTCCTCTTCCTCTTCCTCTTCCTCTTCCTCTTCCTCTTCCTCTTCCTCTTCCTCTTCCTCTTCCTCTTCCTCTTCCTCTTCCTCTTCCTCTTCCTCTTCCTCTTCCTCTTCCTCTTCCTCTTCCTCTTCCTCTTCCTCTTCCTCTTCCTCTTCCTCTTCCTCTTCCTCTTCCTCTTCCTCTTCCTCTTCCTCTTCCTCTTCCTCTTCCTCTTCCTCTTCCTCTTCCTCTTCCTCTTCCTCTTCCTCTTTCTCTTCCTCTTCCTCTTCTTCCTCCTCCTCTTCTTCTTCTTTCTTATTTACGCGCTTACTACTATCTGCCTCTTCATCCTCTTGGTCCTCTCGATACTCTTTATCCTCATTCGTCTCCTTATCCCTCTCCTCATCTTCCTGTTCTTTATCCCTTCTCCTCATCTGTGATAATCTGTCTCTGTCCGGATTCTGAAGCCAGTCAACGCAAACTTTCATAGGACTCGCAGCCGTCTTGACATGGTAGTCATATCCATCATGATGTCCACGGCACTGGAGCATAGGCTCAGCCACAAAATCGACCAGCTTTTCCTCGCGATCCTCCTCTTCTATTTCGTCCATAGCTTGTCCCTCGATTCCTTCAAGCTCAGGCTCGTAAGGAAACCCACAGGTTTGATGAGTCGTGGGGTGATGAAAGACAATGGAAAAGAAGGTCAGATTGGCATCAAAGTAGAACTCCGCAGCGACCAATTCATCTTCAAGATGTTTTAGCGACGTCAGGGGTGTGCCATCGCGCTTCTTCGGGAAGTATCGGCCGAGTGCTTTGGAAAGTATTGGAACAACGCACGTTGGATCAATCCTTCGATGCTTCTTTGGGGAGTCTTCAAGTGCCATGTAGAACTCCATGGTGGCATGTCTCCAGTGCGGATACTTGTAGGACGCATATCCGTTATCGTATGGGAACTTGTGTTCTATTCATCGTAACGTCAGTGCTGTGTCGCCTCAGGAGCTCGGGGATCTCATTAATCTCAAGCTTCGTACCTTGTAAGTAGCGCTCCATGGCTGCTTGAGTCTCCCAGTAAGGTGAGGTCCAGATTATATCCTTGCTTTTCTTGGAAAAGAAGTTCTCATCTATAATCTCCCAGACCCATCGCTGAAATAAATATAGGGGCATACCGTATACATCAAAGAGTTCTTCTACGTTGGGGGCAAAGCTAATGAACTTCTGCTGGACAGCTTCGTCGAGGTTATCCCAGGTGATGCCCCTCAACCCCATATCATTTACAAGAGACCAAATTGTTCCGGAAAGGAATTTCTAGTGGCGTAATACCTCGTCGTCATGGCGTTCAAGAGCCAACATCCGATGAGGATATTCTTTGCTCTCGGTCCTTTTTCTCGACTGTTCCTCGAATTCTTCCTCTCGCTTCTTTTCCGACTGCTTTCTTAGCTCGGCCTTGATATATTTAGTCTTGAGGCTGATAGTCAATATCAATGTGGATGGTGACATACCCGACGAACAGCTGGATCAGTCGCTGGGGAGTCTTCTTTCGGGGCCAGGTCTCTTGGAGCATCGCCGTCTGAGTATTGTTTAGGAGCACGTCCTTCTAGCATTCCGCTTTGGCTCCCAGCCGTCTTTCTTCTCTTACCAGGGTGATCTTTGTTCAAGGCTTCGGGGCTTTCAGTGATTCTGCGACTGCCTTCTTCGGCCTGATGGAGAGTCTGAATTCGTTTGGATCTCCGTGGAGCGGCCATGTTGAGAGAAATAGCCTACCAACTTATGGCGAGATATGAGGAAGCATTCAGTTTCCATGGGATGGCAGTCTCTGGAATTATGTACTCATACTTGTCACAATTCCGTGCGCAGCCGAGTACGAGTCCGAGTCCAGAGCCCCTCTCCCTGTTGACCGTAAGACAAAGAAACAAGCCAAAGGCCGGTGGGCAAAGAAGCAGTTTTCCGTGTGTTACAGGCGGCTGAAACGGACATTTTCGTGGGTGGCTGAGCAAACAGTGCATCTTATTGATTGTATTGGTCAGGTCGCAGGGGGGGGTAGGGAATAGATGAGACTGGCTCAGACAAGAAGCCCGCCGATCAACCATCGAGCCTGACATTCCCCCTAGAATTACTGACAAACAGACTGACTATATGTACAAACATTAGCTTCATAATCAGCCGTGTCGATGGGTGTGTGTTGGTTTGATGGGTTGACCTCTCTAGTAGCCCAGCTGTATTGGTACTAGCTATCATGCTGACCTATCTTGGACAAAGAAAGTCGGGTTTGTCTTTCTCCGCTGTTCATTTTGTCCCGTGCCATCCCTCGGACTTTTAACTCTCTATGACAAGTTGTGGAGAGGCCTCTGCTGTATGTCACTGACCTAGAGTATCGTCCCGTTAGCCACATGTCGGACCCCAAGTAGGGCGTCAGCTCCGAAGGGTGTCATAGATTTAGTTAGGGGAGATCTCCGTTTTGGGCCAGGTCGGGGATACTTACGGACTGTTTTGTATGCCCTCCCCGAGCAAATGTATTTATGCCGGAGCTGCTCTCCTAGATGACGGGTTTATGAAGTTACTAAGGGCGAAGACTGGGGCAGAGTGTCCAAAGCAAGCAGTCAATAATCTCAAGGACAGTGATTACGGCAAGTTTGCGGACATGATCTGGCACGACAAGATGAAAATGAAACACTCTGTCGATATGGAAGGCAAGATCTTCGACCTTCCTCGCAAGTTCTCAGGGAAACAGGCCGGTCAAAGCACGATGGAGTTTACCGCGTAAGTAACATACGGGTGTTTTCTTTCTATTCTTTCTTGGCCAAAAGCAGCAGCTGATGGGCACCCCAGAGCCGACATCCATGGGGTATTCGACCCCGTCGTGAACAAGATAACAAACCTAATAGTATCAGAAATGGCTGTGGTGAAGGAACGAACCGGGGAAGAGGCAACGGTGAGTAGTCTCCAGGCCGGATAAAGGTGAGACTTGCTGATGTTGGAATTTCCAGCATGTCGTTATAGCTGGGGGGTTTGGTCGTAACGACTATCTCTGCCAGAAGATAGAATACAAGGTCAAAAGCGTGTCTCCCTCGACTCATATCAATCATTACAAAGACTACACAGGGTTAGTTCTCTCGTTCGCTTCTCGCGCTTCAGACTGACCAGTTTCTATAGATGGATTTCGGTGGCTCGAGGTGCCGTCCTGCATGCCATCCAGACAAAGAGCCAGCCAGCACCGTCGATTGTGCAGATCGAAACTCGAGCCTCAGGAGAAAGCTACGGCGTAGGCATTGGCAATGGCGGACCTATCCATTGGCTTGCCCGCTGGGTTAGTATCTCCTTTATGTATGCGCTGGTGGAACCTTTGACTGACTATCTACTCCCCAGGGCGATAGACTCTCTGCCGAGGGCCTGAGCCCACGACCTGTTCCTCCAGAGGCAGTGCGACATTCTCCAGACGGCCGCTGTTTTCTGGATTGGTATCGTGTCAAGGCCCCAGGTGCGAAAGCCGAAATCGTACGCCCCCTGTACTATCGGAATGCCTTGGGTGAGCCAGGCGACTTGCGGTTCGATTTCCACTGGGACGGTACCAAGATGCATTACGTGCTTTGTCAAGGGAACCGGGAACTTCCGTTGACTCTCGGGGAAGAATATGATGCTTGATAGGTAGTGGGAGGAATGTTCTAAATGCTGTATCTCGAGGTTTCGTGTCGTGGGATTGCTCTAGCTGGCTCGGCCTTTGGTGGTCAGGTAGCAGGATCGCCCAGGTGGAGGAAGAGGGCATCATGGTTGCCTCCTTTCTAGATACCAGAGTATTCATAAAGTCTGCAGAAGATCCTACTAGTTGATCCTGAATCTTCACAAGTACGTGTCTAAGGATGCTTGAGCTGTACAACCTGGCCCCGGGGAGCAAGAAAGCTCATGATGAGAGACAGAGGTGCCAGGATATCTAATCTAGAGCTACCTGCCTAGTTAGTCAGCTAAATCAATAGGTGCTTGAGTTGTACTAAGTCTTCCAAGCTTTTTGTTACTCACGATATTAGAGACCCCTTGTCTGGTATCATCAGCCTCTCTAGTGTGGCGCTAGCCTATCAAGCCACACTATCCAAATGCGCAGCTCCATCTCAGCCTCGTTAAGCTTCACATTCACGCAACTCAACAAACATACCTTACACTTTCTCCGACGCGGTCCCAACCACCTGCACTGCCCTCTGAATCCCATCACCCAAGTCAGCGCCTTTTTGCGCGTCTCGCAGCGCCATGGCTACCGATACTCCCAAACTGCTCTGGAATCCCGATAACGTCAAGGATGTCGCAGAGTCGGTTGGCATCAGCTCTCTCAACGAAGAAGCGCTCAAGTGCCTGGCACAGGACGTCGAATACCGGATCGGCCAGGTCATCGTGGAGTCTCTGCGCTTCATGCGCGCCGCCCGCAGAACAACCCTTACCGTTAATGATATCTCCCTCGCGCTCAGGGCGCTCGACGTAGAACCCCTCTACGGCTACGATTCTACGCGTCCGCTACGATACGGCGAGGCCAGTCTTGGACCTGGCCAGCCGCTGTTCTACATCGAGGATGAGGAGGTTGATTTTGAAAAGCTCATCAATGCGCCTCTGCCTAAGGTGCCGCGCGACATGGGTTTTACAGGTACGTTTTCCGGTCGGCGCACGATTCCATGCTGACGTCTTCAGCGCACTGGCTCGCCATCGAAGGTGTCCAGCCTTCCATCCCTCAGAACCCCACGACCTCCGAATCTCGATCGCAGGAACTCCTCCCCAAGGGACCTGGTGCGAATCCTGCCTTGTCCGCCTTGGCAGGCAATGACAATGTCTCCATGAAACCATCTGTTAAGCACATTGTGAGCAAGGAGCTCATACTCTACTTTGATAAAATCCAGGCTGCTGTTCTCGACGACAATCCTGACGAGGAAGTGGTACGCCTACGCCAAGCCGCTCTCGGTTCCGTGAGAGACGACCCTGGCCTGCACCAACTCATCCCATACTTCATCACATTCATCATGGACCGAGTAACACACCATCTCGATGACACCTTCACTCTTAAGCAGATGATGGAGTTAACAAATGCTCTCATCGAGAACAAGAGCCTTTTCCTGGACCCCTACGCCAGTCCCCTGTCAGCGCCCGCTCTTACTTGTCTAATGGCGAGAAAATTGGGCACTGACGAAGGAACGGATGCTCTCAAGGAGCAGTATGATCTTCGACAGCTGGCTGCATCTCTGGTAGGACGGATTGCACGCAAATACTCAGCTTCCAACACACTCCTGCGACCCAAGTTGACCAGGACATGCCTCAAATACTTTCTCGACCCTACCAAACCCCCTGCGGTTCTCTACGGTGCCATCCACGGCCTGTTGGAAGCGGGAGGTCCAGAGGCAATCCGCGTGCTGGTGCTACGTAACTTGCAGACTTTTGACTCGGGGATCCTACAGCCTCTGAAGGAAAAGGCAGAGGGTACAATGGACTACGAGATGCTGGTTCAGGGCATAGTACAAGCTGTGGCTTCGCTGGCAGATCACGTCGAATCAAACACCAACGGAGTCAACGGTACAGCAAACGTCGAGACAGAGATATCTGAACTCAAGGACTTTATCGGATCCATCATTGGGGGAAAGATTGCCTCTGCGGGTAATCGGAGATTGGTCAGGACGATCCTGGATGCTCGATTCTTGGATTAGAGATTTGGCACGTAATATTCACGACAGGCGTATGGCGTTTGGTTGCGAACACCTCACGAGGTATTGGTTAGAACATGCTCAAGCATTTAAAGGCGCTTGTGTACAGATAATAAAATTCTTTGCTCAAAGTTAGAAATGCCCTCAGGCTAATACTCGTACACGAGTTTCTCGTCCTTGCCGTACTCCTTCCCTTATCCATTGTATCATCCACTGCGAACTGTATCATCTATATCCTTCCGTCTTGTGTTCAATTTTGGTGTTTTACAGGAAAGCAACCAGGCCAATGGCTCCGAGGAAACTGGCAGCCCAGATGTACTTGTCGGCCTGGACGATGGTCGTCTTGGCGAAACCCTTGCCGGCGTCGTACAGGAGGTGCTTGAAGCCGCTGATGGCGTGGTAGACGAAGGGGAAGCCCAGCGTGAACTTGATGCCGCCCTTGATGGCGAGGGGGAGACCGGCGGCGAAGCTGGCGATGCTTGCGCTCTCGAGGTGAAGTCCGACAAGAGGAGCGGCGAGGTAGGCGAGGGAGAAGCCGTACATGGTCGCGGAGAGGGTGCAGCCGGTGATTCGGTTCCAGGCGGAGCTACCGAACCATGTCTGCTCGATCTTGTAGATGGCCAGGTGGGGAGAGACGGGGCGGTTGAGGCGCTGGTTGACGAGGATCTGGTGGCCGTCTTGCTGCGAGACCTTGGTAGAACCGACAGCGCTGCGAATGTCAGATGGGGGAAGCTCAATTGATGCCAGGGACGTACCGTAGGGGGGAAGAGGTAGAGATTCCAGCAGCGAGAGCAGCCTTGGGGATGTTCTGGGCGAAGAAGGGCTTGGCCGCGCCTATAGAGCTGTTAGATATCGGAATGTCGAGGCTCGGGTTGCGAAAGTACCTTGACGAAGAGCGGCGACGCCAACACGTTGAGCGAGCATCGTGGCGGATTGTGAGTATCTATCGATTTCGAAGAGAAAGTGTTCAGCCAAGGTCCGGTCAACGATATCGTCAGCGTCGATGCTTCAAGGGCGAGATTCGTACAGTATCTGGGTATCAATGATGATGGCTTCCTATTCTCGAGACATCGGAACGGGCCTCCTCGGCTTCTCGGTCCAATCAGCCAATGGGATGATGTCAATTCCTCATCTCGGAACACACGTGACCCACTCTCACGTGCAGCTCTCGTATGACTAAGCAGATCGTGAGTTTTGTTATCGCGATTTTTTTTTTTTGTCGCGCCTCGATTTTCCTTTCTTCTTCAGATAGACAAGAACGTTCGCCGCACGCTGTCTAGTGTGGAGAGTGGACAGCATTGTAGGCAGGGTCTTTGGACTCGAGAACAGTTCTTAGAAGAATATTGGGAAATTGGATCCGTCGTTAATCTCGACACCTAGTTTTCCCGTCTAGGTGTCGTTTCATTTTTGAGATCTACATTCTGATGTGTGTGCTTGTGATGCCTGACGCTTGAAGGCGAGCTGGACTAGTGTTTCCGTGATTGTGACTGGCCTAAATAGCTGTGGTTGATGACTTGTCGTGCTCAACGCGTGGAAGTCAATTGGATAGGGACATGGCATGCTGTCGAACACTGAACAACGACGTTGGCATCACGTCTGAATACGTAAAGCTTGTCGTTGATGCTGTCTTGAAGGTGAAAGGGGTTTGAGTTTGTACAACTGAACTGCGCAAGAACCCGTCAATCTGTTGGATGCTTCTCGTCTTCATGGTCTGCCCAGCTCACCGCTGAGAGGTGTTCAAACAGCACCAGGACAAAGAAAACGAAACTGATGTCAGACTAGAAAAGATTGAGTGTCCAATGCTATAACAATGCCCTGTTCTTGCAATGTTTGCAATCACCATGTTCACTGCTCACACATATCCATAAACCCCTATATAACTCCAATCTCTTCTGAGCAACCCCAAGCCATCTGCCAAGTTCAGAAGGACCAGACTCTCTCCAACAGGCATGTTCCTTTCCATCACAATCAAAATGGCTCCCCCAAGTACTCTCATGACCGTCATCTCCCCCACCACAACGCTCGATGTCCCAGCACAGCACTACGATAGCAAGCCCAGCCACTCTGACAGGATAGTCATCATTGGGTTGACAGTCGGTATGGCGGTGCTGTTTCTGCTGTTCATTGCTCCGTGCTGTTGTTTGCAGTTTCTAGCTCATCGGCAGCAGAAGAAGGAGCAGAACAAAGAGGCTTCGATACGTGGTATAGCCGCGGGAAGACGAAATGCGTCGGGCGTGAATGGGCGAGTTGAGGCGCAGGTTTAGGTAGGTTATGGTGAGTACTGTATCATTTTCATGTAGGTTGGATAAGAGAGATTGAGGTTGTTTGGGATGGTTGTAAGTGAATGTGGCTGCCAGTGCCAGACATAGATGGCATGATACGTTTGCAGGCTCTGGCATTCATCTTCAAACAGCTAAATGATCTCGTTCTGGACAAATCTATCATCTTCTTCACTTGTCGTTTACTACAAATAAATATACAAGAGTATTCACGTAATACATCGATCCGTTGCAGTGTTTGCTCAGTAGCAGTGAGTATCATCATCTCTCCTCTAAACTTCCAACTCGCATGAACCCCTCGTGAGCATCTTCAAGTCAACTCAGTGGCAGAAGAATCCTCTACAGACACTCGCTAACAATGTCAGTCCTCTCGGTAAGCCATCACCCTATCTCGCATCACAACTAACATCCCAGTCAGCCGCAACAATGACAAACACCATCCACCGCCGCATGAGCGACACCAGTGTAGTCATCGCCATCGCCATCAGCTGCACCGCCATCGTTGTCATCTTCCTTGCAGCAGTTTCCTTTTGCAACTGGCGCTCTCGCCCTAAATCGCCTACTGATAATCGCGGCCGCGACCATGACGATTCTGATGCCAACTCTGACATCGAACTGGATGCCATGCCCGATGGTGCTTTGAACCATCCTCTTGTGCGGGGGAGCAATGGTGCAGGACATGTTTATCCGGTTTTTGAAGCGACTCGTGAGCATCATGCTCATGTTCAGAAGTGAGGATGTGCGAGGCGGGTGATTACAATGATGGGCGGACGGAAGGTCAAGGACTGGCTGAGGGGAAAGAATTGTTAGCCAGACATATAAATAATAATAAGACCACAAAATTCGGTGGTACATGACTTGTGACTGTCAACAAAATATATTGATACAATGCTCCTTGGTATCCATCCCTACCAACGCCGCTCTATAAATCCAACATGCACCCTACTCCATGGAGATTCCCAGCTCATTATCATACCAGCACCAAACTTTTCACAGTACAATCTCATAACCCTAGCCCATATTGCCCATTGGGAAATTGCCAAATAACGAAACAGGCATCTGACTCTGCTGCTGCTGTGGCGGTTGGTTCATGTTGCCCCATAAATCCCAATTCAGCGTCGACACATCCAAATAGTTACCCAAAAATGGATCAAGATCGGTCATTTGTTGTGAGTTTTGCGGAGGGTGGGCGACAGGTTGTTGTGGCGAGGGTTCTGAAGTCCGGTTTTCGCTCTTGACGACGTCTCGTAGGCGGTAGATAAAGTTTGGTGTCTCGAGGGGCTGGCCAGCTGCTCTAAAGGCTTGTTCTCGGTTCTTCCAAGCTTTCAGGGTTGTTTGGGCTTGGATGTAGTATGTCTTTTGGGAGATGTCGAGGAGTTCGGTGTGGTAGTGGTAAATCTTCTGAACCATGTTCCATGCGCGGTCGGCGAGAGAACCAGTCGGTCGTTGGCAGAGCTGCTTGGTCATGACTGTAAAGATATCAATCTGGAAATGAAACTTGAGAAACCAGAGGAAACCAGTCTGATCCATCACGCCGTAAGCATCTGTGCTGTGCTCGTTGTTCATCAACACAATCTTGAAGAGGTTATCCTTCTTGTCCAGAATTTCTGTTCCCCATTCTGGTTGCTCCTTCATGGGGACCAGTATCTCCCTCATCTTGCTGCAGATCATCGGGCGAATGCTGAGAGCGGCGATGTGTACGTTTCCAGCCGTTGGGTCGATGTAACGAGCCTCAACTTCAAGTAAATTCTGCTCCAAATTGTCCACCAAATCTCGGTACTGCTGGATGCTCGGTAGAATGGCAGGGTCTTGGCCTTCAAAGTCGTGTCCCATGACGGCAGCTTCTAGTCCGGGGGTTCCGTGGAGTGATTCGGCGTTGACGAGAAACTTGGCGATCTGGTAGCCGATTAGACAAAAAGCCATTTCAGTAGGACCCTCGCGGGGTAGAACGGGTTCGATTGATCCTGGGAAAAGGTCGGCATCGTTCACGTTTTGTGGCATCTTGGTGTCCCAGCTGCTTGGGAGAAGCGAGTGGCTCAAGCCAGAGACTAGGGCGTTCTTGGCATCCTGGAGGATGATCTGCCACCACATACGTCGTCGCATTTCGGTCTCAAAGGCGTTAAGTCCCAGGTAGTCGCCGTCACGGTGATAGCCCATCTTTTGCGCGATACGCACGACCATTCCACTGAGAATCCAGGCCGCATGTCGATCATATCGGTTCTGAAGAGATAACTGGAATCGTCAGCAATAGTTACATAGGGGTATGGTTGCCTTACCAAGTATAGCAGCAATGCCTGCAGAGCCACCATGTCGTAATTTTTGAGAAAGTTAAACTTTGTGAGTGCCACTTTGGTACCAATGGTGTACCTTCGAAGAGCTTCATCCCGAGATGTTCCCAGCATCTGAAGACATTCAGCCTCGGTAAGGGACACTGTGGCCATGGTAAAGATGGCGAATAAGAGAGCCTGGTAGTTGAGTGGGATCTTGTTGATATCGGTAGCCATCTCCAATGCGAATGGTTGCACTGATGGCACGTGGATGATCTTGGTCAGAGGATTGACGCGATCGACAAATAACTGCCAGAGTCTAAAGATGTGAACTGGCTCAGGCTGGAGTTCCTCGCATGATCTGGTAGCTGAATCGGCTGGTATCAGAAGATCGATATTGTAATCTGGACTCAGGTCTTCAGAGCCCATAACACTGGCTTCTTCTGGATCATCGGTGTCGACGATTTCTCTCATGGCTTGGAGCTTGAGTAGCATTAGTGCATGTTAGCAGGTCAAGTCAGTAGACTCACCTCATCGTGGATATTAGCCCAGAGATAGCTGTCCATGAATCGCACCCCGCCTTCTTCCTTGACCATCTTGCCAGTTGGTTTCCACTTGGACTGGCCATCGATGTTGGTGGGTGTCGCAGGATACGTATCTACGGTCCCATTTGTAGCAGGTGAATGACCAACAGCAGAAGGAGATGGTGCAGAACCATCGGCGTATTGTTTTAGAAGCTGCTCACATCGTGCAAGTCTTTCCTGAAGGTCCTGATTGGGTCTCCGACGCTTCCTTGCTGGAGCGGGAGTGCTTGGAGTACAAGTGACATTTGCCTATAGTCGCATTAATGACTAGAGCTGGTAAGAGATTGCGGCTGTAGATGCTCACCTTGATACAATTTGAACAGGGCGTGTTACGGTCGCATTTGATCTTGCGATGCTGACACAAGACGCAGGCCAGGACACGAGGGTTCTTGTGCGATACAGAGCCCGGCCCGTGGGTGATATTGCTTGACATGACCACAGAATTGAGCAAAACCTCACATAACAATCATATAGTCTCGTCTTGTCGCTGAGAGTTGAAGGTTGAGTAAAATATCCTATGACGCCAGCGTGAGCTCCACCGTACAGTACGTACAGCTCAGGCAGGCGGGTAGCTGGGGTTCTTCAGAAGCCCGCTTCCGTCCGTTTCACTGGGGTCAGGTGAGTGAGGGGGAGGGGCAGCAGAGCAGAAACGCAAACGGAACAAAAGGATCTGTCAGGACTGATAGAGGAGGAAAAGAAACAAAAAGTGATGAATGTGAAATGGTTATGATCGATCAGACACTCTAGAAACTCCGTCCCTGGTGTGAAAAAAACGATAAGCAAGCAGGGCAGCTGACGATACCGTAAGATGCCGAGTCTACCGGTATAATGTAGAGCCGGTTATGGCTGGCTGAGGTGGTGCTTTGCTTGTCTTTGTCTCTTCTGGGAGGTAGCCCAGGGGCTGGCCTGTTGTTTTTTCCAGGTCCCGTCTGTTCGGATCGGATTGTTCAGTGGTTGTTGAAGATTGTGCTAGGTACTTAGGTAGTTGTCCAATGACTCTGCATAAAAAGGTGGTATAGACGAATAAAATAATTAATAAACGCGCATACCGGAATCCGCGTATTCCGTTTATTCAACAATCACATCAGTTGGTAGGTTTCAGGGAAGTGTCCGTAGACATAGGGAAATAAATATAGAAAAATACCCCTTTGTTTAGGGCTGTATCGGTTCAGGCAGATATTTGATTCTCCATACCGTACTCCGTAAATAGACGCAAACCTGGCCGCAGAGATCCAAAGGGCAAGGTTGATATAAAGCTGCCTGACAGGAAAATCGCTGATGCATCCCTTGAGTTTCAAATGGTCGATATGCTGAAATCGAATCTTCTAGCTGAAACTGACCAATGAGGACCCCCTGGACCCGAACTCGAGCCCCCGTCGCTGGATACCTAGCGGCGGACTTTTGTCATCCAAGTCCGCCGCAACGGACCAAAGCACCAGCCCTGCCCGATGACTCAATATGTATCAGGATTGGTAACTTACCGTATGCAGACTGACGGACATTAAATACCTTAGGTACTTAAAACCTTGGTCCGATACTATCCCAAAGGGTCTGTAGTTTAGCATCGCACCCTACATACATACGTCAGACCTTTAATACTGTAACAACCGTCTAGTTAAAACTTTTGATCAAATATTTTTGTAAACTTCGGATGCTCCGGAAGGTTAAGCCACTTAAACTAGGTAGACCATCTAGCCCTCTCAAACCCAAACGCTCAGTTCAGGTCCATGATTACATATAGGCTCTCTCCGCAGTCTTTGTGTTGCTCTCACGTCGGGTTGTATGAACAGCCCGGTCCCATGTGGTTTTCGTATCCTTGCCTATGTTTCGCGTTCTGATGATATGCCCCCACGGGCGTGATATCACCGAGTGTCCGGTGAACCTATCAGGCTCTAAAGAGTAGCGATTCATCAAAACTAACTTCTATCATGATCTGCCGCATTAAAGGTCTTGTGCCTGATTCGGGTGAGCGGGTTATTATCGTCCTTTCATCCTAGGCCAGCTGACCATTATGCAAACTGGCATGATCCTTGATTAAGCAAAGACGTCGCATAGATCGTCTCGGTATGGTAAATTCAATGCCAACTCATCGCGATTACGGTAAGCCCTATGAAATAGTTCAACGGCAGTTGCTCACTCTTGACGTCTTCGGAGTCCGGTTAGGACTTTAGAGTCACTTCGATTTGTAAGGCAGACTTGATCATTCACACGGCATTTCAGACCTGTCGAAACATCGAATCCCTCTGTTATTCGTTTAGACGGGTCAACGGCTAGCATCCGAGTCGATCCGATGACGGCATATAGTGTCGGTATCTTGTTTCAAGAGCGATAACCTAGTGGCCTGCTTTACTCGAACCACAATTCTCATATCATGGCCGTAAGTGACGTTATTGTTAAATACCAGCTCCATGGAACGGACTCGGATCGTGGCACCGCGGGATGACTGTTTGTATTGATCACTCTGAAAACATGGACCCCAGCTCTGGCCCAGAGTCTCCTTCATCTTTGTCCACGGGCACTTTTTCCACGGGCACCAAAGACGTTCTAGCTTTCTTGCGAACAACCCGTCGATGAGTTGAACTTTTCAAGTGCTGTTTCCATGCCTCTTCTGTCATTAACACTGTATGACAGACTTCGCATGTCCGTTTGCATGGTGTTGCTTTGGGTGGAGGATTTCCAACCTGCGTGAGAACCTCATTTGCAAGTGACGAAACCTCAGTCGGTGCTGGACGCTCTTCGCCTTTGAGGAACTGCTCCGTCAACTTTACAGCCGGCTCAACGACGTTCTGTCCATATGCTGAAACATCCGTACTGTCCAGAAGATACATGTTGTTCATAGCTTCTGGGCCAATCTCACGTATCCGCGGAATCTGCTTCAGTCTGATCCAGCGAGTCTGATAGACAGCGTATCGTCTCGTTGCCGACTTCATCTCTTCAAGTCCTGCGCTCTTCAATTTCTCGAGCTCGGTGGCTTCTCGCCCTTCGTCGACAGCAGACAGGTATGGCTCGAATTGCTTGTATCCAATTGACTGCCATATCCCCTTTGTCATGTCAAGTCGTTGACCTTCCACTTCCTTTTTATGCTTAAATTCGTAAAGTTGTCGGACTTCATCCATGAGTCCACTCGTCTGCATCTTATCTACTCGCTTATCGAGACGATCTCGCAAGACATCTCGTTCCGAGTAGACCCAGAATAGCAGATTCTCCCAGGGCTGTTTGTTTGCGTCCTGCTGTGCTGCTTCTTTTCGGGCTTGTTGCTCAGCATAGTATTCGGATGCTCTTTTGCCGCTCCGAAGGTAAATCTCCAGGGATCGTTGGATCTTGCGACGATCCTTGGGGTGCCATCGATCGGCCATGACAGGGTCAACCTTTCGTAGCTCATGGAGCATAACTTCGCCTGACTCTTGAAGAATTGGAAATGACTTGGACATATCCAGGTCTATGTCATCCAGGATAACCTCTTTGAAGAGTATAGGGTCGACATAATACTGTGAGCCGCCGACGAGAATGGGCAACCGTCCTCGGCCACGAATCTCTCGTATTGTCCGAGTCGCCTCCCTCTTGAAATCGTCAACATCCCATGGTTGCTCATCCAAAGAAATATGTCCAAGAAGATGATGAGGAATACCACGCTGTTCTTCAGTGGTGATTTTGTTAGTAATGATTGGCAGTCCATTATACAGCTGCATAGCATCTGCGTTGATGATTTCACCATTCAACCGAGTTGCAAGCTCAACTGCCAGCTATATCCGTCAGAGCCATTCTATCTTGCGTGATGCTACACTTACATCTGACTTGCCCGTGCCCGTTGATCCTAGCACAACCACCAGGGGTTCTGCCGGGGGTTTTCTAGACATTGTACTGACATTTCGCCTGAGAATCGGACCCAGGCGACGAAGCATCTAATATAATAAAGCCATAAATATTGATTCCCAATATTGCCCTTGTCGTTTTACAGTGGATGAACAATATTGAGTCAAATCCTCAAATGTTCCAGAACAGGCAAAGCGGAGTCATTTTGACGGAAAAATTACGGCAGGGTTCAAAGCTTAGCTTCAATTGGTCTCAGAGGCTGAAACCCCTTTGTTCACAGCTAGCTAGCTCCCTATAGGCTATTACCTGGAGAAGCTCGGGGAATGGAACCTTAGCTGGAGCTCCCCATCTCGAGTCGCCCCTGGCGGTCACGTGCCACTCCACTCCCAATATTGGACACATCTACAATTTGGGCTCATTGAAGCCAGATCGCCAACCTCCGCCCCCCCAGCTCTCCTTTAATTATTCTCCCATCGACCCTTCAAATCGCCTGGGCTCTTCAAGCTCAGCATCTTCCTTTTCTTTCCTTCTTTCTTCCCCTCATTGGATGAAATAGTCCAATTCTTGTTCTGTCCCTTTAGTATCGTTGCCCACCATGAGTTCCCGTAAGTTGTTCTCCTTGTCAGGAGCTGAAAGCTCAAAACTTTTTGAGCTCGCGCGACATCACGAAATGGCGCGCAATTGCCAATTGGCATCGCGATCATGGGACAAAAAGCTAACAGTGGCTGCGCTCGATAGTACGATTCCTCGATCTGGTGAAGCCGTTCGTGCCGTTCCTCCCAGAGGTTCAGCAGCCGGAGACCAAGATCCCTTTCAACCAGAAGCTCATGTGGACGGCCCTCACCCTCCTCATCTTCCTGGTCATGAGCCAGATGCCTCTCTACGGTATCGTCTCCTCCGACAACTCGGATCCTCTATACTGGCTGCGAATGGTCATCGCAAGTAACCGTGGTACACTGATGGAATTGGGTATCACCCCCATCATCTCCTCTGGCATGGTGTTCCAGCTCCTTGCTGGCACCCACATGATCGACGTCAACCTTGACCTCAAGTCCGACCGCGAGCTCTACCAGACCGCCCAGAAGCTTCTGGCCTTCATCCTCTCCGCCGGTACTGCTACTGTCTACGTCTTCTCTGGTCTCTATGGACCTCCCTCCGACCTTGGTGCTGGTATTGTCTTCCTCCTGATCCTCCAGCTTGTTGTTGCCGGTATGATTGTTATCCTCCTCGACGAGCTCCTCCAGAAGGGCTATGGTCTTGGCAGCGGTATCTCTCTGTTTATTGCCACCAACATCTGCGAGTCCATCATGTGGAAGGCTTTCTCTCCCACCACCATCAACACTGGCCGTGGTCCCGAGTTTGAGGGTGCCGTCATTGCCCTCTTCCACCTCCTCATGACCTGGCCCAACAAGCAGCGAGCTCTCCAGGAGGCTTTCTACCGCCAGAACCTCCCCAACATCATGAACCTCCTTGCTACCATTGCCGTCTTCGCTGCTGTCATCTACCTCCAGGGTTTCCGCGTCGAGATCCCCGTCAAGTCTTCTCGCCAGCGTGGTGCTCGTGGATCTTACCCCGTCCGCCTGTTCTACACCTCCAACATGCCCATCATGCTGCAGTCCGCTCTTTCTTCCAACGTCTTCCTTATCAGCCAGATGCTCTACTCCCGCTTTTCTGAGAACCTCCTTGTCCGTCTCTTTGGTGTCTGGGAGGCTAAGGATGGTTCTTCTCAGCTCCACGCTGCTTCTGGTCTCGTCTACTACATGTCTCCTCCCCAAAACCTGAAGGAGGCTCTTCTCGACCCTATCCACATGAGCGCCTACATTGTCTACATGCTCGGTGCTTGCGCTCTCTTCTCCAAGACCTGGATTGAGGTTTCTGGCTCCAGCCCTCGTGATGTTGCCAAGCAGCTCAAGGATCAGGGTCTCGTTATGGCTGGTCACCGTGATCAGTCCATGTACAAGGAGCTCAAGCGCATCATTCCTACTGCCGCCGCCTTTGGTGGTGCCTGCATTGGTGCGCTCTCCGTCACCAGTGACCTTTTGGGCGCTCTTGGTTCCGGTACCGGTACTCTGCTTGCTGTCACGTAAGTTGAATCTCTTGTTTAATTCTTCCATCGCAATACTAACATGTTACAGTATCATCTACGGCTATTTCGAAATCGCCGCCAAGGAGGGTGACATGGCCGGTATGAAGGGCATGATTATGGGCTAAACAGCCATCTCAAACATGAGGCACGATTGATTCAGCCTTACGTTGTGGTCCGCTAAGACGGGCGTTTGTGTATCAACAGTAAAGAGGATGAAAAGATAAAATAGTTAACATGTTTTTGTTTCCTTTTTGCTCAACAAGCCGGAGGAGTCGGGGTACTGAAGTCATCTTGGCTGGAAGGAATTCGGACAGTTATTAAAGGCTGTCGTGTCAATATTAACAAAAATAGCTCAAGAGCTGTCATGACGGTTTGATTGGAGAGGGACGCCATGTCTGGAAGCCACGTGTGTGGTACGGATGAGCTCCGTTGTAACTCGAACGATCTATGAATGACATATATTAATGCCAATTGTGCAACGTTTGGTTTCGCTTGACTGCTGCAGGGTAGTTTACATAGGAATGAACAAGAGATGACTGTAAGGTACTGTACACCGTTACATAGGATAGGTACACAACCAAAGAGTAAACAGTTATACGCCAAAGCCTAGTTCACGGATTGTCTCGGCGCTGCAGGTCTCACCGGTCCTGCAGAAGAAGTGAGGCCCTCGCGTGACGGTCCAACAGGAACACACCCAGTTCAACTGCAAGGTCATCCAACTTCGATTGGTCAAAGACGTTGAATGTAACCGCTACACGGCATTAGAACGTGGGGGAAACGTTTTCTCCCCGGGGACCTGGAGTAAACGATAAGGAACGAGTGTATTAGCCGGCGGTGAGGGATAGCGAATCACGAAAGAGGGGATTGTGATCAACCAGACGGTTTGCATGTGTTGAGGCTGAATGCACGACACATGTCTAGTTGTACAAAGGTTGTGTTGCTCGACAATGTGATTGTTGGAAAATATTGCGATGATAGCACGGTATATATAGAGCCTCAATGGCGTTTTTGACGATTGATAGGTGAGAAACAAAGTTATAAGCGATTGGATGAGGCGTATGTCCTGCATATGATAGAGCTACGGACACAACTGTGATGGGTGCGCTCAGACCACAGGGTGGCATGTAAGCTGTTGAAGACATGATCCCTGTTCCAAGAGGACGCAAGACTTCAGTTCATGTGATGTTGTGGGGATGGTTCTTTCTAGGGTAGTTTGTGGTGATGGTTGACTGGAACGTTTGTTGCGAATTGCATGATATAGTTAGGATGCAATGGTAAATATTGACTAAGCAAAGGAGACAATATGTTTGACCTTTATGAATGATCTTTGTATGTAGATAGGAGGTATCTGGTCGATGAAAGAACAATCACGAGCCTCTTGAATGGTGATATTCCATGATCGTCGGCATAGCCAGGTAGAGGATGATTGTCAAATGTTTGATATGTCAGTGTAACCGATTGAGTATTAGTCAGGCTCTTTCAATTAACTTCAATTGTCGATCACGATCCCAATTATCACTGTGTCTACCAAATACAGGTACGTGCGTGGAAATCAGTCAAGACTACTGGCATTTCACTGATTCACAAATAACTGCACGTTCCTACGCGTCAACTCACGATGTTTACCACTCCTAGTAAGCCCTTTAACCTCGCCCTTTGTTTATTCGAGTCGGTCCATCATTTTACAGTCTGTCGGTACTAATTCCGAGCCAATGTCTCTAATACCTGTTAGATAAGACTGTCGGAGCGAGTAACCTGATGCAAAGGGCACTTTTGTAGCGGTCGGTTAGGTATCTTCAAGTTTGAACGCTAACTGGGTCTGTGTGGTTAAAATACCTTGTCTAGACATGTCTGAGTTTTGGCGCAACGTCGATATCCTTGTGACTTTTTACAAGGATTATTTGCTATCAATCAGTAGCATTTGAACGTGCAAGCAAACATTTATTGCATTCAATTGATTGTGTTGATTTGAGAATCTGACACCTGCTTGAAACGGAGTAGACAAGTGATTGCCCCCGCAGCCCCGTCATACGTATATAGAACTGGGGTAACAGACAGATTGGATTGCTCGCATCATTAATTGCTAATGTTTGTCATGACGACTTGCGAGAAATTTGTAGTGGGTAAATGGGTCCAAAGGATGGATCGTTGAGGCTACAAGTTTTGTCAAAGCTAATTCCAACAGTCAAGGAATACCCCGACGCCAACTAAAGTCAAGGCTTTCGCAAAGTTACAGAGCAGGGCAACATTGCATTCATCGTCTGTAGGGATCGCATCGTATCGTATCGTAGCCATCGTTACCTCACCTACTGAACTAAGCCATCGCTGCCCCACTAAAGCTTCATAGCTTGCATCTTACTCCCTGGACACCGACACATGCCCTCAGGCCTCCACTTTCCTCTCCCCCCGGTGCATCCAACAAGAGTAAAGTCTTGTCTTGCGTGCGTGCGTGTGAATCTATAACGTAGTTATCTCGGAACTTGTGTTGTTTGTTGGGCCTGGCCTACCCCGTCCGTTCGTTCGGTTCGTTTTGGTTCTTCTTCAACGGCCGCCGCACTCTTCGTCTCTTCCTCCTCTTTTCTTAGTTCCTGCAAGTCACGGTCAAAACTTTTTTGTTTCGACTGCATTCTTCATCTAATACTTCTATTGGCATCGGTACCGATATTCTTTCATTTTTTCTGTTTCTTGCAGAGTATTCTTTTTGGCCCTTTCACGCTCTCTACAAAGACGTCATTCGTCGGAGGGTGTCCAGAGTTCGCATATAAACTCTGACGGCATCTGATCGACGATCAGCACGACAATCTGCGACCTCGGCATCATCATACGTTCGATTGAGTGCGATCGCAAAGAAGCGCAAACACGGTCTTGAGATAGCAATTCTTGTCGACCATCCGGGTTCTGCAATCGCCCACGTCACGCCACGCTCTATCAATGGTGCTTGCAAGTGACGCTTGACCGGGATCATTGCGACAAAGCTCCGACAAGACTGCACAATACAATAACCTTGACTGCCTCGAGACCTCCGACGCCGCAGCCACCGCTACCGGTCCGACGCACTCGTGCAACCCACCCTGAACCCGTTATCTGAGAACTCTTTTGACGCACAATCCCGTCAATCCATTCGCGACATCTCGAATTACTTGCTTTCCGCTTCTGTGGCAGTCCCCACACCAGTGAGCTCGACACGAGCAATATCTCTGAAACCATGGGGTTTGCGCAGTGCAATGGAAATGTATGGGAGATAGACGACTTCAGCGTCTGCTTCCGAGCAGAGTTTGTGCTCCCTTGCCCTGACCCCTGCGCTTCGAAAAGCTTGCTGACCGTTTTTCTTGTACCACTCTAGCTACCTGCAGATTCTGTTCCCTCTGATCGCCCTGTTCGTTTCCGTTGCGCTTTTGGCCTGGACAAGCATTTCCCGTTTACTAAGCTCCTGGTCCAAGTCCAAAGCTAGGTATCAACAGCTTGCAAACGAGGACCGACGCCACAGCCATACCGATCTTCCTCCCGAGCAAGTTGACGATTCTGATGACGATGATGGGCTTGAGATTAACGGTGGTCGATTGGCCCTTGTCAAGACTACTACTCGTGGTTCTATAGTCCAAGCCGACACACCTACTGGACAATTGGTTTCGCAGGTCGTAGAGGAACTTGCCATCGCTGGTCTCATTGTTGTAAACGTTCTTCAGCTAATTGAAGGCAGCAAGGGGCGTAACAGCCGTCCTGCAGCTATTACTGGTCTACTGATTTGGATCTACGTTTTCATCCTCTCGACTCTGCGTCTGGTGCTCGGCGCTCTGAAACGGCGTGGTCCTCATCTCTGGAACCATACAGCTTTTCTCTACAGCTTCAACTGGGTTCTTTCAATCTTTCTTCTTCGATCCGCCTTCCTCCAAGATGACATTAGCCGAACCGACAAGATCACAACGATTGTGGAGTTTGCACTTATTACACTCCTTTTCTTAATGGCAATGACCACTAGAAAGGGCAACAAAACAGTCCGCTTGGAATGGGAGGACGGAATTGAACCCTCGCGTGAGCCCCTGGCCAGTCTGTTTTCTCTGGCTGTGTTTGGCTGGGTTGATGCGATTGTCTACAAGGGCTGGAAGGCTCCAATGGAAATGGAGCATGTCTGGAACCTGTTGCCAAAGGACAAGGCCGCTGCTGTTATTGCTGATTACCGCCAGATGAAACGAACTGGTTCTCTCGCGGTGCATCTGCTCAAGTACTTCAAGCGGGACTTGCTACTTCAATGCGCCCTCGCCGTTCTTGCTGGTCTCTTTACGTTTGCGCCAACCCTTCTTCTGAAGGTAATTCTCGAATTCGTTGAAAACTATACCGAAGCATTGAAGAAGGGAAGCGATCCCAAACTACCGAAGAATGTCCTCTGGCTCTATGTCATTGGCCTTCCTGTAGTCGATCTAATACGTTCATACGCCGATAACCAAGCCCTCTGGATTGGTCGAAAGATCTGCATCCGTGTCCGAGCTCTCATCATCGGCGACATCTATGCCAAAGCGCTTCGTCGCAAGGCTGCCACAGGCAAGGACAAGGTGCTGCTTGAAGACAAAGTTAGCTCCCCCAAGGAAGACGAGACACAGAACGGTTTTGTTGGAAAGATTAAGCGGGCCTTGAGCATGAAGAAGGACGATAAGAAAGCTTCTCCCAACGATGCCGAATCTGCCAACGAGAGTATCAAGGACGACAAGAAAGACGATTCTGGTGACGAGCAGGCCAACATGGGTACCATCATCAACCTCATGTCTATCGACAGTTTCAAGATTTCCGAAGTAACTGCGTACCTGCACTTTCTGTGTGCTTCCGCTCCTACGCAGCTGGTTATTGCAGTTGTACTGCTCTGGCAGGTCATGGGTCTCAGTGCTATCCCTGGCATCATCGTCATGGTCCTTCTCCTGCCTGTCAACTACGGTCTTGCTCGGGGTTTCACCATCACTTCGAAGAGAATTCTTGCAGCCACCGACAAGCGTACTAATGTAACCAATGAGGTCCTGCAAAACATTCGCATCATCAAGTACTTTGCCTGGGAACAGCGCTTTGGCCGTATCATTGACGAGAAGCGTCAGCTGGAACTAAAGGCTTTGCGTTCGAGGTTCATGGTCTGGGCACTGGCTGTGGCTATTTGGAACTCCGTGCCCGTCCTCATCACCTTCTTCTCGTTCCTTGTTTACACGGTCTTCGAGGAAAAGCCCCTGAAGCCATCAATCGCCTTTACAGCCATGTCACTCTTCATGCTCCTCCGTGTCCCGCTAGACCAGTTTGGTGATATGTTCGCCCACGTCCAGGAAACCAAGGTTTCCATCGATCGTGTGGAGGATTTCCTCCAGGAGGAGGAGACCGACAAGTACATTCAGCTTGGCTTGGATAATGTGGATGACGAAGGTGTCCGGCGAATTGGTTTCAGCAACGCTACTCTTACGTGGGGTAGCAAAGACACTGTTGCTGAGGATAGTAACCGTGCTTTCCGACTCATGGATTTGGACATTGATTTCAAGATCGGCAAACTGAACATCATCGCAGGTCCTACAGGTTCTGGAAAGACATCCATGCTGATGGGTCTTCTTGGTGAAATGACTCTGCTAGAAGGAGGCGTTTACTGTCCCGGTGGCCGCAGCCGAGAAGAGGTTCATCCTGATCCTGAGACTGGTCTCGCCAACACGATCGCTTACGTCGCACAATCCGCTTGGTTGGTCAACGCAAACGTCCGCGAAAACATTCTCTTCTCTGCGCCATTTGATGAGCAACGGTACCGCAATGTCATTGTGGCTTGTGCACTTGAACGCGATCTCCAGATTCTCGACCACGGCGACGAAACACTGGTCGGAGAGAAGGGCATTACACTTTCTGGTGGACAGAAGCAACGTATTTCTCTTGCTCGTGCCCTCTACTCCAACTCTGCCCATCTGCTACTTGACGACTGTCTCAGCGCTGTTGACTCGCACACCGCGCAATGGATCTTTAGCAACTGCATTCGTGGACCCCTCATGAGAAACCGTACTTGTGTCCTCGTCACACACAATACGACGCTTTGTGTTCCTTCTTCCGACTATGTGGTTCTTCTTGAGAATGGACGAGTTGACATTCAGGGTCCTTCGGCTGAGGTTATTGCGTCCGGCAAGCTTGGTGAGGAGATTCAAAAGTCTCACCCCGGCTCAGCCAATCCTTCGCGCATTCCCTCTCGTGTTCCCTCAAGCGTCGGCGATGACGAAACCACTGTTAACGGCCAGGGCGATGCTCTCGATGGTGTGGATAGTTCTAAGAAGGACGCTCAGAACAAACCCAAAAAAGATGCCATGGAAGAAACCAAGGCCACTGGGTCAGTCAAGTGGCCCGTTCTCAAGCTGTACCTTCAGTCTATGGGCCCTTGGTGGTTCTGGATTGTTGCTCTCTTCGTCTTTATTTCCCAGCAAGTTTCCGGATTGGCCACCAACCTCTGGGTCCGTGTATGGGCGAACCAATACGTCCTTGGTACAACAGAGTCAAAGGTCATGCCGGCTATGTACTCTTCTACACAGTTCAACGCTGTCGGCTTTGCCAACGTCGTCCGACTCGGCTCTGCGGAAGACCTGAAGCCTCTCGATGGGTCCTTTTCTACTCAAGGCCACCCGCACGGGGTCAACGCCATGTACTACTTGACCGTTCTCGCTGCCATTGGAATCGCCGGTGCTCTGGCAGCTCTCTTCAGAGATCTCTGGATCTTCCTGGGTTCGTTGACGGCATCAAAGGGCATCCACGATCGGTTGATAGCAGCTGTGACGCGAGCCAAGTTCAAATTCTTTGATGTCACGCCACTAGGCCAATTGATGAACCGATTCAGCAAGGATCTGGAGGCGGTTGATCAGGAAATTGCACCTGTGGCAATTGGCGTGATCAGCTGTGGCATTTCTCTAATGATGACGGTTGGCTTGATTGCATACATCACACCCAAATTCTTGTACGCCGCTGTTGGTATTGCTGTTCTGTTCTACCTCATCGCCGCTTTCTACCTCCGAGCTTCTCGCGATCTGAAGCGTCTCGAGGCGGTTCAGCGCAGTCCTCTGTTCCAGCAATTTGGAGAGACATTGAGTGGTATGACAACCATTCGAGCTTACGGTGACGAGCGACGATTCATTCGAGACAATTTGGAAAAGATCAACACTCAGAGTCGACCCTTCATTTACCTGTGGGCATGCAATAGATGGCTGGCCTTTAGGGCTGATCTTGTGGGAGACTTGGTGGCCTTCTTTGCCGGCATGTTCCTTATCCTTAATCTTGGTAAGACGGACCCCGGAGCCGCGGGTATTTCCCTGAGCTACGCATTGAGCTTCACTGAGAGTGTGTTGTGGCTTGTACGCCTTTATGCCATTAACGAGCAAAACATGAACTCTATGGAACGTATCAAGGAGTATCTCGATGTTGAGCAGGAGGCGGAAGCTGTTGTCGAGGACAGCCGACCCCCAGCAGACTGGCCTCGTAAGGGGTCGGTCGAGTTTGTGGACTACACAACAAGTTACCGAAAGGAGCTCAACCCTGTGTTGCAGAACATTACGCTCAAGATTGAGCCGCAAGAAAAGGTCGGCATCGTTGGGAGAACAGGTGCAGGCAAGAGTTCTCTGGCCCTGGCGATCTTCCGAGCGCTAGAGGCAGACAAGGGCAAGATTCTGATCGACGGACTTGAGATTGGCAGCATTGGTCTTCAGGATCTCCGAGAGAACATCACTATTGTGCCTCAAGATCCTACACTATTCCACGGCACGATCCGAAGCAATCTGGATCCATTCGATCAATACACAGATGATCAGATCTTTGCGGCGCTCCGGCGAGTACAGCTCATTGGTCCTGATGAGCCTCTAACATCACCACCTACCCCTACACAAACCCCTGGCTCGCCAAACTCACCGACTGCCAAGACCAACAAGAACCTTTTCTTGAATCTTCAGTCAGCAGTCGCAGCATCCGGGTCGAACTTATCCCAGGGCCAGCGCCAGCTTCTGTGTCTTGCTCGAGCGATGCTCAAGTCCCCCACAGTGTTAGTCATGGACGAAGCCACAGCATCCATCGACTACGCCACCGACTCAAAGATCCAAGAAACAATCCGCGAGCTCACAGGCACCGTCATCACAATTGCCCATCGACTAGCAACCATTGTAGACTACGACAAGGTGCTGGTTCTCGACAAGGGTGAGGTGGTGGAGTATGCTCACCCATGGGAACTCATCAACAACAAGGATGGTACGTTCCGAAGTATGTGTGAGATGAGTGGTGAGCTGGATGTTCTCCTCAAGGCGGCGAAGAAGAAGTGGGATTCTGGACGCTTGGTGGATGTTGATCCATAGGAGGAGAAAGAGAAGCTACCACGTATAGAAGAGGAGGATTAAAAGGAGGAGAACGGGTTCTGGGATTCAGTACTTGTATATTTGTGGTATGAGCCATGGACTTGAATAAAAGTATAGAAGGCGTATGCCTATAATTATGAGTTGTGAGCATTGGCTGTTGTGATCTAAGAAGATTGTGTGGCGCGAGTCTAGTCGCATCATGATGTCTAATGTCATCAAATGAAGCCATCGTCAATGCCAAAGTGGGCCCGGCAAGTGGCTGAGATCTTCTCCGCAATTCGGCGTGGATTGCATGAACTGATACATGAATAGTTTAATACGACTTCCATTATTAACGTACGTACGTGCATACAGTATGAGTATATGTGTCTATTCATATAAAGGTTTCAATAATTGCATTACCCCTGCTCACTCAATACAGGGCATGCATGACTCCCAGGCAACACCGGGCAGCTTCTACAAGGGCAAGGTACGTATCTTTTACTTTGACCTTGCTTGGTTGGCCTTGACGACTTGACAACATAGCATCAACTCTAGCTCTTGTCTTATAAAATACTTTCATTCGCTTGCTCGTATCCTCCCCCTCTTGTCCTCTGTACTTTTCTTTCCCCCTCATTCTTGTACCGCGGACTTTTTGGCAGTGCTTCACAGCCAATACCTTACGTGTACCGCTGTGGCGAGGTCCAATTGGGCACGTGCTCATCACTCCATCAGGATTCTAGAACTTGATCAGCATCTCCGACTTTTTTATATACATCGTTCGTTCTTCATCAACCCCGTCAAGGGCGATTCAACTCTTTCGCTGTTGGGGATATCGTCGAGCATGGCATCGCAGACTCCTCCGCACTTGGACTCGGAGAGCGTGACGAGTGGGCAAACGTCTGCCTCGCAAATGCCGATGCATCATTACCCAGAGGATCAGCGACAACAGCAGAATGCAACGCCTTATACGGACCGCTCAGAGGATGATCCGCCTCCGAGTTACACTGTAGTTGATAATGAGGGACCTCACGCGAATCCATTTGACCTGCTGCCCACCAGCTCATCCTCCCTTGGCCTGCATCCCTTCAAGGGGACTTCCAACGACAAAGTAGTCTACTATCTCGACAAGCGTCTTGATACAGACCCTGAATTTCTCGAGCAGCATATCTCAGAACTCGCCAAGGAGCCACCAAGACCATACGTTCGCATCCAGGGTCTAGACCGCAAGTCCGGCAAGGATGGGATCGACTTTGACATCCACATTGAACTCACGCCCCTGCTGTATCAAGAGATGGCCACTCGTCGTTCGTGGAGACGCATACGCGCCGTCAACAATTTTGACAAGGTGCGCCGCGGGACAGCGACCATGACACGCGCACCAGGATTTGGGGGCAGCGGACCGCCTGAGGAGGGTACGCCGGGTGTTGCGCAATGGTGCTATCGATACTGTGCGAGCAGAGCCGGCCTAAAGGTGTTTGTCCTAGAGCGGCGCTTGACGGGCTGGGACTTCGCCCTCGTGGGGTCTAGGCTGGAGAGTTTGGTGCGGGGGACAGGATATCGTGGGGAACTCAACATAACATTTCCTACGACGAATGCACGCGTTGAGATATACAACCGCTGCCTAACCAACCGATGGCGCCTCACACGATGGATTGTTGTTCTATTTTATATTACTCTCCTGTGGATATTCACCTGGCCGTGGGTGTCGCTGCGAACGAGGTGGTACGAGACGGTATTCGTGGAGTGGTCGCTAAGTCGCCCTGACAGACAGGGAACGCTACGGTATGCATGTATGAGTGAAGATCAGTGGTTCAGGCTCTGGCGACGGCCCATTGAGCAGGCGATTCAGACGAGGCGACGAGGACGGTTGAGCCGTGATGATATAGTGGATGAGTGCGTGGCGCCTGGGGCTGAAGATTCCGCGAGGGGGATGAGAGCGGGACTGGAGGTTCTGCAACGGACGTTTGGATGGGGAGGAGATGGGGAGAGGAGTGGAAGACATTCGCCGTGTATTTGATGGTGTTTGGGTTGGTGTTGGAGCATTAGATTGAGCTCGCTCCTGGGTTTGCATGGAAGCGTTGGCGTATCAAGATTGCATTGACTTGCATTGACTTGCATTGCATTGGTCTTTATTTATGATTCATGATAGTTATTCCCAACTCGAAATGTTATTCGTTTGTGTTTGAGCTGTCGTTCTGTGTTTGTGCTGTATGATCTCAGCTTTTCGTATTATGATACGAATTAGACTACCACAGATACGACATCACCATGTTTGAAAGAATACATAAGAGAGAGGAGCATCCATTAGTCTCATAGTACAATATCTGAATATCTGAGAGCCAAATTGATATTTCAGCTTGCAATTAGATAAGATATGATATTGACGGGTTCAATATTCTGGGCAACGGTACAGGGTAGCTATCCTCTTATCTTATCGGCCCCTCCACCCCACCAATGTCGCTCACTCATCATCTACACATCCCTTACTAATCTCATTCATCAAGTTCAAGTCGACTTATACTGCAGTCACTCTCCCTTTCAACATTCATCGCATTTCATTCGCACTCAATATACAGAGTTGCATTGACAGCCGCCACGATGACTGAAGCAGAGATGAGTTCCAGCTCAAGAAGAATACTAGCTGTGGCGCTTGAGAATGAGACGGCAGTTTTGTCAAAGTTGGTGAAAGGTGAGTTCACTTTGTCCAGATGTTCCAATGGCAATGCTACAAAACATGAACTGAGATCACTCACGAAATCATTCACTAACACGTCGCAGACCTCACAGGATCAGCTCCAGATTCTCCAGATCCCTCCCTCGGCATCGCAGGCACAACTCATAGCCTCGCCCTCAAAACACCATACTATTCCACCACAGTTCCCATCTGGCTTGATCTCATCGCCTCACCTTCTGAATGGTCTGAGTCATTTCTCTCTCCCGAAGCCGCCGAAGTGCTCGCTGTGTTAGGAGGTGTAGTAGTAGTCTTCACCGCAAGTCCGATTTCGTCGTCAAAGGATCATCCAGCAAAGGAATTAGTAGAGCAAATCGGCAAAGTCTTGAAGCAGGGTCTAGGGGGATGGGAGTGGGATGGCGTAGGATTAGCTATCGGCGTGGGAGGAGATGGCAACGAAGAGGAATGGGATGAGATATGCGCAGAGGCTGGATTGGAGTTTGTGTCTCTTGGTGGAAAAGGCGACACTGGTCGTAACGAATTTGGCGGTATGTTGAATCCGTCGCTCCCAGAAATTTACTAACAAGGACAAGAAAAAACAGGAGTTGCACGAGTAAAGGAAGCCCTCGAAGCAAATGACTGGTCCCAACTCGAAGCACCACTATCAGATTCCGAGTTTGGTGACTTTGAAACGAGCTCAGCCAAGGCCGATGAGGACGACGAAGAATTAGATCCCCAAAAGTTGGGCTTTGGCTTCGACAAGTCAGACTTTGAAGGTCTACGACGCGCCATATGGGAGTCCAGCCAGGATGTTGAAGAACCCTCAGAATCCAGCAAGGCAGAGACTAGCAAGGACGGTGCTTCTGGGGGAATTGGGTTAGAGGACTTGGATGAGGACGAGATCGCCAAGATCGAGAAGATGATGAGAAAACTCCAAGCTGTGAGGGAAGCCGGCGAGGGGATGGGAGAGGAGCAGAGGAAGAGAATGGCAGCCAGGGCAGTGGAGGAGGTGATGAGAGATCTTTGAACTGGATAGGCACCAGCCGAATATCTTCAAGACGAGGCGATTCCTGAAAAAATGTTTGTCGCATCATTTCCAGATCATCATCATGGACTCTAAACCTCCCATATCAGTTAACAATGCCCGTACGCCATGCTGACTGCCAGTCTGAAGACATGCCAAAGCTGGCCCCACGAGTGGCACGATAGCTAACCTTGATCTATATGCCGAGTCCTCTGCGGCCGTCAAGGCATCGACATAGCACGGCTCGCTTACCGTGCCGTTGCACCATGGTCACATCGTACAACTCAGATCGTGATCCACGGACCGGGTCTTACGTAGTACATATCCAATGCTGGCGAGACCCTTTGGCTGGTATGTATGAGACCCAAGTCTCATGGCATCGACAAGCTCCATGATATTGGTAACCCAAAGTCCAGACACGCCTCGGTCCATTTAATGGTCTGTACAAACTCACTGACAGTGGTAACACTGAGTTGAAGAGTCAAAGTATGTTGCAGTCTCAATCCCACACGACTTTCTAGCAAACACACGTCTCCCAATTTAGACAATATGCAACGCATCGTGGCCGCTCAACCTTGTGCTTTTCTGGTAAAGTTTTTGTAGATCGGCATGGATCGTGACATCCAGATCACCGGACTCAACACCGCGGTGACATGCTCAATAGCTCATGCAAGGGAGAGGTTCTGAGATTCTTCCAAAAGTCGCGGGCGTCGACTAACATGTCATAGCTTGTTGTTAGTAAGTAAACTTGTCCCCTATCTTAAATCGACCGCTTGAATTGACGTGACTCGACTCATGGAGTTGACGATCGACTAAACGGGGTCAGAGTCCAATTGAGGCCGGAAAGAAGCGACCCCGGGTCCAAGGGTCCACCGGTGATGTTGGTTAAGCCAGATTGAGACTGCGGTTGAGTCAATAGTGAATCCCCTGAGATGCCATGATAGACGACGTCAAAGATCTCAGACGCCTCATTCTGTTAGTCTGGTCCGTCCCACTACCCTTGTTTGGCGCATGTTGACCAAACAGGGGAGCGACTCACGTTTCAGCGCGTCTTGCTAGGTAGAAGCGTAAACGTGCTCAGCCGGGGCTTCAGCTGTCCTTCATAGCGGTGCAGCTGAAGGGCATCCGGCATGATGCTGAGAGCCCCATACCGGTTAGTTAGCATGAGCCGCCAAGCTTGGCATGTTACCAACAGCGTCTGAGAATTCGTATCATTGCCATGCCATGTCTGGACAAGTTATTCTTAGGATCTAGGGAGGCTCATAAGGGAGATATCTCCTGAGTGGTGCATGCCAACTCTGCAACAGATGGCGAGGACTGAAATCAAGTGGTCAGCAAACGCGCTCGACGGGCTGCCATCCCCGCCATGGATATGCATATCGTCCCCAGTATGGACTTTGCCGCCATTGGTAGGATTCGTGATTCGTCATGCAGGTTGTCGGTTGGACTTTTCGGATTTGGTCAGAGGATTGATAAGTCAGGTTAACTGCGGCCATGGGTCGGCCATACTCGATCGACAGTAGGGTTCGTCGAACGGTGCTCATTCTTGTCTGTGCTTTCTGACCTCAGAAGCTGGGAGTACGAGAGCAAAGGTCTCTGGTGATGAGGTGAGACGAATAAATATAGCAATGGGTTCTTTCGTGGTGCAATTGGTTCAATTGTTCATCAAGAATCCTCAAGCTATTTCGTGGTGTTGTTGTCGAATGCAAATCCACCAACCACAAGCTCTCATGATATTCCAGCATTTATGCAAGCGCAAGCACATATCAGTGGGCACCGACTGCGAGTCTCATGGCTGCATGCTCTCAGCTTTGCTTGGTGAACACAATTGCCTTCCTACTTGCCCAGAGCTCAAAGAAAAAGAGGGCGAGTTTCTTAGGGCGACTGACCCCCTAGTCTTGATCGGGTGAGGTAAAACTCCAACACTGGTGGACCCAATGGCATGTGGCCGCCTGACGGAGACATGGCTCAACGCTGGTTGGCTCTGTGTAATGCTGATCCTGCAAGGTACCATGCCCCAGATGCACCTCCAGGGGTCTAAGTCAGGGGTAACGGTGCCAAAACTGGTAAGCACCAAGCTGACGATGAAAACAATTCGACATGCATCTTGTGTTTTCTGATCTATCATGTCGGATCTTTTATGTCACTCCGGACGCGCCCGGGAAAAGACTCGGATCCGGCAAAAGCAAAGAATCAATGCCTCTGAAGCACCATTTTCCTGTCATCCATCAAAGTATGTTGTGTGTGTCTATGCTTCATGCTTACTGTACTCCGTAGTAAGGGCGAGACTTTTCGTATCACAGCCACAACCGTTGAGGCTTTGTTATAGTTGCAAAGACCAGAGCCAGATGGCGGTGGCCGTAGGACCGTTCATCGCTGAAGCCGGTAGTCTCTGAATAGTTCATTCTGCTTCCCTTCAATACCCTATTCATTCTTAGTCAAGTCGGAACAATATGGTAGACGCTAAAGTTGCCAAGGCGCGACCGACCTTTGGCCCCAACGTCAGGCTGATTTTGCTTGAACAAGCGTCGATCGCAAGTGTTTCGCACAAGAGAACGACGAGAAAAGGGGTCAGAGGAAACATCACACAGTAAGCCGTGTTGTGGCCCACCAGATGACGATGGATTGAACTACTGCAGGAACAGGGTCTCAGCATACACACCTCTCACAACAGATCCCGAACATGCAAGTCTTTCACGCCAACGAGACATGCCGTGGCGTGGTGGCATTGCTGTGGTACGATCCTTCGCTGGAGCGTTTGATGCAGGTACGAGTACAGTTCAGGAAATCCGTGTCATGCTTGAAGCTGCCGACGATATCGGAGGCTTATTTCTGAAACCAAAGGCAGAGTTTATGACAATAAACCTGACGTCGAAAATTGTACCTTGTTTTGCAAAAAGGTTCTTCGAAAAGAGCCAATGGACCCAAAGATTCCGCAGAGAATGTCATCGCGTTCCCCTTTTTGGATCACCCCTGCAATTGTTGACATGGGAGTTGTCGGAACACGGACCCAGCAGATCTGACGAGATTGTCAAAGAAGAATGAGTCAGGCACAAGATGTGACTAGCATAAATCAGCATCTTGATGGGAATTGAAGATGCAATTGTTCCAACAATTTTCATAACTAATAAATAACGAAAAGAAGCAATGACCCAAAACCATGGGTTATGTTTCCCGATTCTCGAAACCAATTGTGGATCAAGGGAAGGGTCAATGGCCACTTACCATTCATCAAATGCAACCAAAAATTGCCAGCATCAGGGAAGATATCGCATCTTCTCAGAAGCAATGCGGAGAACCGATAGAACCCCCAGAGAAGTGC